TTATTATTATCATTATTATTATTATTTCCGTCTTGACTAATCATACTATTACTTATTGCCAATATATATTTACTTTCATTATCAAATGAATTATTATCCAAAAATGTTTCAATATAATTAAATAATGGTGATTGGCACTCCATTTCATCTAACCAATATAATTGATCATCAATATCTATGTTTCCTTCAAATGATTGTTTTTTTTTTTTTTTTCGTTTATCTCTTGTTATATTTTTTAATTGGTCATACTTATTTAATTGATAATTTGAATTAACATTATAAATATATCTTAATTTATTGCTTGGATTTTCTAGTACACGAAATTCTTTAGTAATTACGTTATAATCAAACTGTAATAAAATATCATCTCTTGGATTCCAAGTACATGCTTTTATTAAATAGTTATAAGACAAAAAGTCAGTGTGTATTTCCATTGGTGAGAATGAACGATTAAATATTCTCGGGCATGTAAACATTCCAAATGCATTCTCTAAAAATAAACTATTTCCAATCATAACAACACTTTCATGAGTACAATATGAACTTATACCCATAATTTGTCCATCAATATAAAATTCCTGGCACCACCTATATTGTGTTAATAAATTAATATTTTTCTGTATTGGTTTTGTAATTTCTGTGAACCCTAATCCTCCACCACCTATTACATTTCTTTCTTTCCCATCTTCTGTTTTTATGTATTCCATTCGTGGTTTACCTACAACTGATAACATATGCCAGCCAATAGGCAATTCAGATTTATTTAAATTTAATCCAGATGAGTAGAAACCTTTGTCCATAAAATTATTAGTATTATGAATATTATTAAGATTAATATTCATATTCGAATTATTACTATTATTATTACCAATACCAATACTTATATTCATATTAGCATTATGACTAATATTTTTATGATTATAATTATTACTATTATTATTACCGAAGTTGTTATTATGATCATTTATATTCATATTCATATTCATATTCATATTATTATTATTATTATTGTTATTATTGTTATTATTATTATTATTATTCATATTATTATTATTCATATTATTATTATTATTATTATTATTATTATTATTATTATTATTATTATTATTATTATTATTACTGTTATTATTATTATTATTATTATTGTTATTATTATTATTACTATTATTATTGTTATTATTAGTATTATTATTGTTATCATTATCATTATTATTACTTATATGAGAAAAATTTTTGTATACACCAACATCCATTTTTTCATTTATTATTACATGCGAATCATTTTTACCAGTCACTAACACTATATAATGATCAATGTCTGATGTAGATTTTCTCTTGGAATTATTGGCTATATCGTCATTATTATTTGGAGAATTATTTATTTTATACGAATAGTTTGTTAACAACGGATAATGAAACCATATCGTTATTGTCCAGCCATTATATAATTCAGAAATTTCTAATTTTTCATTATTTTCCCGATCAAGACTATCATTAGTTAAATTATTATTTTTCCTTTTCTGATCATCATCATTAATTAAATTCTTTGTATTTTTATTTTTATTTTTATTAACAACTTTTTTCTGTAATTCAATTGGTGGTGTTATCAATAATCCGGAATTATTACTTTTTGTGTTAAATGCCAATAATAAACATTCTGACATTCCTGGGCCAGGTACTATGCTTGGCTGATATAATAATGGGTTCATTCTATATACTTGTTCATTATCCAATTTAATTTTTTTGTAATCTTCAGAAATTCTATATCCTAACTGTGATGTTATAGATGTCATTTTATATTTAATTGATGACAATTTGATTTTATTAGATGACTGATTTTGTTCATTCGTGTCGTCTCGAACATTTTCTATGTAAGGTAATGGTTCATATACATAATAGTACGGAAAAGATCTTTCTCCTTTTAGTATTCTAATAATTATACCAAATAATAATATTCCATTTTTCGAATTATTATCGCCTTGTTCTAATTCATTAACTATATCACCATTACTTAAGACATTATTTTTTCTATTTATTAATTCGATTAAGTATGTAATATCATTTTGTTTTAGATTGATTTGACTATATTTCCATATGAAAAATCCAACAGCACCACTTCTCCATAATGTTAACGCCCAATTAATTGTCGTTGATGTTAATTTATTAATTTTAGTAATAAATGAATTATCAGAGTTTAGAGAAACATATGATTCATATCGCTTTTTTATTTGTTCATTACTTGTGTGTACTCCATAAACTCTAAACTGACTAAAGTAACCCCATCCTGATCCACTTTCTAATCCTCCGCCTATTATTGATATATCGCCCTTTAAACCATTTGGTTTTCTAATTGAACCAATATATCTGCCATTAACATAATATTTTATTGACCCCATATTATAAACAATATGTACTAATACCCATGGATCAAGAATCCATGGATCTTCATTGTAGTCAATAAATTGTTCAATATCTTGATTTGTTTCTCTACAATAGGTGCTCTTTTTTATCAATCCCAATTGTGAATAAATACTTTGCAATGTCGCAATATTAGAAGTCACAAAAGATGAATTTTTAAATTGCATTTCATTTTTATTTATTTCTTTGGGGTTATTTTTAATAACACATTTTAAAAATCGGCCATTGCTATCCCAAAAACCAATTGTTCCTGTTGGTCGATGTACTGTAAATAATCCTTCCATTGCATCTGTACTACATAGAACTTGTAATGTTGGCAATTCTAACTTTTTCTTTACATTATTACTATTTAAATCGCCGGATTCTTCTTGAGCTCCACTTGCATCTGAATTTGCTCCATCAACACTAGCTGATTCGCTTTCTTCATCATCTTCTTTGTTTCCCTTAATACCAGCAAGCTTCTTTTGTAATTTACTTAGATTTTTTGATGAGCGATCTTTATCCTTACTATTAGATGAAACATCTATTTTCTTATTTTTTGTTCTAGAACTCGTTTTTCCCTCCATTTTTGTTTTACTTTTACTCTTACTTTTACTTTTACTTTTTGATCTTGACTTTGATTTACTTCTTTGACTTTTTACTTCTGAATCAGATTCTCCCTTTACTTCTTCTATTATTTTTTCAAATAATGGGGGTAATTTAACCCAAACTTCTATCGTAAATGATGTTCCCTTAACTTCTATACCTGGAGCAACAATTATTGCTTGATCACCAATATTAGTATTTATATCAAAATCTGTATTGTTATTTATACTATAATTCAAAGTGCAAACACCATTTAAATAATTTATTCTATCTGATTTATGGCTCATATATGCCCATTGAGGCGATTGTGGTCCTAAAACTGACAAGGGATTTCCAGATAAATAAATACTTTTTTGATAATTTGAAGATGAATAGAGTTTTCTAATTGATAAGCCATTTAAATCTATTGCAAATCTTATTGGTAATTCACTCCATAACCAAGAACCATTTTCTATTCCTCCATTATTTGAAACTTGTGGTAACAATGTATTTAATGTTTGTTTCATCAAACCTTTGTCATTTTTATCAAATTCTATACATTCTAACTTTTCATCCATTATTTCTTCATCTATATATGGCAATTCTACGATTTGTGGATGATCTTTTGATAAAATATCTAATAATTGAGAAATATGTTCTCTTTCCCTACTTTGAATTATCCATAAATTGTCATCATCGTAAATATCAAAAGGAATCCAAAATATTGAATGTATGCATGGCAACGCTGATGGAAAAATCATATTAAATTCTCTTTGTGATTCTATTGTCAATTCTAACTCTCTTTTTAAATTCAGATTTGGTGTATTTAATGCTGAAAACTCATGAATAGTTGCAACATCAAATCCAAGAGGGTTATCATAAAAATTCAAACTAGGATTAATCTCTCTGTATAATCTTATTGCCTCTTCATTACTTATTACTCCCTTATATAATAAGTTATCTGGTATTAATGAAGTCATTGTCAAATCTGTACCTAAACTTAGCCTTTTACATAATTGTAAATAATAAAACAGCATACTTGGGCTTGCATATCTATTTAAATTTGATATCAAATCTGTCATCATTTTCAGATTCTCCTTTGACTCAATGCTTACTTTTTCTGAAGATGAAACTTTGCTTGTTGTATCTAATTCATTAGATTTAGTATTTAGGTTATTAATGGTATTATTATTATCATCATTTGCACTACTTGAACTTGTATTTGAAGCATTCTTTATATTTTTTTCTTGCGATACAATAAAATTATTATCAAAATTCAAATAATTGTACTGCCTTAAGTTTTCCATTTTTTTATTAGTTTCTTCAATATATTGCTTTCTATATTGGCTTAACCATGATTTTAAATCCAGCACTCTAAGTAGAAATAAGTTATATATCGAATTTTTAAGTTTTAAAGACATTTTATTTTTTGATCCAGTAATTTTGTTATTATCATCTAAATCGTTTTTAATTTGTTTCCTATCCTTCGAATTTTTAACAAATAATCCCACTTTTTTGGAAGCTATATGATCTTTATTTTCATCATAAAAATAAAATTCTGATTCAGGGAAATGAGGTTTATCTCCTAAATAATCAGGAAGACTCATATTACTGGCAGTTTCTAAATCTTTAAGTAACGTAAGAATTGTTTCACTGCCAATATTTTCATCTGGATTTAATCCTAATAATAATTGTACGATATCCTCATCCTGATTTCTATCTAATTCTCTGTTACCATCTTTTAATCCTTTATTAAGCTCCAATGAACTTTCAAATTGAGACCTGAATTCGGGTTCTATTAGTGAGAATAGAGTCTCTAATATTTTATTACTTCTAGCGGAGCTCCTTGTCGCTTTTTCGAATGCTAATGGATAGTTGGTTTCTTCCAAAACAGTTCTTGGATCACCTTCCGTTAATTTCTTTATGGATAACATTAAGTCAACGTCAAGAGATCTAGGTTCATTATATTCCTCTTCAATATACCCAGGTATCGGTACTTTATATCCTTTATCTGTAATTTCCTCATTAATTAAAGTATGGTTTAATTTAATATTTTCCATCCCAGTATCCTCCAAATTAGATTCAGAAAACAAAAGACCGGTTCCTCTATTTAACTTTAATCTTAATGATATGGGAATTGATCTTGGAATTTTAAAGAAGTTATCACTAATATCCAAGATTAATGCATTTAAGCTTAGCCTTGCAAGTAATTTTCTCAAATGTAAGGAATATAATGCCTCAACATTATTATTTGTTTCAATATTTGACTTTTCATTCATATCATTCAAATTTAATTCTGCAGGGACAATTTGTTCCATGCCTAACTTTTGTGCTACTTCTGGGTAATTAATAATACATAAATCCAATGCCATTTTTAATGAATTTCTACTTACACTTTTTATTCTGTTTGTAATAGAAATATGTATATCTAATAAATCTTCAATTAATTTCTCCATCCCAATATCTGAAAACCCGTAACTCCTTAGTGATTCACAAATAAATACATTATTTTCAATTACTGTATATTTTCCACTTTCACCAAATCTTGAATCTAATGTTGCTCTTAATGAAATTGCCAACCCTTCCTGACGGTTATCACATCTTTTTATTGCAACAACAACAGATACTCGGTCTTCATTTGATAAAAAACTCAGGCAATCTGTTCTTAAATGCATCCTAATGAGTTGTTCTATTGAAACTTCGTCGTCCACTCTCTCTCCATCTTGATCCCCTATTTGGCTGGTCTTGTTCATATCATGATAAGTTTGAAATACATTTTCAATATTAGAAATCCGTCCATTGCCCTTAGTTCCCTTATTTATATGGTTAATTGATTCAGAACTATTTACAAAGTCACTCATTGATTGAATATGTGTCTCCATTTTTGTTTTTGATGATAGCATTGACAAAATCCTTCTATATATTTTGATTCCCAATACTGAAAATAATGTGACAATAACAAAAGCATAATTTATAAATACCGAAAAAATGGAAATCAGCTTGACAGCAAAATCATCATAACCCAATGGTACATGATTTGGATTAACAGAATCTACCCATGTTTCCCTAAGTTCTTCAATAGTGTTTTCAACGTTTACATTTAATCTTGGTAATAGCGATGCAAAAATTGCAATAATGATTGAAAAACTTGACATTCTATGAATAATATAAATGTATGTATTCCAATTCAATTTACTTGATTGCTTTGAACTTAATCCTCCTCCATAAGCAACTTTATGTTTTTGTTTTTGTTCTTCTGTTGTTAGCTCATCTTCAACTCCAATTGAAGATATGTCAATTTTTACGCTTTTGCGTAACAAATCTTGGTCATTTGGCCTTACAAAACTATAAATACTGTCTAAACAAATTGATACTGCAATACAACAAAATGATGATAAAATTGGAGAATAAATTGGAATTAAAGCTTCATAATCTGAGCCACCCGGAGCTGGAAAATAAGCAACGACGTAATTAAATGTATGAATATTTCCAATTAGAAATATTATAGTTAGGTACAATATTTGACCGAAGTAAGTAAAGATTTCCCATATATTCATACGAGTATTTTCATATCCACTTGTCCACCACCCATAAACTAGTCTTCTTCGTTGTATTTTATCATTTTTAGTATCAAAATAAATGCAAAGTGAGTATATTACAGGTATTAGAATGTGCCAAAAAGTAAAGCTAATAAGAGAAAAAAATATTGCAACCCAATGATCATGGCTCCAACAAATATTATCTTTTGCAATAGTAACAACTAATAATGAGCCAGGAGTTAAATCAACGCTCTGCTGTTTATTGATGTTCTCCGGCATAGAGTAAGAACCCATTAATGAGTCAGATGGATTATGAATATCGATATTAAGTGATACACAACTGAGGATTGAATAAATGTTTCTGAGATTTATTGAGAAATAAAAAAAGAATGATACGATAAATACACTGAAGAACCAAGAAAAAAATGATTTTTGAAATTGCAAGCATTCTCCTTCCATTTCCTGGCGTCCCAGTAAAAAGCCACTAACTTCTTTCTGCCGAAAATATTTTAAGATTGGTGCAACAATGATGGCAAAAATGAAGAGGAGAAATGGAGTTGTACATATAATAATTGAATATAATTTTAAAGCTTCTGACCCACTTGGATGAATATCAAGTTTTGATATTATACACTGAAAAAGTGGTAAAAAAGAAGAATTTGAACCCAAATATGAAATGGCAACTGAAAGAAATGGAAAGTACTCAAACTGTATTGTGTTAGTCTTAAAAAGTAGCCCCAGTAATTGCATGTGTTGTATAATTGTTCTAATAATCGTTATTTGAACAATTGGCATTTCTTCTTCGTTTGCAGTTGGCTCCAAACGCAATACCCAAACAGAGTAAACAATCAAACCTAAAGTACATAAATTACTTATGAGAAATGCGACAAAATTCAATAAATTACATTCTTTGCACGAGTAAATCTCACTTGAAACCCCATCAATTTTTGTGTATCCTTTTTCGCAATCATCGCAAAGTATACCAGCATTACCTTCTTTGCATCTAGCTATCTCAAGTGAATTAATACTACTATCTGCGATTGCCTCACTATTCCTGATTAAGCTTTCACATTGACTCTCTCCTCCAAAACATGGAAGCAAAAAATTTGCAACTTTCGAACTCATCAAGGACATATCTTTACAGAGTAAATAAGTTGTTGACTCTTTTGAAAATTTGCTCAAATCCACACTATAGCAGTAAGATGCCACGTTCCAAAACCCTCCGGAAGTAGGAGTTGTTTTATAGCACCATTCAGTTGAAACACATTGAATGCATGTTTCATCTCTGAGATTTGTAGGCTTATAACCAGGCATGCAAAAACAGTCATCTTTTTTAGTTGAACCGATAGCTGAAGTAACCTGAAAATCTAAACAAGTTTCACAGTTAGCAGATTCTTCATTTTCAGAATAAGATCCTATAGGACATTTGAAGCACAAAGAAGATGAATAAGTCCCTGGAAATGAATATTTACCTTCACCGCAGGGCATACAAGAGTTAGTTTCTCTATTTGAAAATGTACCAGATTCACACAATCTGCATTTATCCCCCTGTGAAACATATCCGATTGGACAACCAGAATTATCGTCAGTATTTACCACGCCTATTTTAATTAATATTGCAAAAAGAATCACAAATATTTTTACAAAATGAACTTTCTCCCCGAAAACCATCTTCAATTATTTATTAAATTTAATAATTAGGCCCCAAACATATGTAATATAACTTTCAAATTACTTGGTTATTTATTTTATTAACTAGAACTTTAAATTCTTCGTATACCGTTGACTTTGTGTTTCATGCGTAAATATTGACCACATGAGGGCGCCAACTCTTTTGTGGTTCGCATGCATATAAACAAAGAATGATAAATTATTCTTTTTTTTTGCGGATTGAATTCATTTAACTTATATATATTCATGTTAAAGTATATGAAACTCTAAAAAGCTTTTATTTTGTTTAGTCCCTCCAAATAATTTACAATATGTATTATTATTTCTTCGATAATTATTTTAAAGTAAATAATAAATCATAGTCGGAGCTTTTAAAAAAAAAAAAAAAAAATATTTTCTGTTCTAATCTGATTAATTCATTATAAAATTTATCAGCAATTTTAGAAGTTTGAGGCGGTAAATGTTCGCATGCATGCAAACAATTGCATGCAAATATGATTGCATTTACTACTACAGGTAAAACCTAAATGCAAGTCATTAGCAGTAAGAAGAGTTATACATTCAAAAAATGAATCTTTCGTTTTCTTTAGTATTAATTTTATTCATTTACGTTCTAGGAAAACCAAATGGGTGCGAAGCTGGGCTTTTGGACACAATTGCCAAAACAGTTGGTACATATTATAGAGTTTTTTACCCAGAAGTAACAACTCCAAGAAAAGATTATAGCCCAGATTTTGAATTACAAGACCAACTAGTTGTCCAATCACAGGAGATGATGAAAAGCCTAGTTAATATTAAGAATAACATCACACAAATAGAAGATAATTGGGCTGGAATTAAAGAGTTTGCAGAACTTAGGCGCAATCCAAAAAACATCTTTGCAGAAAATAGCTTGGGCATAGTTGATAATTTATCAGAGGTTATTTCAAAAATGTCTTTGTCATCAGCATTCAAAAATATGGAAGCACCTATTGTATTTTTGGAACCACCTTCAATTGCAATCAAACAAGAAGAACAAACTGGAACTCCATGTATGACATGCGTCGGAAGGCTTAGTTTATCTCAATCAGAATTTAAAATATTTAAGTCTGAAATTAACAGATTGAAAAGAGTTCGTGCTAAGACCTTACAAGAAGCAAATCAAGAATTACTAGAAGCTGAAGCTCTTGCAAAAGAAACACTGCAACAAAGATCAAAAATAGTTGAAAATATTCAAAAGTTATCTAGTGTGATCTCTTTGAACGACGGAGTTTACGGCGCAGACAATGTTGAACTCAAATTCCTACAGTCTGATTTGGCAATTGCAGAGCAAAAGCACGCAGCACTATTAGAAAAGCAAAAAACTTTAGCAAAGAAAATTCAAGAATTGAGCTCAAAAAAGAAGAGCTTCTGGAGAAAGTAATATTAAGGAGAATTAAACGAACACTTATATATACATATACATAATACATATACATATATATTGATTATTCATTTGTATATCTAACTGAACATGAACTAAATGATTAACTGCCTAATATGTTGTTCAAGAATCGAAAATCGAGCATTTCTAGCCGTATCTCTAGAGCCCGATCCACGGACTATCATACCATCTCTGAAATTCTCCATATAACAACACCCATCAGTGATTGACCAGTTTGTACAGTCACCATTCATATTTACTACCTGTAAAGATAAGCCAAGAGGCTTTAATAGCAAATTCCAGACATCAAGCATGCTTGAAGTTCTGCAATTAAAAGAATTTAATTTAATGACTCCTGTTATTTTATTTACAATAATTATTGGGTTTGAATCTAGTAGAACTTGAAGCGTAAAGTCTTCATCTTTGTGCTCAAGGCGGATCATTTTTATTATTCTTTCACGTTCATTAAAATTGGATAATTCACAGTATTTATCAGGTATACTATCGTTTGTGTTTAATTCAGTTCTCATTTGAAAATCTTTTTTCCTTCTCATATGTAAAGACTGTGACTTGCCTTCTTTTTTATATACACCTCTGTACAAACCACTGGAATTACTTCTACCAGAAGAGGCCTGTATTGAACTGTTACTCCTTTTATTACCAAATTTCCTGTCTGAATGAACCATTTTTTTGTTTTTTACCACAGGCTTTCCTCGGCTCATACTTTTTCTCACTGATTTGGCACTCGCTTTTTTTGGAGCTTCTTTTCTGATTAAGTCATCAAGAGAACAGTTCATTCCAACATGGTTTTTATTTTCAACACCATCCATTATGATTATACTCAAATTATAATTCGCCCTAGCAAATTTTTAAATTGTTTTTTTATAATGTTTTTGTACCACTTTGATTTTATCGGTAGCGCCAATGCAACAACGGTACTTACCGCCGCTTTCTTTTTTTTAATCTTCCAATAAACTGGTAAAAGAAAAACTGATCAAAGCTCGTCTAAAGTCCATCTAAATCTCAAAACTGTGGCTTTTTTTAAGCAAGTTAATTTTTTTACTGAGACTTTATTTGATGGATAAAACATGTGATGTGGCGCCAAAATGGCATGAGAATTTGTGGGGATGAAATGCGTAATAACACGTAATGGTAATTAAAAAAGGAGGTAAATCGGTAAAGAAGAGTTATTCATATATGATTTTTTGTCATTTTTTAAGTATTGAAGGGCCCAAAAGTTGTACTATTAATGTGGTATGCAAGGACCGTCAAATCTTCGCCTAATAACAATGCAAAAACGAGCCCTGGACAAAAACACATTCGTCCAGGAGGATTATGAAGAAATTGAAGAAATAGGGAGGGGGTGTTTTGGCACAGTCCATAAAATTAGAAGAAAGTCTGATGGAAGGGTATTTGTTTGGAAAAAAATTTGTTATGAAAATATGACACAACAAGAAAAAATACAGATTGTTAATGAAGTAAATGTTTTGCGAAAATTAAGTCATAGAAATATAATTAAATATATTGATAGGATAATAGACAAGCAGAACCAACAGATTTATATTGTAATGGAATATTGCGATGAAGGAGATCTGGGAAATATTCTCAAGAAAAAAAAGTTAGGAATAAGTATTGATGAGGAAGATGTTATCTCTATATTTGTTCAACTTTTAGATGCGCTAAATTACTGCCATACACGTAATAATAAGGTGCTTCATAGAGACATAAAACCCCAAAATATTTTCATGATAAACCCGTCATCATCTGAACTTATTCATAAAATTCAGGAAGGTTCAAGGATTAATTGTAACATCGATCAACAAGAACAAAAGACTACAATTGTTAAGTTGGGGGATTTTGGGCTTGCAAGATACTTATCTGGAAGGAATCAACTTGCAACTACTCATGTTGGCACGCCTTATTATATGTCTCCCGAGGTTCTGGGAAAAGGTCAATATGATGAAAAAAGTGATATATGGTCATTAGGGTGTTGTATATATGAAATTTTAGTGGGAAGACCTCCATTTTACGCTAGGAGCTATGATGAATTAAGGAAATATGTCAAAGATGGTATAGTTCCAGACTTGCCGAACTGTTACTCTAGTGAACTTAATTCAGTCTTAAAACTAATGTTTGAAAGAGACCCACATAAAAGGCCATCTGCAGAAGAAATCTTCAACCTAGACTTCATCAAGTACAAGACTCTAAGGCTTTCATCAAAGTTGGATCTGTATTTCCTAATGTATGAGTACCAAAAAATTCTTAGTTATAACCACTATCTAGAATCGTTGTTATTAAAAAGTGATCAAATCTCGAAGAAAATAACATCTGAAGAATCCGCTTTAGACGCATCTATAGACTCTTCGGCTAGTACTGGAATAACATGTTCGAACAATGAGAATATTAGTCGGAATACTAGTCATTTAATTAACGAGGAGTGTAGAAAGCATTCGAATAAAAGTTCTCTTCAACGAAAGACAGAATTAACAAGGAACTTTTTGATTAAGGAGAATGAAAAGTTATCCTACATTACTCCAAAGAGAAAAACTTCGGTATACAACGTTAGATCACAGGACAATGCTCCCGGGTCTGCAGATATATTCCACAAGTCGAATTCAAAAATTTGCACGCACTCTCCCGTAACAGCACCAACTAGATTGAACGGTTACAGAGATAAGTGTTATCCGAAGAAAAAGTCTATAAATGATCTTAAGGATCAAAACTTTTATCATAATAGGAGGCTGTCAATAACAGGAAATGAAAGCAATATTGAAAAATGCATCCAGACACCAATTTACTCAGGCATTTCGAGCAATTCATCAAACTCTAGTGCAAATGAAGGTAATGTTAGAACGAGTACAGCAACTTTCAAAAAAGGAGATGATATAATTTTCGAATCTGAACAAAGACTTTCACGTTGGATACAAAGATTCCACTCTAGAAACAAAAGTTCTATCTAATCATGATTTTAAGTCTTACCGTCTTCTTTTAAATCTTAGTTGTGTCGAAGAAATTGAGCCGATCGCTCAAATTCTACTAAATTAATGTAACCATTAAAATGCGGATTTTTTTTTTAAATAACTTAAGGTTGCAAAAATTCAGATTCAATAATTATACACTTTGACCTTTGCTGCACCCAATAAAGATCTATATTTAGGCGGGAATTCTCCTCGGACTAAATTACAATTTTAAGGTAAACGACAACAGGGGGTTCAATAATTCAAAGTTTAAAACTCAAGAGAAACGAGTTATCGTTAGCTATACAGAATATTGTAATTAGGAGGCAAGAAGTTTACAGATAGGTCTAGAATTTGATAGGTTGGCGTGTAGGGGTTTGGATATGTTTTGAAGGCTTGTTACAAGTTGGTTTAAATTAAATTTGATCAGAAATTCAAATAAACTGGCAGACCTGCTGAGAAGAATAAGCTAAGTATAATTTGTTGATATAAGATGTTTACTTACTCAATTGTAGGTTTTAACTTAAGAACAGAGGAGACACCCTTGACTAAAAAACTTGAATATGCACTCGCCTTTATCTTGGTTTTACAGTTCATTATAGTGATATTGAGAGTTGTAACACTTACCGATGTTATAAGTACTTTTTTTGAAATATGGATGATATATTTGGGTTATGTGGTATATACTGAAAAACCACCATGTCTACTTTTTTTATTTATTTCGATATCATTTGTAAGAGGAATTTTATTGCTTTTAACAACAATTGAACGGTTAAAGAGGAATGCAATTGTATCTAACGTAACTATGTTTTCAAAAGTGATTAAGTTTTCGGATCCCGAATTCGTCGAAAAATTAAGAATTATAATTTTTATAGCTTCACCAATACTTTCATTCCTTGCATGTATTATTAGCTACTATATCTTTAAAAATATCCATGTTGTTGAAGAAATCGATGAACTGTTAAATCAATTCATAAATCCTTGGAATGGATCAAATGCAGAGGCTTCAGCTGGGGAAAATGCAGCAAACGCCACTAATGAGGCAGGGATTCCTAGTACAAACACTAATATAAACAGTACTAGTGCGCCTTCCCATGTAATATATACTCCATTCACAGGAAAATCATATAAACTTAGTGATATTTCATCATCCAGCTCTACGACTGGAAAGACTGGTAATTACCCAATATATAAAGGGGCCTAAATTGGTTTTATATTTTAGATAATTGTAGGATTCATCGTTTTGAGAATTATTTATTTAATATCTATTCTGAATTTATGACTAATTATTTATTTTTCCTAAACCATGTTAAATTATACAGATATCTGTATAAATAGTATGTATACAATTAGTTATTCACAGGTGAAGGATATATGCTCAAAAATTCAAATTTACTTGTCTCTAGAGGGACTTCTTTTGATTCTTCTATTTCACAATTTTTAATTAGAGATTCAATATTATTGATTGATAACTGTATGTCAGAAAGTTTATTTAAACAGTCTAGGTGTATTCTCTTGTGTAATCTGTTACATCTCCATCTAATAATAGGATCTTTGATACTTTTTTCAGATTCGTCAATTTCGTTATTTGGATCTAAATCAATCAGAATTTTTTCCTTGTAATCATTGAATTTATTAGCAATTTTAGAGTTTACGCTCTTTGAAGAGTATGAATCGAGATCAATAGGGTCTAAATATAATAATTCTCTTTCAGTTGTAAAGTTTGGAAAATTTACATTTCTTATTTTTACAGAATGCAAATCTTCGATACAATCAGAGTTTGAATAATTATGAATGAAATACATATAATTATTAAATGTCTCATCATCAATAAACTTTGTAACACTTTCATTTTCCTCAATTTTCCTCTTCTTACAATCATATCTTTCTTCAGTGGAGAATTTTGTGATTCCAAACAATTTTAATTTTTCAAGAGGAATAGAAACATCAACACAGTTGTTATTCTTCCAGACTTGCCAAATAAATTCATATTTAATCATCTGATTAATAAAAAGCGTCACAAAGGGCAAATTTTTGTTTTTTAATTTGTCAATTGACCCTAAGCATCTTTGCAAAAGAGGAACCATTTTGTTATACATATGCTCACATGCATGCTTGCATCCATCAATCACTTGATTCAGTTGGCAACATACTATAAATGAAAATCTGTATGCAAAATTAGTTCTAAAGTAATATGATTCTAAGCTTGAAGGAATTCCTTCTAAAATTGAATTCAATCTTTGGAAGTAAATAACTGGGTCTTGGACGTCCACGCATTTATAATCTTCAAAGTATGAGACAACAATTTCAATATCTTTGCATATATCATCAATTTGTTTTTTCTTGTTAGAAGAAAGAGTTTCTGAGTTATCAATCATTGAATTCAAAAAGTCAGCTGATGTCTGAAAAAAGTTGTCCACTCTTTTATAAGCTTCAAATGCACTCTTAACATATTTAGAAGGTTTCAGAAGATGTTTAAAGTCGCTTTTAACTAAATAAGGTTGAGCATCCTCTTTCTCATTAGACATTTCTCCTTCTTCTTTATCCGTATCATTATCTGAATAGGCCTCCAAGTCATCTATTAAAGTAGAAGCTTCAAAAATGCTTTCCAGTTGTTCATCAATATAAAGAGAGGAATAGACTCTGGGGGTAAAGACCTTTCTGCATATTCCTGCCTGGTTAGATGGTAGTATTGAAAATACAAAGCTTCTAAGCATCCCTGCCTCTATTAAACAATGGTAACCTATAAGTCTTCTACTTATTACTTTTAACAAGCCCACAAATTTTGCTTGAGCAAGCTGTCGTTGCGCAGCTACAGAGGGAGAAAGATCTCCTCCAGGAGTTTGTTGAGTAACACTTCCAAAGTCTTCCTGAGGCAATCCTCTTTTATCAAAGGGAACACCTGGGTTAGAAATTGACCAATTAAACTCTTCAAAACACCCACAAATCCATCTGGTAAATGCCACCAATCCGTGAACCTTGAAAAGACCAGAAATATCTAAAATTATGTCCAACCAAAATACTATATCAAAATATCCACTATTAACTAAAAATAATGTGCTTGTACAGATAATTAAAATTTGCCTATCTTTTTTCATATTAATTTTGTATTCATCATTAAGGCCTTCCCTTTTTATTAATAATAACATAATCGAATGAATAATATCAGTCTTTGAAATTTCAATTTTTGATAATTCTTCTGAAAACTTTTTAATTTTTTGTTTACTTAACTCAAGAACTTGATCCATCTCATTCCAAAAAACACATTCCGATATGTATTTTTCAAGTAAGATTTCTAGTTTCTCGCTACATGGAATGACTTTTTCTAAGAACTCGCTTGAAGAAAACTCCATTTTTTTTACATTTCCCGAAACAGAAACGGATTCGTTACTTACAGATTACATATTAAAACTAAATATGTGCAAAGGCGCCAAATCATATTAATTAAATGTTACTTATGAGTCTAATGTATATAGCTAATGAGTTTTTAAGTCTAAAATAGCACTACCAATTGTCTCGTGCAGAATTTGTTCGATAACCTCGTTTAGAAGTGGCAAATAGTAATTGCTAGTTTGAAGCCACTGTTGACGGTCCATGTTAATATACTCATTTGTGATAGAATCTTCACAAGAATGATATTTAAACAAATGCTCAATATTGAGGAGCTCTTTTTCAGACTCAAGGATATTAGGGTAACGGGGCGCATGAAAAACTTTTTTTAGTACCCATTCCTCAGGACTTACCTCTGACAAATAAGGTTCATAGGAGTTGCTTAAGATATCTACTACCTGCTTAGAGATCAATTCATTTGTTATTTGCATTTTCTGTGAATTTAACACATAGTACCTCCATTCTTTTACCAATTCTCTTATGAGATCAATAATCAATAGAATAAAGTTATCATCTGGAGGGTAGACTTCTCTTCGAATAGATGACCTAAACTCTAGGTAACTTGGGTCTTTCATCACCTGCTCATGAACAAAAGATAAAAGATTTTCCTCACATAACTCATAGTGAGCTAAAACCTCAATTCCTACGTCATTTTCATTTTCTCCCGCTTTATTCACGGTATCTTTCTTCACTTGCTCTATTACAACCCTGGGCAATGTATTGCAGATTATTTTGCACAAATTGTATATGGAACTCTCCGACATATCGATTAATTCATCGTAGCATCTGGGAATTGACTCAATGCTTTTGTAATAAAACTCTTCCAAATTTAATCCGTCCAAACTCAGTTCATAGTGATTACCGGAGCTTGCATTTTCAAACCAGTAATTGTATTCTTCAATTTTACTTCTAAGCTCCTCATCACCTGAAGTAAAATATTCAATGTTTGATATTCGACTCATGCTTATAGCCTTCTCATTTATGTTAGAGTTTTTTTCTGAGCTGGGAATGTAAGAATTTAAAATCGATAAGCTATTTTCGTTTGAAACAATATTTTCAATTGGTAAGTCTTCGATTCTTTTGATCAAACTTTCATTCATAATAGTCATGTCTTCCAACTTGTTGGTTATTTTGCTGATCTCTTCAACTGCAGTTTCCCCATCCTTAAGGATTTTAATGGGTTTCAGTGGGGAATTTTCCAAATCATGCCTTCGTTCCAGAGTTTGTTCGATTTCGTCAAAAGCTATATCTGGGATAATAGCGTGAACTAGAGTATCCTCACATCCTATTAGATCAGCGCTCGTATCTTCAGCAGAATCTATATTGGATATATTGCATAATTTATCCTTGGCGAATGTTTCCTGTGTTACATCAATGCAGACATTTTTTGGAACATGAACTAACGCCGGATTAATCGTTTTAATTTGTATGTCTGTATTACTTGAATTATTTTTTGGAATGGCACTTTCAAGCCCTATATTCTTTTCTGAACACAAACTAACTAATTCAGGAGTTACAAAATCGTCGAATTGATCTTCTTCATTAGTCTCATTTAAGACAGTCAATTGTTCTAATTTAATAGTTCTTTCAATTTTTTCTTGATCAATTTGAGAAATAATATTTGGAGTCGACTCCGGACTAATATGTTGAGTGACACAAACCGGCTCTCTAGCTTTAGAATATTCATATTTTACTGGGGGTATTCCTCGGATATATGTTTGTTCTACCTCAGTATTTCCGCAATGATCCATATTAACGGGTTCATTGTATTTTTCCTTTCTATTTTCTGGATTCAAACGGTTATCGAGTTCAATATTCCTATAATAGATATAAGGTGTATCCAACTCCCAACGCCGCTTCTCTTTATGAGTACTCTCTTTTGAGTTACTTTCATCATTAACTTTTTCAGGTAAACACTTTTCAGACTTAATATTCTTATTTAAAACATTTAAGAACTCCGCTTGAGTTTGAATCAAACTTTCAGCCTTTAAAGGATCAAAGGCAGAGTTCGAATATTCTCCATTTACTTTTCTTGCTTCTTTATTGAAATAAGGTAAACAGATTGAACTGCTTTTTGGTTCTTCCACGAATTTATCTCCGTGGCTATTTGAGCCCAGCTTAACCTCTTTAAGTTTTTCAATGAGTCTCTGTAGTCCTTGAATTCGTTGATCTTCCGATTTTTTGAAGCTCAAGTTCGGTTTTTCTAATTTCAAAGAATTCTCAGATTTGCTTTCTGAAATAAAATCTTTGGAGATTTGTATATTTGATAGTAGTCTTGATCCGTCTTTATCCTCTCCAATTTTTTTCCTAGAATACTGCAACGATTCGAAGATTTTTCTGACATTTCCTCCATATGATTCGAGCCCAACTGGTTCTCGGCTTAGTATTTGGTCGCCATAAACGGGGTTTTTTTTAATTCCCTCAAGGGACCGTTGTTTAATATGACCATAGGTATTCTTGGGATTTTCGGGGCTTAGAAAATTCTTATTCTTCCATTCAATTTTATACCTCTCAAGTAGGCTCTTCTTTAGATTAATATTCTGAGCTATTTTTCTTGATAAAGTTTCTGTAAGCTTCTTGTTTGGTTGAATAATTTTCTCACCTTCGTTTGATCTTTTACTATCTGCATTATATATATAAGCTGAACTTCTCAAAAGATCATCTTGTGTCCTATTTATAGACTTCCCACTTTGAAGTCTTTGTTTTGGGGCAATGCCGATTACTGCTGGGTCACAGTAGTTTTTATGTAAATCCTGAATAAATGACAAGAAATTCAATAGACGATCCATTCTGGTCATGATCACACCGTTGACTTTAGGATTACTCACAATATTTTTAAATGAACTCATCATTATATCGTAGCAATGACCCCCTAAAGAAAATAATTCATATACCATTCGTGCATACTCATCCTTCTTTTCGTAGATTTTAACGTTGTATTTTGCACCTGTATTTATATATAGAAGAATCTGTTCTACTTGAACTTTGTTTTGAGGGAATTTGTCGTCACTTGTAACACCTTGGCCTACAGACTTAATACTTAATGATAATCTCTTCAGTCTTTCCCAAGCTCTAGTCTCGCGTTCTAAGGAGCTAATTATTGGTTTCTCTTCTCTACTGTTTGAAAACGTGTTACCTTGATTAAGTCTCCAACCCAAATTCCTTTTGCTTGAATCAAAGGAGTCAAGACTGGAGCTTCTTCTAAACGCCCCATTTAGGCGTGGTCGATCATGCATGATACATTAATATAAATTAAAATCGGAATATCATGTTTCTTATATACTATCTTTTTACTATTAAAGTTTTTTTTTGTTAATTTTTGGTATTTTTTATTACTACACATGTTATTGTGGGGATATACAAATTCCGCCATTTGCATATTTTTAATTAAAATGAAAATATTTACCATTGAATAATAAAACCAAAACAATACTAATGTAAATATCCCAGAATTTATATTCATTAATTGGATAAATTTGCTGGTCTCCTAGCTGGTTTCATGAATTTATTTCAATTTATCTCGTCATTTACATTTTTTTTAGTACTTTTTCTTGCATTACAAAAATATTGGCATAACTTTGCCCGCCATTCTGGCGCGCAACATATCTCTAGTTAGATTGGGAGTATGATGAGATTATTTAAATTAAGAACTAGGGTAAATTGGCAAAATATATAAAACATTTGTTGCAGTAATATTATGGTAATAAGAAGATTATAACGGTAAATTGGCCCTATTCGTTTTTTTCGGAGAAGAAAAACTTCCTTTTAGACTTTAAATTATTGATTTTTAGAGGCAAAATGAATTCGTGGATAGTTCCATTTATATTTTTGTTTCTCTCTATTATTGCAGTTTCGGAAGCTCAAATAAAGTTTTGGAGCTCAAAGAGAAAAGAAAATAATGGAAGGTACAAATATTTACTTGATTATTTTGTCGAAATGTCAAAGTTTACAAGTAATGTTGAATTAGTTAATTTGAACAGTAAATTAGAGAGCACGATCACTTTTCAGAAAAGAATTTTTTATAAAGAAGAAAGAGTTCAACATGTTTGCGAAAACTCTCTGTTAAGGCTTCTTAAACGAAATATGGCAGATTCTAAGACTTTTAGTAGTGAAATGTCAGTACTAAGAGATTCAATTCATCTTTGGACAAAAAATTTCAGATTTCTTCAGGAGTCAGATGAAGTACGTACATTCAAGGAATTTATCTCCTTTTTAGATTTTATTAATACAAAGAAGTTTGAGATCGACTTTTGTATCCGGCTAATGAACAGCTTACAAAATCCTCAGGATAATATAACTGATAACAAAGATTCCTTAAAACGAAAAAAAAACCTTTGTGTTGAATTAAGACAAGAAATCGAAGATTTTATTTCAACAAAGCTTTCTCACCATTCATTTGGAGTTTTAAAACAACATAATAAAAACTTTGAGGTTTTTAAAATAGCTGCAAGCTCTATTCACAATGAACTTGATCAAGCAATTAACCAGGTAAATAAATGTAGTAAACTCTTCAATCTTATTTTATTTTTGGATGAAAATAGAAGGAGTCTGTATAGAAGCAAAGAATTAGAACCTTATTTTACTTTGAAGGATTTTGTAGATAAAGATGCTTTGAAAAGCATTGACAGGAACATTTTAAGTAGCATTATTATTGAACTTCAGGATTACTTACCTGAAAACACAATATTTCCTTCGTCACCTCTTTCAAAGATAGTTCTAATGGAGCTAAATAAAGCGAACCAACGACTAAAGCGTCTGGGTAAATGCCACAAGTATGATCACATTTTAGTTCCTCTAAAAAAAAAGCTTATTTACATGATGAAGTCTGTAGCTAGCGTTCTCATTTTATATGAAAGAAGTTTCGAAATATTACGTGAGATTTTAATGTATGTCTCATATATCAATATCGTTTATGACAAGAATATGGTAGGTTTATGTTCTAATAAGCTTGAAAAGAATAAGAACAAATTGGATAGTTTGTCTTTATTAAATGAAATTTTAAATGACAAGGAATTTGATAGTAAATTTTTAAATAAGACAAAGCTCTATCCAACCAAAATTACATTATTCCAATATTCTAAGACCAAATCAAGGAAAGGAGCTTTATTAGAAAATAGAAATACAAAAGGCCTTCCTTTTTTTCCAGATTCCAGAAAAGTTGCTATATTGGAAGAGAAATTTTCGGACAAACCTTCTATTACAGAAATTCAGAAGCTTATTCAACATATTAATTTATTGTCTAATGAACTTGACCATGTATATATTTATATTAGTAATTCTACCAATATTATGCTTAACTCTTTGGAAAAGCTCCAGTTCACGAATAAAGTTTACTCTGAAATCATTGAGTCCTCAACTAAAGATGAATCTGTACCAAATTCATTATATTCTTATTCGTATTTACTTTCCTTGGACATAACAATGTCACTTAAGAAAAGATTACGCCAGATAAAGAAAGAGGATTTTGAAAAAAGAAAGCAAACAAACAATATTATGAAATCTGTTGATGTAAAGCCGGAACTTAGAAATGAGTTAGAGGAGGCAAGTGAGGAAGCAATTAACAAAGTTTTAAATATTATTTCTTCACTTAGACAGACAGTCTATGAAAGAACACAAGGAAGTGGGTTAAAGAATATTAAAGCAAGACTTCCCACTACGAAGAAAAAACTTCGGAAAGAAGTTTTATCTCCTTTAACAAGCATAGAGGACCACCTTCTTAATATTAAAAAATCCAAAATAGATGCGAATAATAAAATGATTAATATAGAGAAACAAGTAAAACTAATCCAGAACTCTAATTTTCAAATGGAATCTCCTGATATTATTTCTAAGTTAGAAAAATATATTAAACCTCTAAATTTAATAATGAAATGTTCAGTAGTTAAGGTGACTTCTGAAGAGTTTGAAAGTTGTAAGGAAGTAATCTCCCAGGCACCTTATTTATTGAAACATATTCACTCATTGATTAAAGAAAAAAATGAAACAATTCTTAACCAGCGGGAGATATACAATAAGACAAATGCCAAATTGGAATCTCTTACTAAAGAATGGAATCGCCATTTAAATTGGGTTAGAGATATTCCAAAGCTTTGCAATGATCAACTTCCCACAATGAATAAGTTAGATAGCAATACGAGAATGATCTTGGGTTAGCTATTTATGTGTTTATACTCTTACTGTTCAGAATCTAATATTTCCGGGTATCTGGTTCTGTGACTTCTATTCAATGTCCCCATACTTGCTTTGGCCACTTGATCCTTCAATAACTTCTCATTTACATTGTAGTATATTAATATTGCCTAAAGGGAATATATTTTAATTGAATAAATTTCTTTTTATATAAATTTTTTAATTTGAAACTTACTTGAATAAATTTTAGCGAGGAGTTTCTTCTGATTCTTTTCAGTATATTTATCCTTCCGGCCAAATTACTATGTTCATTATCCTTATAGTAGAATCCTGTTAGAATCTCACCAACCTTATTAAATAATTGTATACAAGTCTTAAGTTTCATTCTTTTGGGTAAAATTTCCAAGACATGGCTGTTCCTACAAACACGAGTAAGTTTGCTTTTGGTTTTAATATTCCATATAATTTCTTTAAAGTTCTCAATTCCAAGCTCCTCTTTGACCACTTTTTCGAGAATTTGCAATAGAGTATTTGAATTTCTTTCTTGTTTTCCTATAAAATTTTTTATTACCTGAAGAACTTCTTGATTGTTTTCAAAAACTACCTTATCTCTCCCGAATATAGACACATTACAGCTTTGTCTATGGTTATAGATATTGGAAATAAACTCTTTTTCATTTGATTCTTGCGATTCCAAGTTAACCAATTCTGATTCGTCATCCATATCTACCTTTCTCTTTATTCCAATTTTAATTCTCCTTCCAAAATTACGAATAGAGTTCAAAATTCGATTTAAAACTTTTGCAATATTTGATTTTGCTGTAGATTTAGGAGGGATTACAATATCATCCAAAAAAGGGTATGAAATGCCAATCTCTATTGAATGTTCTCTATTCTTTATGTTCTCCAACGATGAAAGCAATATAGAGGTAATGAGAAGTCTACACGCAACTCTGGTGGATAATACTCTGTAGTCGTTAAGTAGTTCTCTATGTGCCCTCGTATAATTTTCGATCACTTCGTTATCCAAATAATAACTTATTGGCTTGGAGGAAGGCAAGTTTTCAAGCATTTTTTCAACATGGTCAACTAGAAATTTTATTAGAGGATTTGGGACCTAAAGGTTTCGTGATTTCAACGATTAGTTTACATGATATTAACTTACCAATGAAATGGGCTTATAGCTCTCCAAAAAAAATGAGTCTTTTGAAGGCTCGGAAAAACTTTCCAAAATCTCATCAGAAATACTTAATAAATCCTCAAATACATGCAACATTCTGTTGTTGGCCTCGATTATTACTCTGGACCTTCTTTTTAGATCTCTAAATTTGTGATATGGGAAATTTCTGCTCAGAAGATCATCAGCTATAAATTCGTATCTATCGAGATTATTCACTTGTGTTGTTAAATTTATTTGGGTTTCTTCACTTTTAATCGACCCCAAAAACAATAACAGTAAATATACAAATACTGCCCATCTATTAATTAGCACCATGGAAAATTCTCAATCCGTATTCTTATCCCAAAAAAACAAATAAATTTTTTTAGAAAACTTATTTTGAGATCACAATAAGAAACATTACACTTAATGTAATCGGATTTATTTATTTTTTAGATTTTAAGAATATTTTTATCTTTTGAAAAAAATATGCAAAGGTCATAAATTGGTAAATAGGCGCCAACAAATTGGGGGCTAATATTAATTATATAATGAGGGCATTCGTTGCTATAAACATTGATCGTAATGGAGATAGCTGGGGTTGATGATAGTACATTTAAAATTCTTGTTTTTACAGACACACATGCGGGATATAAAGAAAGAGATGGGTATGTTTGAACTAGTTCTCATTGAATATTAATTTGAGTACTTTATTGATTAGGATAAGAAGCAATGACTCACTAGTTACATTGGAAGAAATTTTAATTGTTGGAAAAAAGCTCAATGTCGATCTTATTTTACACAGTGGAGATTTATTTGACGTTGCAAAACCTTCTAAATACATAATGTATAAGGTAATGAATATAATTCGCCGGTATTGTATGGGGAATAAAAAAATAAAGTTTAGAGCTCTGAATCGGAGAGATTTATCAAATATTAATGGCTACAATTGGGAGATTGGCGACGCAAATGTATCAATTCCATTTTTTGGAATACATGGAAATCATGATGATCCTGGAGAAGAAGGACTTCTTTCCCCACTTGATATACTTGAATCTGCAAGATTTATTAACTATATAGGGAAAAATAGCAATGTAGATAATATTGAGGTTTCCCCAGTTTTACTTGAAAAAGGGAGCACACGATTAGCAATATATGGAATCGGAAATATTAGGGACGAAAGGCTTTATAGGTCATTTGAAAGGAATAAAGTTAAATTTCTAATTCCTGATAATAACGATTCCGAGTGGTTTTCTATATTACTTTTCCACCAAAACAGGAGAAAAGGTAATTTTGGAGGGACTTTGTCAAAAGATTCAATTCCAGAATCATTTTTACCAGATTTCCTTGATTTAATCATTTGGGGCCACGAACATGAGTGCATAGTAGACCCTGTGGAGGTTGCTAATAAGAACTTTTTCGTACTTCAACCGGGATCTTCAATTGCTACATCTCTTATTGCATCTGAAAGTTTGCAGAAGCATGTAGTACTATTGGAAGTCAAAAATAACACATTTAAAACAACTCCTATTCCTTTAATCTCACCAAGGATCTTTTTGTATGATCACGTGGTTTTAGACAAAAATATAACTCAGGTTGAGGAACATTTAGTTGCGAGAATCAATGAACTGATTGAAATGGCAAAAGTTGAACACATGGAAAAGAACAAATTGAATTTGCCTCAAATTCCGGAGGTACAAGAGGTCATAAAGAATAATTCGATGGAGCTGCCTATCCTCAGACTTAGAGTTGAATATGAATGTGATTCACAGTTAATTAATTCTAAAAGGTTTGGATTTCAGTTTGTTGGGAAAACAGCAAATCCACATGAGATTTTAATGTTTACAAGGCGCAATAGAAACAATGTTAAGGATCTTGAACAAGAAGATTCAATTGGTTTGAATTCGAGAATGGGCTCAATTTCATTCAGTACTGATGATAGTAATATGATAGAAAGTTTAACAATTTACTATACAGAAAAACTAAACGGATTAGAAATTATAAGTATAAACGACTTTAATAGGGCAATAGACATGTTTGTCAATAAGTTTGATAGCCATTCTATTGAAAACTGCATTATTAACGCAATTTCAAAATCTAATTCATTTTACAAAAACAATAAAGGGCTCGAAATCAACGAAATTTTGCAAAAGGTTAAAGAAAATAATAAATTCTGCAAGAATGAATTGAGCAGTAATAAAATTGACTCACTAATGTCTGAAGAGTTTTCTGACTTATTCAGTGAGGGAGAGATTTCTGATTCTTCCGATTGTATTAAACAAAGCAAGAGATCACGTGAAAACAAAAATACTACTAACCGGAGGAAATCCGTGAAGAAGGGTAGCATTGATGGAATCTCAGATGGTGAATGGAATTGATCTAAACATAAAATATTGATTTTAGTTAGTTCCACATTTTCAAATTAGTTCCTATCATGAGAATACTGATTTACAAATAGCTTTAATAGAAAAAACCCGCGCACCATAAATTTAAATACAAAAGTAAATATGTAAATTAAAAAAAATATAATTAAATTGTCTTTTCTTTGAAAAATCTGTCTATTACTAAGAACTTAGGTATAATTTTGTGAAAATGTGGTTCTGATCAAATGAAATTTTATAATTGTAAAACTAGTTTTCATAAAATAACTCGGAAGTTGGGAACTTTATTAATTAAGAGTTAGTGACGTATTATTTAAGTATGCATTGATCTCTTCCTTCACTCAAACATTTGAATTTAGAATTCTTGATTAGAATCAAAACAATTTTGGCTATTTGAGAAAATAATGAATGAGATATTACTAAATATAGACACGATTTGATACTGATCTGTGGATTTTATATATGAATTCTTAAATTATTTGTATAACTTGTGAATTTTACCTGTGTATTTAAGTTTAGTGGTATATGGTCTTCTTGAACTTCTACTTTTGTTATTATCAGGGAAAATGTCATAGAGAGCAATGCAACCAATAGAATCTGATGCTTTATAAAGAGCTTTTACTACACTTCTTTCTTGTTCTTTGTCAAATAACACTAAGAGTAGTGAGTTTTTTAGTTTTCCATAATATATAAGTAATGAACTTGGAATTCCCATGTTTTCAGATACAAATGATTGAACTGAGTTAATTTTACGATTTAGGGGTATCTGTATAAGACTATAAGGTACTTTTAACAACCCTTCACAGCTTTCATTGCTACAAATCATAGAATGAGAACTTTCTTCACTTTTTGTTCCACAATTGCACATCTTTGGCATATATAATGGACAATCCGTACATGACCACTCAAAGTAAATTGAAGAAGAGGATGCATCTTCATTAAAGAACAGCAGGTCGGTATTGAATGGACTTAAAGGAGAGTCTGCTCCTTCGACTGATGGCCTATCTATGGCAAATTCAATGAGTCTTTTAATATCTGATGTATTATTACTATCATTGTTTTTTTTAACCATCAACTTAGCTCTATTATCCGCAAAAATATCTAAATGTCTTGAACTCGACTGTTCTTGAAGTCGTTTCTTTCTTTTAGATATTTGAGACCTAAATTCAGCCAAAAAATTGTTAATATCAAATGGTTTAGAACTTTCTTTAGTCGGCATCCCGATATGGTTCAGAATACAGAGCCATAAATTAGGTGCTATAGAATGTGATTGCAATTTTTTCAATGTTTTACTTAAATATTGTTCGGATTTTTTAAAATGTAATATTGAAAATAGGGCGATTTTCTATAGTTGCCGCCAGAATAAATTTAATCTTATTTGGAGATATTTCTTCGGGAATACAAACATGAATACAATCAGCAGAAACACAGATTAAATCTTAAAGCTAGCAAAGCTTAGATTTGACTATATTTAAATTTTAAAAATAATTTCAGTGATAAAATCTGAGTATTTTTATGTAATGAATTTCGTGTGGGGGGGGGGGATATACCAAGTTATAGCATGTTCGTAATAGGGTAAAAAATGGAAGTTTTGAAAATGATATTTTGTATATTCGTACAAAATGGAAGAAGTAGTAGATTTAATATTTTCAAATAATTGCGGTTATGAGTTATCTGAGCTCTTATTGTGTGTGAATAAGTACTTGAATGGGAAGAAACACAACATTAAATTGTTGGAAAAAAAATTGCTTATAGATTATGAGATATTTGCCATCAATAATTTAGAAAAGATTGAATACGGTAGTTTGAGATATGAACATGAGGATGGGTTTAATATTTTGAGGGCCAATAATAAGAAGAGGATAGTGGGTAAATACCAGGAACTTTCTTTAAAAACAATTACTAAACTATTTTATATAAAGAACAATGGTACAGTAAAATTAGTATTAAGTAATATGAGTTGTTTATACCTGATTTTAAGACTATTAATGCTTTTTATTTCCGATGGATTAAGACTATTGCCTTCTTTTGAAGAAGATTTTGAAAATCATGTTAGAGAAGTTCATTCTTTTATTGATACATTGTTAAAAACTAAAGAGATCAATAATGAGATAGAACCAGACAAAGAACTAATATCCGAAGTCACATATGCTCAAGAGTTCAATGCTCTAATTTCAGGATTAATTGAGCTTACTACATCCATATTTTTAAGTTTCCAGGAAAGTACAGACAATATGCTTAGAATAATTTTAGATTTCTTTCAATCAACGAAAATAATCACGGAAAAAAAAAGTAAGGATTTTCAAAGAGAATTAAAAAAGAAACTAATTGAGTCTTGCATGACATTGTATTCTAAATCCGTGATCCAATATAATATTGAGAACTTAAATTTGAATATTAATTTTGTACTATCATTGGCTGAAGAGTTCATCAGGCATGAAGATGATTATTCAATAATATTAACCGAAATTTTGGTTACAAAACAACTATTTTCAATTGAAAATTTACTTTATACTTTTTATTTAGATAATGATTCAGACAATGAAAAAATAATTATTAAGGAGGAGCAGTATATACGTATAGGAATTACCATCAAATTTTTACATTTAACTTTAAAGATGATAGCCGAATCAAAAAAAGTACTAGAAAAATTAATTCAAAGGGAAGTTCTTACTAATATAATTGACTACGTGATTTTGGCTCGAATTTTGGGAGTTGAATCATCTAACGAGCAAGCTTTTGAAAGTAAACTAAAAAACAATAAAATAACATCAGAATATACCAAGATTAGAAAAAACAATATATTCAAAGATAAAGATGGTTGTTACACAAAATTAATGATTTCTAATGAAGGGCATTCTATTGAGATTCTTCAGAAACTATTTATCGCCTTTCCAATATTATTTTCAACTTCAAAAAAAAGTACATTCAAAGTTGTTAACCATATTCACAAAATTCTACATCTTCAAGATGAAATTTACGATTTTTCATATTTTTCTCTCCTTTTTCCAGTTCTATGTGAAACATGTTGTACAGTGTATGCAGATAAGAATATGCAATTGATGCTGATGAACGAAATTCTTGAGCTTTTTCAAGCTGCAGCAAATATAATGGATAGTTCATTAAAAAAATCAGAGGAACATCTTTCTACATATCTAAGCCAAAACATGGAGTTTTTATCAATTATTCATATCACCAGTTTTACTTACTTGTTATTATTAGATATCCATTTTCTTGCCAATCAAGGTTCTACAAAACTGCACAACTCCAAGGGAAATTTGCATGCTCATGCATGTAAGGCAGGAACATTTCTCTCATCATTTTTAATTTGGTGTTCAAAATATGAAGAAAATTACATTTTGTATTATTCAGCCTATTGCATAACTAGCAATATTAAAGGAATATTAGGTGAGGGGCTACTTAAAAGCGATGGATGGATTATTGAGTCTGTTAAATATTTGTTTTTTATAATGACTCAGTATTGTCTGAGTATTGGGAAAAGTACAGAATTAAGTTATTTGGAAAGTTATCAAAATCTGGAAACTTCTAAAATTGAAAAAAATGAGTTTCTGATCAACTTTCTCAGAGGATCAGTATTGAGCAACAAGCAGTTATATTGCTTTATTTGTGCATCTAATATAATTGATTCTTTAAGCGAAATACAAGAGGATCTCGTAAATAGTTATTTTCAGAGCAAGATCAAGGAATTTAATCAACTTCTATCAAACATTATTGGTGAAGTTTCTGATAATAAGAAGATACAATGTGGGTATTTTGTAAATTTCAGCCACATAAAGAATATCTTTATGTTTCTTCCATTTAAAGTATTAACCAAAATGAGGAAAAGTATCGATTTAATATTTAGGAATATATCATTGTTAATATCCAACTTTGATCTTGAAAGTAAAGAGAACCTGACAACGATCCCTTGTGTTGATCTAGAAATCTTCCTTTATAATTCAGTTTCATCATTATATTTCATATTGACAATAAAAAGCATCTTCCATTATAACATTGCACAAGTTGAAAATCAGTTAGATTCTGAACAAGAGGGAGAGGTAGAAGAAGAAAGTAACTTGGAAAACAGAAGCTGTTTTGTATTTAAGCTTTTCAATAATGAGATTGAAAAGATAAATATTTACTTCACTAAGGTGTTGGAATTTTATGAAAAAAAAAAGATATATGATTATCAGTACAGAGAGTCATTTTCAATGTTTATAATAATTTTGGAATACATGGCATCAATTGAATCAAAGCTTAGCTTTTCAGAAAGAAAAATTCAAAAACATCTCAAATCATTCAACCAAAACAACTTGACAAATTTTTACAAAAATATCAATTTAAATGATAATCCTTACGATAATAGAAGTGTTCGTAATGAAAATATCCCATATCATGATATATTGGCACTAATTCGTTTTGGAATGGTGAATAATAGTTTAAACAAACATTCATTCAAGTATAATGATATTTCCAGCTCATTAAAATCATTAAGAAGGTTCACTTTTAAGTGAAAATTGTAAATTTTTGAGTAAAAATTTTAAGTTAAATCTCCTCAACCTGAACGGGGAATATATTTTCAAAAACATTCTTTCTGATGTGCCAATCCAACGTACAAATTTCCCCAAAAGGGGAGCTCTCACTATGAATTAAATCTACTTCGGAACTAATAAGTAATTCAGAATAGGCTTTGAGCCCTTTTAGCTCGAGATTTTTGCAGTCAACAAGCCTATTGAGTATCAACCTCCAAATATTGATAATATTTGACCATTTAATTCCACATTCTGAGATCTCATAAGACTTTTTAATCAAGTAATCATTGTATTTAATTTCTTCAAAAGCCTGGTCAACCTCTTCATAAACTCCCATTCTATCAAGAACATATTTTTGAAATTCTATTCTCTTACCACTTTTCGAGGTAAATATAATTGTTGATTGATAATTAGTAAGATGTACAGAAAGAACCAGGTCTTTTAAGACCGAGCTGAATTCAGCTCGAAAATCAGCAAAAGTTGAATGATTTGACATCAAAAAATAGGTACCCTCTCGAGGAATTTTAAGCTTCACCTTTGGAATGAACGATTTGATAGTTTCACAAAGATGAACCCCATAAATATATCTTTTTAAATGCTGCGGTGGGAGTTCACTAATGTGGTATTTGCTTTCATTACTTTTTTGGCTAGCTATCCCAGTGGATTCAAATGACGGATTTACAGAAATATTCCTGATATTATTAATGATATCACTAACTACCACAAAACATCCCCCTCCTTTGACAGTGAAGAGTTTTTTTCTGTTGGAGAATTCGAAACTGAAATCTCCATCTTCCGTAACAGTCACTTTACCTTGATGAGTTTCAAATTCCTTTAAACCTTTTATTCCAATGGAATCAAGAAGGCAAAAATCAGCGTCTTCTAGTTTCATACTATCTTCTATTTCGACATTTTTACTATTTTCTTTATCTTTTTCAAACTTTGATTTCTCATCCCATTCAATATCATAAAGCCTGTATCTAGCAGCAGATGATGCAAGCGGAGTTAATGTGTCCTCATCATTAAAACTTTCAATATAATCTTCATTGCAAATTCTATTCTTTGAAATAATACTGGATAATTCTCTATTAGTCCCAAAAAAAGGTTTGGGAGATCCTGACGTATTTCCAAAATTTTCCAATTTATCTCGGGTAATAGGATGAATTCGGGGTATCCTGCTTAACTTCTGATTAATTATTGAATTGCAGTTTTCATCGCCAAAATTTGGGGTGATCCTTGGAGAGTCCCAATATTCATCAGTTAATGCATGCACTTCCGATTTCTCGAGCTCCCCCACTCCCTTCACACCGCGACGTTTAAGGCAGTATTCTGGTATTTTGAGAGAATTAAAAACTTCTTGATTCAGCATGATCAAATAGATACTTTTTGCGGATTCTGTTCAGCTTGAATGACACTATAAGAGATTTGATTAGCTGTATTATCTTCATGAACTCAAAATTTAAAATACACACATGTACCGTCATGCGGTGAACATAATATAAAAGAGCTTAGAAAACCCACCCAAAATCCCATTAGGTACTTTATCTCAATTAAACAACATCAACTTTCCTAAATCCAATGATCAAATTTTCTTTTGATTTAATACTTGCCACTTTTAGTGACATTCTGGTTCCCGCTCAAAATATGGCGGTATACAGGGGTGCAGAAAATAATAGTTTAGGGAGCCTTTAAATTTACAAGAATACGTCTACCATCTAAGAAACAATACATGTAAAGAAATAAAACCACAAAAAGAATAACAAATCGGGAAAATATCTGATAAGATACGTTGAATAATATATGCGAACTTTGTTTCGGTAGGGAAATTATATGCTTTTAAAGGAAAGAAGTTGAAGAGAAAAAGGATCTAAAAATATAGATTAATAAATCAGCAAACATGGCTGGTACAGATGATATTTTGCTAGAAAATTCAAGCGGATACGACAAGTTTAGGAGGAAGGCACTCACTATACTACCCGTTATTTTTGTGGTGACTATTATAATGTGCTTATATTTGATATATACATTTTACCATATTATTCCTTTAATCGAAGAAGATAGCGAATCCGGTATTGCTCAAGTTGTTTTTTTCAATATATTTGTGCTCATGACACTTATTTGTTTTGTCCTTAGTATCTTAACAAAACCTGGGGAGATTCCGAATACTCCCGAATGGAGTATTAAAGCTACGGAAGGAAGAGCTCGAAGCGATTTAAAATCAAAAGAACTTAAAAGCAATGGAGAAAGGAGATATTGTAAGTGGTGCGCAAAGTATAAGCCTGATAGAACCCATCACTGTAGGGTATGTAGGACTTGTGTTCTTAAGATGGATCACCACTGCCCTTGGATCAGCAACTGTGTAGGCTGGGGAAATCATAAACATCTCCTTCTTCTTATATTTTACTCTGCAATTTCATGTTCTTTTATTACCATTACGTTGGCTCCTACTCTGAATACGAGCTTGAATATGAGTACTATTCGATTTGGAGACATTGTTGCACTTTTACTAGCCGAGATTTTATCAGCATTCTTGGTGGTTGTACTGTTTTCTTTCTTTTTCTTCCATTTATGGCTGGTTTTTAATTCTATGACAACTATTGAATTTTGTGAAAAATCAAGAAGTACTTCCTATACTAATCTGTGGTTTAAAGGTTATATGCATTCATTTAAACAGGTATTTGGTTCAAACCCATTTTTGTGGTTTCTTCCTGTCGGAAACCAGGTAGGAGATGGAATAAACTTTGATCATTGCCACAGGCTTGAAGCAGATGTTCAAAGCAATGACTTCAAAGGTAGATCTAATACTACATCTAATATGAACGCTACTGTGGTTGTGGATTGCCAACCCAAAATAGCAGAAGAAAGTAGTTTACTATTGAGTTCGGAACAAGAGTCAAATAAAATTGGAGATGAATCCCTTTAATCTATTATATTATTATATTAGGTAGCTCTAATCTTATCTAAAAATATTATTGCAATTTTTCTTTTTATATTTAATTTATCTGCAATTTTTTGTAATTATACCATAGACATGCCGTAAATATAAAGCGCTTTTTCGACTAGTTAAATATAGGAATCAAAAAAATATATTAAATTTTGGATCCAAGCAGAAATAATAATAAAAATACTTCCCAGATAAAGTTTTCACAAAGATAACATTAGATAAGAAATGGGGTGAGTTAGCTCAACATCTTTTTTGATGGTATTTATCACTGAACTAATATTCCAGAAATGAATCAAGTGGTATTTCAGAGCAGGAAAAGCTTGAGCTAATACAGGCCGCAAGCTTTACCAGGAGAGATATTATTCGTATATACTCTAGATTCAAAGCATTAGATACCAATCAAAATGGGGAGCTTGACCCACACGAACTTTTTGAAATGCCAGAGATTGCAGATAATCCGTTAGTAAAACGCGTGATTTCTATTTTTGACACAAATAAGGACGGCAAAGTATCATTTGTTGAGTTCATTATAGGTCTTGCTAGGTTGGCTGTTGGAAGCAATCCAGAAGAAAAAATGAAGTTTGCTTTTGACATTTATGATGTAAATAGTGATGGCTGGATTTCGAATGGAGAACTTTTCAAAGTAATGAAGATGATGGTTGGAGACAATTTGGAAGATTTACAAGTAAGTTATGGATGAATCTAATTAGAACTCTCAAAGTAATCTTAATTACTTTTTACTCAACTAGCAAATTGATCTAACTTTTTCTTTTTTTTTTTTTAGCTTCAACAACTGGTTGATAGATGCATAATTCAGGCTGATAAAGACGGAGATGGTCTCATTTCTTATGAAGAATTTTGTGAAATGGTGGCTCATCTTGAAATAAATACTAAGCTCAATTTGCAATTTCAGTTTTAGTAGATCTTCATAATTAAGATAAAAATACAATTATTTGCTTTTATATTATTTTATTGTGAGCATAAATATTTTCTAAAAAATATAATATTGGGTTTAGTTACATTAAATTGCATAAAAAGAAATAATAGATTTTTTGAAAATTTCGGGCTTATTTATGGATAATGAGTAATCACACATTTAGCTCTAATATTAAGAGGTCATTAAATATAAAAATTTTACAATTTTTTTATTGGATAGAAAGCAAAATATTCTAATTACTTAATACCGACATTTTGCATGCATGCAAGAGCTAATTCCCCACAAAATTTATTTAAGTGTTTTTTTTTACAAATTAAAAAATTAATAAACATTTAATATAAGGGTTGGGAGCCGCAAAAAATATTTTGGGGAGTTTAATTTAGAACAAATCTTTTGGTATTTAGTATTTTCTTTTGGGCTGAAAAGACTAAATTAGAGTTTGTAAAGTACTTATATGAATTTCATAGAGTTTGTGCAACAAGGGCCGCGATTTTATGGCTTTTTTCTTCTTTACTTACATAGCCCTTTAGAACGGCACATTAATAAAAGTTTAACCACAAATTGCTTCTCTTATTAAACACATTGAATTGTATGTAATAGTATGAAACATAACAAATCAACTATGACGAAACAATTTGAAGTACTTTATACACGCCAAAAAACCCAGAAGACAAAAACATGGCATGACGGATTAGTGGTAATAGACAATGTTAAAGGTATTAACCGAATTTCTTTGTATAAAACTGATGAAAATGGGTGCAGGGGAGATGTTGTGGAATCTTTTTCTTCACATATTCAGGAAATTAATGTTTCAAAAATTGGCTTTCCAAGCCATCTAATACAACTTGTAGAGAAAGAAGAAGCAAAAGTAAAGATAGGGACAGATGAGGCAGTTACATCATCAATTACGAATAAGACTCTTCAAAAATCATTGGAAGACCATGATGATCACATCAGAAGTTCAGTCATTAAAAAAAACCTTGTAAGGCCCTTTAAGGCTCCTTTACTAAAGGTAAATGTTGATATTCCCAAGCCGGTACAAGTTAAGGCTTCAAAGAAGATCTCTAAGATGATTTCATTGAACAAGATTTCCAGTAAGCAAGGCATTGTAAAAGCAATAGAAAAAATCTACACATTGTGCAATTAATTAGGTTAGAAGAAATAAGAAAATAATCTATTAATATGCTACTTTAATATACTGCCGATGTATTGTTTGTTCCAAAGTTGGTAATATTGCATCTTGTTTTCAATTAGTTGATCATGATTTCCAACTTCTTTGACAGTTCCTTCCTCCAAGTAAGCTATTGAATCAAAGTTTCGAACGCTTGAGAGTCTGTGAGCTATTAATATGATAGTTATCGGAAGTTTTACAATCTCTTCTATTAGCTTTGTAACACTTTCAACTTCCTTTTTATTTTTAAGGTAAGGTATCAGGTTAAATATATCTTCGTACTTGAATCTTGTATTGTCTTTATCAGTGATATCTGAAGAATTAGTACTTGAAACCGAGTGGCCGTGCAAAAATGAGAGCATCTTTATGATAAAGTTGTGATTTGTTAGATCCAGAGCACTTGTGGGTTCATCTAAAATCCAAATAGGCGACTTTTTAATAAGCATCCTAGCAAAACCTAACCTTTGTTTTTCACCTCCTGATAAGCTACAGCCTCTTTCACCTACTACAGTTTCATATCCTCTATTCATCTTCAAAATGTTTTCATGAACACCAGCAAGTTTGCAAGCTGATATAATCTCATCCAAGGTCGTATTAGAATTTGCTATCTTTAAATTGTCAATAATGCTCATATTTAGAAGCAAAACGTCCTGAGGAAGTACTGAAAAACAATTTCTATACTCTTTGATTTCTAATTCTTCAATTTCTTTTCCAAAGATTCGAATTTTTCCAGAGTTCGGCTCAAATATTCTATATATTAGCTTTGCTAAAGTTGTTTTCCCACTGCCAGAGGATCCAACAAGCCCCATTCTCTTTCCTAGTGGAATTTCAAGAGAAAGATCGTTCAAAACTAAATCATCAGAGGTATCTGATTCTTCCAAATATGTATGTTCATTTCCAACAGTGGATGGGAAACCAAAAGAAACATTTTCTAATTGTATAGAATTCTTCTCAGAACTTAAATCAGTTTCTTTGCGGACTAACTCTTTGTATAAATCTAAAGTTTTTATATCTGAATCCAAATTTTTGGTTTGTTTTTCTACAGAATTTTTGGTTCTTTTTGGATTGATGGCCAAATATTCATTTAGTTTGCTTAAGTCAATCAAAGTTAATTTAGTCTCTCTGTAAATCATACCAATAAAATTTAAAGGAATGGAGAGTTGGAATAAAAGGGAAGTTACCAATACTATAGAGCCAATTGGTAATTTTCCTGCTAAAACTTTATTAGTGGTTAGTAATATTGCAGATAAAAGCCCTCCTGTAAATATGAAATTCTGGCCAAAATTCAAATACGCCAAGGAAGTTTGAACTTTAACATTCGAGTTCTTATATATTTCCTGGTAATTTGAGTAGAGATCATAAATATGCTTTTCGCCGTTAAGATACTTTAGAGTTTCTGCATTAATTAATGAGTCACTTAAAAGACCATTAGATTTTTGTTCTGAAGTGTTCATATTCTTCCTGTAAATAGTTCTCTTGTGAGTAACTCTTCTTGTAAAATCCATATAAGCTATCATTGTAGCTAAGGTGATCAATGCCACCTCTGAACCAACTTTATGAAGAAGGATCCCTAAAACCATCAGAAACTCAGCAGTAGTGGGTATTATCTGAAAAATCATAATATTAAGTAATTTTGATATAGACTTAAATCCTCTGGTAATTATGGTTAAAAGTTCTCCGGATCTGTGCCTTTGAATGAAACTCAAATTACTAACATTATGGAAATGGTGAAAAGCGTTTAAGGATAAATCTCTGCATGCAGATTGACTAACTTCAGAAAAGAGGGCATTTCTAAGCTCATTAAATCCTGAAGAGGAAATTCTTGCGATACCATAAGAACTAATTAAGAGCAGGCAGTTGAGCTTGCTAGTGAGAGATTTGGATAGGTCTGAAGAACTAATAACTCCCACAGTATCAATTAATCTTGAAAGCAATAGAGGGACCTGAATTGTAGCAAGCTTGGCAACGCCTAGGCTTATTAAAGAAAAAATGATTCTTCTTCTATATTCCTTATTTTTTGGCCATAAGTATTTAGTCAGAATTTCGATGTTTTTTGAATCCTTTTCCTGAATAAATCTACTTTTCTTGAGTATATTCACAAGTACGTTTTCTTTTGAAAGACTTTTATCTATATAAGTTGATATTGGTTTTGCATGCATGCAACAGCCTGAAAGTTTTGAATCTGAAAAAATAAAAGTTCTACTTCTTACAAGAGAAGATGCTAAACCCCCCAAATAATTAATCCTACATGTACTTGATCTGTTCAGAAGTAGGGGATACAGTTTCAAGATTTTAGAATTGGAAGCTTTCTGAACAAAAACCCACATTACATTGAATAAATCAGTAGCCCAGAATCTCAAAAGCTCGTATCTATAATCAAATTCTTCTGCATTATTTAATTCCACCTGATAAATAATATATCTTACTTATTTATCTCTTCTTTCCCAAATACTATTTATTGTTTTCTAGCTTTGTTTTTTTTCAATAAAATTGAGCGCCACATCCCTGGTATTGTTTTTTCAATGTAAATTAGTACAAAGTTGAAATGAGAAAGAGGTCAAATTAGGATTCCGAAACTCTGATTACTAATTGAGACTAAATATGGCATTTTCTCTATTGAGGAAAGTCAACGAAAAGGTGTTGAGCTCAGTTTCTCTTCTAGATGCCTCACTTGACGTTGACTATATTATAGTTGATGTAAGGGACTCAATTACCTCTAATAAACCCGAAAAGGTTGAGGCAGGGATTAATTCTCTAGTAGAATTTGGAGAGAAAAATAGAAATGCCTTAATTTTACAGAGAGAGTGGGTACAGCTCGTGTTTTGGGTAATTGATTGGATGGGGAATGACATTAATTTGAATATCCTTTCAAGTATACTCCAGTTAATAATAAGGATGATGAATGATAATAAAGGGAATTCTAGGTTTATAAGTTGCTGTGATCTTCCAGATCTTTTTCCCACCGAGAAAAATCCAATAATAGTCGAAAATGCAAAGATTATTGAAGAAATTGCCAATGTGAGTAAAGGGGGTACCCAATTACTTGAAACTTTGAGACATATAAATTACAAAGAGGCAGACATTTATGTTAAGTATGATATTGTGAAGATCCTTAGTACAATTCAAAAGAGTGGATTAGGTAACTTTAAACTGGATCAAATAATTCTTTCTCAGGGTGATTGCATGGGGTTACTTTTGGAGCTTATAACGGACGGTTTAAACAACCATAGCTCTTACTTACAGAACTCTCTTGAACTATTAATGTTTTTAACTAAATCAAATTCGGAAATACAAAAGATTATTACTTATAATGGCTCTATTTCAAAGATTTTAAACATTATTCAGGAAGAGACGCAACAATTTATCAAAAAGGATGGATCCCACAAGGGATTTATTAATTCTGATGACATCATAAATGAATTTCTATTGATCACTGACTTTGAATCAGCAATATACTCCAATCTTGAGATTATTCAAATTTCTGTAGAAATTATATTTCACATTACAAAATCCCAAAATTGCTTAAAGTTCATTTTGGAAGCGAGTAATGAAGCTTTAAGTTTTCTGGATGTTTTGACGGATCTTATTGGTTTTTGTCTCTTATTTCTAGAATATAGTTTGTATAACAATGAGATGTATAATGTTGATGTGATAGAGGGTGGGGAAAGTTTATTAGGAAATGAACAGAATTTGATCCTTGCATCAATTATATTAAGAGTAGTTGAAATTTCAAACTCTTATATCCAAACAATGAATATTGAAAACGCCTTAAATAAGACTCAGAAAATGAGGGAAATACTTAATACGATGATTGCTAGTCCAGTTTTAATAAAGTTTGGTCTTTTAGAGAAGGTGATGCAATTTATACAGACTTTTCAAGATCAGAATCAAATTATTAACCCAGAATGGTGCTCTATGGTGTTATCTTCTGCTCTAACTCCTGAACTTTGGTTTGGATTTAATAAGATTCTTTCTGACTATAGACCTACAATAGATTACATTACTGAAAATAAGTCTTCTGAAATTGAACAGCATGCTAAGCAAATCCAAGAGTTTAAGGAAAAGTACATGAACCAAATGGAAAATAGTCTTCTAGAGTGGTTTGGGATTGTGACAATACCCAAAAATTTTTCTTTGAACTTGCTTATTTCAAGAGATGATTCGGTATTTAAACTCCTAATAAATAACCAACATTTTAGCTCATTTTCTTTAAATAAACTTGGTTCTTCTCAAGATAATATTTTCAAAGATTTTATTTCATTTTGTTTTTGGTTTAGTGTTACAGAGTTCCGACGCTTACACAATAAATCAGTTTTCTCAAGACTAGAAGCTCAATTAGCCGGGGAAAATCATTTACAAGATTCTCAAGAAGATGGAAGTATTCTCAATTTAACACTGATTTTTCATTATAGACTATTCAGATGCATTCAGGTCTTACAGGTTCTAGTTTTGAACGGATTAGGCTCTTCAGCAAAGATTGAACTCAAAATTAATGATATTTCATCATTAGTTAACAATATATGGGAAAATGGACAGCAGTATGATACTGACAAATCAATAAATTCATCGAATTCTTCCCAAAGGGAAATCTTTGAAAAGCTAATAGACCTCGGAAGACTCATGATCACAGATGTATCTAAAGCTTTGGAATCTGAATCCAATGTTTTATTTCTGAGCTTAATTAAAACTTATGGAATTAAAGAGGGGGACGAAAACAAACCGACAAATAAAAACTCTCATCTTTTCAACTCCATGACTACTTTAACTCAAATAATAATCTTTTTAATTGCATTGAATGTTAAAAACTTGGATGTTGAAATCCCAAATTCTTTTATTCAAAGCATTAAGCTTCTTGATGAAAAGCTTAAAAACCAACTTAATAAAGACTCCTGCTCACTTATTTCTGATGTAATTTCCGTCTTACTCTTCAGATTTGGAGCTCTAAAAAATACTAACATCTTGAATCAAATTAACAAAAGATTCAAAAATCATTTTTATGATGCATTTGTCATTAATAAACAAACGCATGCATGCATATTACATGCAATTCTTTATTGCGCGGGGAACAGAGGTATATATTCGAAGGAGGACCTTTCTTTCAAAGAAAAAATTGATCCGGAGATTTTTGACCCAACAGAACAGGATATCTCTTTAAAGAACGATGATGAGTGTGTGAACTGCATCTATTTAAGTGAAAAGATGTTGAATGAGAGAAAAAGTTTAATTAAGATAATAAAGAAAAAACAAGAGGAAATTAATATATTGGTCAAAGCTTATATGGACTCCCAAGAGGCTTTGAAAAAGACTTCACTGAATCAAGATGAAGCTATGCCTAAGAGAGATGGTTCACGCCAGAAGAATGTAGCTAATGAGAAGATGATTGACACTTCTGATTATTTTGCTCTTCTAGAAATGGTGGGAATTTTATACAGAAAATTCCCAGTTATCAAGAAATTTGTAGAAAACCACATAATGTTGTCTTCTCAGCTCAAATCAGAAATTTCTTCTTATTCGTTAGATGAGGACACCCAAAATATTGAGTATGAATATATGACAGATTCAGAAGAAGTTTTATTGGAAGAAAATGATCAGAATAATGAAAATAACACTAGCATTATGTTTGGCGAAGATACACAAGATAATCTAATAAATCGCGAAGCTCGAAACTAAAGCTGTCTTTGATTTCTTCCTCCAAAGGCATTATCTAAGGTCAATTTGGATTGGCAACAATTAAAGATATTTTCTTCTATTGTATCTTTGCAAACCAGCTTGAATATTTTAACTTGTTTACTTTGGCCAATTCTGTGAACTCTGTCCTCTGCTTGTTTCTCTATCTGAGGGTTATAGTCAAGGTCCATCATAATAACAGAAGAAGCCACTGTAAGATTTAGACCTTGCCCAGCCGCCTTTGTTGAGAGCAAAAACAACGGAACCTCAGTATTCTGAAACTTTTCTATCATATTTTGTCTCTCCAGAATTGGTGTGGTCCCGTCTAGCCTTAAGTAGAAGTTAGGGATATTATACTTAATTTTTATATACTCTTCAATAATGTCAAGTAACATTGTGTGGTGGCAAAAAACAAGGCATTTTTCCTTATTTCCAATTACTGTACTTTGGATTATTTCATTCATCTTCATCAGCTTGCAACTTCCATTGATAATTAAATCATCTTCAATTTTGAACCTCTGCAATACTGGAGAGTTTTTCATGGTTAGTAGCCTACCCACAAGCTGGTGAATCTCATAGTCGCAGAGCTGAGTAATATGTTGTTCTACTTTAATCCTAGGATATTCTCTAAACTCTTCCACATTCTCCGACAAATAGTCAACCAGCTCCTCTATTTGCTTGTTAGTATAATGACCTTGGTGTAACAGGGCGTGGTTGCAAATCCTTCTCATCCTAAATATAATCGAATTTACATACTTAGGGTCGTAGTGGTGTTTTGCTGATTCTTGAGACTTTACTTGTTCATTTTCTTCCAGCTCTAAATCATTGTCTTTGCAAACTACTATTATGTCATTTGAGTCGATACTATCTTCGCATTCCTTGTCATTTTCATAAGTTGAATCTCCAAAGTGGCGGTTTACCTTATCTTGAATTTTTCTTTGAATTAAGTTGATTAGCTTCTTCTCATTAGAAGAATCCTGTTTGAAGGTTTTTTCTAACATATTGTCTTTTGGATCATTAAAAGAGTCCTTTTCCATATATATATATCCTATCTCATCATTATATTGCTTCTTTTGTACTTTGGTTAGCTCACAAAATTCGATGAATGTGTGCTTCTTAGGTAGGCATGATAACACATCTTGCTTAGACCTCCTAAGAACGAAAGGAGCAATTATTTGTTGAAGAAACAAGACCTCTGAGTTATTATCTTTATAATTTTCTCTTTTTGAAATCTGGCGCTTATAACTATTGTATGCATCCTCCAATAAATCAGAATTGAATACCTCCGGCATCAAAAAAATAAGCATGTTAGTTAGCTCTGAGATGGAATTGGATATTGGAGTGCCAGTCAACAGCAACTTTCTTTCTGATTGAATCTTCTTGCTCATAGATTTGTATCTTTGTGAGGCCGAGTTTTTTATGTTATGAGCCTCGTCCACTATCATATACGAAAATTCAAAGTGTTTGAAAGCCATATTGATGTCCATCTTATTACTTAGCATTTGGAAAGTGGTTATAATTGCATCCACTTTATTTTCCTCATAGTCTTCAAAAAGCTGGTCAGCAATTTGTCGTCTTTCCTTTTGAGACCCATGGTATTTAATTGCTCGAAGCCTTGGAGCCCAAATAGATATTTCCTTTGTCCAATTATCTAATAAAGAGGCCGGACAACTAATTATTACAGGCCTTAATAACTTGTCGGAGTCAAATAGATACTGTAACCAAACACAAGTTTGAGCAGTTTTACCCAACCCCATTTCATCTGCAAGAATACCATTATATGAATTCTGGTGTAAAGCTAAAAGCCATGAAACTCCGACTATTTGATATTCTTTCAATCTAGTATCTCCAAAAGAGTTGATATATTCGAATATTTCGCCTTTTCTTAACTCATCTGTAAGGCTGCTAATATTGCAATGCCCATTCTTAATATTATCAGTAATTTGACTTTTGGCATCTTCCTCTGCATTACTACCTACAAAAAAATCTACAATTCCCTTCTTCATCTTCAAGGAAATATCCAAGCAAAAAGAAAGAGCATCATCTTCTCTTTGCATTAACTCCCTCAATTTCTTTGTCTCCTTTTCCTCTATAATTTCTCCGTCTTGAGAGCTGTTCTCCGAATCACTGAAATTGCTTTTTCTAGCAGAATCCATAGAAGAAGGGGAAGACATACTTGATGAGTCAGAGACATTTCTTGCGCTCCTCTTTCTTCGAACTAAACGTTTAAATCCTTTGTTAAGTTCCTCATCTTCTCTATCGGAGCCGTCGAACAATGATGGATAATTATCTGAGTTCATATAATTGGCTTTGTTTTCGATATCAGTGTCTAGATTACAGTTTATATCTAATTGACCTTCTTTTTTGCATTTCTCTTCAATCTTTATCTTCTTGATAGATGCTAAGCTCTGTTTCATATTAGCATATTATATCTTCACGGATTTCTAATACTAGATTCCTGCCTATTTTCAGCCACCAGACCTTCAATATCCAAGTTATCAGAGACTTAATTCTATGGAATACACGAATATGAATATAAATATTTATTTATATTTCCTAACTAATTAATTATGTTTTTAATTTTCTTTTAACAAGAAAATTTGGATTTTTAATAACAATGTCGTTTGATTTTCCCTCATTAATTATACCGGCACCAATTCAGTAACAAAATAATATGCATACAAAATCAGCCCTAAACACAAAACTCACAATTAAATCCTTGTTATTCATTAATAACAAAATCTAATTCTTTTTAATATGTAAGTATACTCTCAAGGGAATTTCTCATTTTTTTTTTCATTATTCTATCAATAACTTTATATCATTAGCTTTCTTAAATATAAAAATATATATAAAGTTTTCTTGAATTTCATGTGGGCGAATATTTAGAAAAAGGATAATATAATTTGGACAATGGTTCGAAGATGCTGATCGAAAGATTTAGAAAGTTAATTTAGAAATTTTATTGAACCTTTTATTTACTAAGGACCAAATATCGACTAAAATTAATAACAGTTATGTATAATTCAATCAGTAGCCTTGTTCCTTGATTTTTTTTCTAGTAACTCTGTAATCTCAGTTTTAGAGGAAATAGCCAGGTCAATTTCAATGGCATGCTCATTTATAAGTTCGTCCAACAGTTTTTCAACCGAATCTTCTGTATGCATGCATTTTTCCTTCCCCGCATTTTCTCCAACCATTTCGGGCTGAGAATCTTCGATAATACTAAGCAACTGGGTAATTTCTTTGATCTTGCCCATATTTGAGTATCCCATAACTCCCTCTTCCGAAAGTTGCTTTTTCAGTCTTGGAATAATATCTAAAAGCTGTTTTGAAATTTTTTCCTTTGATGATGCTTTTTCCAGTCTGGCACAAAGTCTGTCAAGCTTAGAAACCATTAAGAGAAGTTCTCTACATTCTTCTTGCATTCTCAATGAGTTTTCTGCATAAATCCTGAGAAAGTAAAATTTCAGAGAGGTCATAGTATAATTTAATTGCTAAATAAGAGTGTTTTCCAACTTACTTTGATAGTTCCGCTTTTCCAGAAATTAATGCATCCTTGGCCTTCTTCCTTTCTGCTTTTGAATCTCTGTCCCTCTTATTGTATTGTCTCTCCAGCTCCTTCTTCTGTAATTTGAGTTCAAATATTGAATCATCAATGGATATTTTGTTTCCCATATTTGAGAAAAACAAAAACATTGGCGCCAATACAAAAACCAAAAATATTTGATTACCATCGTAGTTGATTAAATCTTCAGAAGGTGAGAAATAATCTAGTAGTAATAAAAATAATAAAAGTGTCAGAAAGTTATAATATATAGTATTCATACTAATTCCTATATTAATAATGCAGTAGTATATAAACTATTTCTCTAGTTGATTAACCCCCTGTTTTTTAGCACTTGTTGTATCGCAAGAATCTTGGACTTTTCTTCTTCAGTCCACTGAGCAACAGAATTTGGCTGGATTGAAGCCAAAGCCTGAAGTAGTGCAGGATTTGGGTTGCTGGCAATATCTTCAATAAGAACAGAAATATCTCCACCCAAACTTTTTATATTGATACTGGTATTATCGTTTCTTGTGTTTAATACTTGAGTTCTAATGCTGTTTGCTTTGTTAAGCTGTTCTTGGTTTAGTGGAACAAATGGCTCATTGACCATGCCCAAAATAAATTGAGCATGAAGAAGGGCATAACAGAATTGAGGGTTGTCTAGCAAAATGCTTCTAGCAGTTTCAGGGTTCTGAACAACAAGCTTTTGCATATGACCTATTAAATAATATAACTGAGAAATTGTCATACCTTGTACAAGATGAATGATCTCTGAAGAAATATTATCAAAATTTGCGTTGTTAGTAGGGATTGAAGGTATTGATATTCCATCCTCCTGAATTTGCTGAACATGATTTGATGTTGTTAAAGATATTGGATGATGTAAAGCCTCGGTTCCTTGTTGTCCAATTCCAATCCCACTTTGTGCTGTTGCAGTTACAGGAGCTGTACCAGATGAATTATTTACAACTAAATGGTTATATCTACTTCTCATATCCTGACTTGCCCAATCAACTCTAATAGATCTTCCTCTTAATTCGTACCCATTAAGGCTTTTAATTGCCATAATACAAGTCTCGATATCACGATACTCACAAAAAGAGAATCCGCGGCTTAACCCAGTGTCCTTATCATGCACAATCCTTATTGATAGAACTGGGCCAGCTGAATTCATAACTTCTCTTAGTTCATCCTCTGTAGCGTCAAATGGCACATTTCCAACTAGGTAATAAAAGTTAAATTTGATCATCTCTTTTGCTAAATTAGACCTTCTCAAAACTTACCCCAAACCTGACTTCCTCCTGAAGAATGCATTGTAGGAATTTAACACACTTATTCGAGTTTTAATATAAGTATATATATTTATATGTATTTATATTATAAATATCTTTATAATTTCTTCCTGCAATTTTATTTGTCCTTAATGGCATTATTTGTTCAAAGTAAAAAATAATTTATTGATATTGGCGCCAAAACCTTAATGATTATTTTTTAACTTTGAATCAAGAATGTTTTTTCTAAGCTCATGTAGAATTTTGGCTTGGAAAAAACTATTTTAGCATTAATGTAAAAAATTTTACCGCTACTCGCATTCCTTTCTGTATAATTACTTGTATCTTTTATGCACATTCTTAATAATCAAAACTTGTTATATCAAAAATAGCTTTGATCAAAATATTGAAATGAGAAATATTAGTTTATTATCTAGAGATTTAAAAATATGGGCTTATTCAAGTTTTCTACCTTTAAATATTCATTTCTAGATTGACCTTTTTTTAGGGTCTTGAGTGCTAAAGTTTATGCGGTATTTTATATTGCATTTATTAGCCACCATTGTTTGCCATTTTCTCTTAATAACTGTGGACTGAAAGCTTAAATTATATAATGTTAGCATATATAGATTAATATTAAGAATTAATTATGTTGGAAGATGTTGAAATTACAAATACAATTTCAGAAACGGATGAAGATGTGACTATATTTTGTTTTTGTGATAATTCTGAGCTTAATGGTTCGATTAATTTCAAAAAATGGGTAATAGAGGGGATTGAAAAATACTTATTGAGTGAGAGTCATACAAATGCAGTGAGTACAATTTTAATTGAACTTTTGAAAGATATTAAATCCTTTCAAAAAATCTGTATTAATTTAAAAAATCATATTTGTGATAATTGTTTAAGAAGACTTTCAGGCGCACAAAAGTTGGAAGAGTCTGAAGTGGAAGGCTTGATTTACTTTATAGGAATGATATTTACTAAGACTCAGCTTCAAATTTCCAGTATTAAATTGGTAAAACTAAATAAGGTTAACTCATTTTTACTGGAAATGGTCCAGAATTGTATTCGTTGCAAGATAGCCAAGATTGAATCAATTAACAATGAGGATTTTGTAAAACATTCGAATATAGTTACTGAACTAATTATACAAGTTTTATCGTTCGGAATTATACAAATTTCTCTTAAGAATTATGATGATGCTTATGTTGCATTAAATTATATCGCAAAGAATTATCCAGATATCGATAGATTGTTAGATTGTCTCAAAGAAGCCATTTTACTATTATTCAAAGCAAATGAGCCAGAGTCTCTAACAAATAAATCCCATCAGTACTTTGCAAAACTTTATTTATTTTATCCGCATATTATACATTGTATGGTTAGGTCAATATTATCCTTGAATGGAATAGATCTGAACCAATCACCTTTATCAAGCATTATAATTGGAGCTCCCAAAAATTTAGAAGTTTATTCCAGGTGCAAAAATTTGCTACAAGAATGTTTTGAATTGAACAAAAACTTTATTAATTATGAAATTGGATATACATTATCCAGACTTTACTTTGAAATAGATGTGAATGCTGATCCAAGCATTAATATCATGGAAAAATTACTGGAAAAAAATCCATTTAATGATGATTTTAGATTCTATTTAGGGAAGTTGCTTTATTGTAGAGCAATTGAAGCCAGAAAAAACAATTCTGAATTGAGTTTGGTAAAGTCCATTTTAAAAAAAGTAATATTATATATTCCACAATCTTCAGAAGTTTATAGTGACTTGGGGGTGATATATTACGAATTAGGCAAGGAGGAAAAGGCAATTTGGTGCTTTAAGCTTTCAATCCACTTTAATCCTATGAATGTGAATGCTTATGATAGTTTTGGGGTGATTCTTAGAAGGCTAGGATTTATTGATCAGGCAATCTTATGCTACGAAAGGATAAACCAAATTAATCCAAACTGCATTAATACATTGAATGTTATTGCAGCTTTATATGGTAATATTGGTAAGATTGATGAATCCTTTGAATATTTTAAAAAGTGCTTAGAAATTGATCAGGGTGTTCCTGATGTATATAATAATCTTGGAGTACTTTATAGAGACTGTGGAAACTTTTTGATGGCTAAAAACTGTTTTTTAGTAGCTCTAAACCTAGATCCTAACCACAACATGGCTTTCCAGAATTTATTATATATTCTGAATTATTTTATACCATTAAAAAATCAAAAAATCATTGGAAATGTAAGAAAAAATTCCATCGAATTAATAATTAATAACTTAAAGCATTCTGACAAAAGTCTATGCCTAGATATCAGCTCTACACCACAGTCATATGTTTGTGAACCTCCCATTTGGATAAATAATTCTGATTATTACGTTAATTACCGAGATATGTATGATTTATCATTGGAATGGGGAAACAAATTCATCGAAATGCACAAGGAAATCAAAGATCGTCTTGATAAGTTAATTCCTATTCCAAAGATTCCAGATATAAAGTCAATCTCAGAAACGGAATTGATTAATATAGGTTTTGTTGGTGCGGAATATTTTCATCATGCAGTGGCTTTCTTCATTTTAGCTCCCATAAAATTTTTAATTGAGAATTTTTCAAAAGATGCAATCACAAATTATAGCACAACACATGTCTCAAAAATTAAATTGAATATTTTCATATATGACAATTCTCCCCATCATGACTATTATTCATGCTATTTCAAGGAGCTAGTTTCTAGTGAAAATTGGAGAAATATACATGGGAAAGATCTAGAGTGTACTTCAAAACTTATTCGAGCTGACAAAATCCATATTCTCTTTGACTTGAGTGGCCATACTGTCAATAATTGTTTGTCTTTATTTGCTCTAAAAAATTCTCCAATTCAAATCTCTTGGGTAGGATATCCAAATACTACTGGGCTAAGACACATTGATTATCGTATTACTGACAAGATAGCTGATCCTGTTAATTCAAAACAAAGATACTCTGAGAAATTAATTTACCTTCCAAATTGCTTTCTATGTTATACATTACCAAAGATTCAGCACCCACCAATATCTGAACTTCCTTTCAAAAAAAATGGATTTATCACTTTTGGTTCGTTCAACAGAGTTACTAAATTACATCCCTTAACAATAGATCTATGGGGAGAAGTCCTGAAAAACATCCCTAAGAGCCACTTGCTACTGAAATCCAAGGCATTTAGCTCACAATCTTGTTGTAATTTTTATCTTGAAATTTTCAAATCAAAATACAATGTAGAGCCTCATAGAATTTCTTTAATCCCTTTAAACAGCTCCTACTACACACATCTCGAGCTTTACAATGATGTTGATATTTCTTTAGATACCTTTCCATATACTGGAACAACAACAACATTTGAATGTATTTTTATGGGAGTCCCAATAATTACTTTAAGTATTGATCAATCCGAAAATTCCCAAGTAGATTCTTCAGATATATATACGGAAATTTCTTCGTTCCATTCTCAAAATGTTGGAAAGTCTATTCTAACCCATTTGAACCTAAAGGAACTCATTGTAAGTAATAAAAACGACTTTATTAGAGTTGCTTCAAACCTTGCAAATGATACTGAAAAATTGATTTATTATCGCTCAAACCTTCGTAAAATACTTAGTGAATCCAAACTTTGCGATGGAGAAAAGTTTTCTCACGACTTTTTTGAATTAATTTTGCATACTATTGCATGCCACGATAAAAATCTATCTGCATGAATATAATTCAGTAAAATATATGACGTAAACTGCAAACAGAATTATACACATATTTCTCTAAAATGTCAATTAAAAAAGTCATTTTCTCTTATAAATTACTAATTATATATTAACTTTCTTCTAATGCCTTTTTTCTATACTATTGTGAAAATTACCTTTATTTGAAAGTAAACAGCATACTTAAGGTTTTCTAACTTTATGATCATAGGTATAGAATCCGCCTAAAATCAGAAAGGCTAGTGTACAAATGAGTATTTTGTCAAAAAAGAAAATTAATCTAATCGTAGCTTAAAAATCCCATCAGGGTCCCTAGAGACAGCCCGACTCTTTTCTAAAATAAATAAGAAAATCCGAATCCTCCAAATCATATAAATACATCGGAATTGAACATAAAATCACAATAATAAACACCAAAACAAGTTAGTAAGCTGAATGTAAAGTAAGATATAGAAGAAAATATAGTAATGATAATCAATTATATTTCTAAAGTAATGTGATAAACAATCTTAGAAACAGGATTTCTAATATATAATCAAATCATATTGAAAAAGGAAGGTTTGCTGGTGCAGGAGAACCAAGCAGCTGCTCCATAGTAGCCTGCATTTGGAAACTAATTCGTCCAAAATCCGGATCATTACGAAGAGTTTGTGAATGAAGCAGCATTGCGGCTTCAATTTCGTCAGAACTCAAGTTAAACTGTTTCTCAACTTTAGAGCCTACCCAAACCTGTGCGGCAATAGTTAAGGTTTTAACATCAAATTGATCTTTATTAGCTATAAAAATGTATTGGTCTACGAATTCCCTTAGTTCTTTTAACATGAATTCATTAACTTTTATGAGCTGTTCACTACTTATATTTCCTGCTCGTTCCGTCATAGAAGTTGGCCCGTGAATCCCCATGATCTTTTCTATTGCGCTACTTATACCCTCGTCATTATAAAAACGTTCTACCAAACGGTCAAAGTCCACTAGAGAAATTTTCCTCTTATCTAACGGGTCTTGAGGAGACGCATCTTTAACTTTGTCATAACAATCCTGAAGAGATTTTGGGGGATCTGCAATGAAGTCTCCAGTTAAAGAGCGCATTATTTTTTTTAAAGAGTTTTGGCTCTCTAGAATCTCATTAAGCAACAATAACATGTCTTCTCTAGTAAAAGTATCAAGCGATCCTTTTACAGGATTCTCCGGTATATCGTCTGTTACTGTAGCTTGAACTAAAGTTTTAGACTCATCCTTATTTTCAGAAGAGTCATCTCGGAATAAATAGTACAAAAGGGCACCAATTACTGCCACACCCCCTACTAATGCTGCTGCCGTTCTGATCTTGGAAGAACCCACCATGTTAAAAGGTTCCCCTCTCTTAAAAGCTGTCTTAAATCAACCTCTAAATCCTACTAGTGTTATTATCGACGGAAACTTCTTTTTGGACCAAAATTTACAATAACTTTCGAGCCTGCCCAAGTATCGATTATTATCCCCCACGTCGCATCAACCTTAAAAAAGGGCGCCATTACTAAGACCAAAGGGGACCAAATTACCGCCATAGAGCCCCGCAGGTTTCCCATTGGATTTGTCAGAAATGTGGTGATCTGGCGCTCCACCTCTAGTTCTCGGTCTTCTTCCTAATCCCATATTTGGGGCCCCGAACCCACCAATTCCAGGTTGAGAAAGAAATGTATTTGGAATGGCACCAAAATTGCCTTTCATTGGGTGATCAAAGTGCGAGTTATTTATGGAAGGGCCATTAGTCTTGCGGATACCGTTCATATTTCGCCCTGAGAGTCCGTTACCATTGGGTTGGAAATTCTTGTTATCTGCATAACCACACAACTTCTCATACATTCTGCGTTCAATAAAGTCCCTGGCCTTCTGACGGCCGAAAGCTGATCTAGAGAAAATCAGAACTCTTTCAAGGACATTTCCTTTATTTTCATCAATAAATATAAAGGTTCCTGTTTCATCCTCAACACGTCTTAAAAAGCTTCCCTTTGCGCCGGTCACGTATCCTATCACGTTTTGCGGAATTGAAACAACAGTTACATCTTCTCTAGCCCTCGTGTCAACGGAGACAGTTGATGTTCTCTGGGCAATAAGCCATGACAAGTATTCCTTGGCGCGCTTTCTCTCGCTTAAGTCTCCATGAATAAATGCAAAGTTTCCTACATATTCAATAATTGCCCCACTGGATGCGCAAAGTCTCCTTCTTGTATTCCCTTCCTTCCCTACAGCATAGCTGAGATCTTCTGTCTCAATATGGACAATATCTGTGGCCAAGTCCTCGATATTATCATGTGACTCCGCTTTCAAATCTTTCGTAAAATGTCCATTGATTTTTTGCTCAATATAACACATAACCCTCAGTTCTGCAGCCCTTCTATTTCTAGCAACTCCAAATATTGCCAAAATATATTGTGATTGACTATTGCCATTGCTCATTGGGACTCCATTATTGGGGGGGGTGCTGTCAGTAGGGCACTCTTCCTCTGGCCTACTGAAGAACATCAAAGTACCAGAATCCTCCTCTATTGCTCTAAGTCCTTGACCTTTCTTTCCTGTTATATATCCAACACAAAGAGCTGGTACATTAACTATTGTAAGGTCATCCCTTGAATCCGGTGTAACATCAATGGTAACTGGACCATGTTTCTGCTGTACTAAATACTTGAGATATAGATAAGCCTTTTCGCGAGACGCTGCATCTCCATTTATCTCAACTCTGGCTGTCTTACTGTCATCCTGAATAATCGTAATGGAGGTCCCGGAAACAGCTGCGAGCTTTCTTCTTGTTCTTCCTCCGGTTCCAACTATGAATGACGCGTCTGCAGACTCTATCTGCGCAATTGTTTGGTTATCACCAACTTTCAGAATATTCAACATGTTTGTCAATGAGTCCTGTTTCCTAGCTAATTTAATTGTAACTTGGTTCTTTCGCCTCTTTCGTATTCTTTTGCTTTATCCCTCGGGCATGTCTACTTGGCGCCAAATATGGTTGCCCCCCAGGCTGGTACCACTTTTAAAAATTAGAGGCGCCAACATATTAATTACTATAAAATAATGCAAATACGAAGCGGAATATTATGAAGAATATATAGTTAGAGGAAGTGAACAATTTATTTGGACTAAACTGAATATGTTTGCAACCTGTTTAAATTGTTGTACTTTGGGTTTCTAAATATTACTAGAATCTAACAGAAAAGACATTTCTTATTTCTGTATATTCTGGGTGTTGATTCCTTTGCCACTTTCGTTTTGTTCATCTAGCAGAATGGACACGGTGCGGGTGATGTCTCCTTTAGTCTTATGTAGAATTTCTAATATTTTTTTGTTGTCCTCGAATCCCATTTCTTTGACGTCTGCTAGTAGCTTTACATAGTCGATCGGACTTCCAGATTCACAAGTATTTGATTCGGACTTTGAATATGTTGACTTTTGAGTTCCTTGCTCTCTCGCCATCCCTAAAGAGTATAAGGTGTGTCTAACCAAGCTAATCTGAACCTCTAGATGCTCTTTATCTTCTCTGCTTAGTGGTTGGCTTAGTTGGATTTCATATCTAAGCTGATCTTCCACATACTTCTCACGGAAACCAATCAAGAAAAGTAACTCAAGGCCTTCATCTATACTCATTAATACATTCTTTAGCGTATTGCTTGTAGACTTAATACTTCTGTATCTCAAATCATTTGGATTGCTTATAATATTGAACAGTATCGTTTCCAATGTTTCTAAAACTTGTTGGCACTGCCAACCGTATTTGTTAGAAACAATATTTAATTTTTTTGACAGCTCAGATGTTCCTTCTGAAGATCCTGATGATCTAGAGTGGTTGCTGGTATGATTAATTCCTGTGGAGCTTGACCCTGAACTCAAATAACTAAACTCTTCTGCAGTTTTGTTTATCACGTTTGAGGGGTTGATGCCGTTTGTGTTCCAAACATTTGCAACTGAACGGATTGCCTGACTCTTCTGAGCTTTTTGGAGCATAGGAAGAATCATTGAACCAAAAGGAGTTCTCATAACCTCATTTGGCAAATCTAGAATATAAGAGGGAATACCTTCACCTAGCAAAAACTTAACTATATTATCTGAAAAATGATTACAGTTGTGATTTAAAAGGTCATACTTTTCGCTATTGAATTCATTGGAAATTGATTCCAAGTGGCCATTTAGTTCTATCTGAGTTTTTCTTGTGGCTCCCAATGTTAATGTTCTAATTGGCTTTAATCCATACAGCCTGGTAATTTCTTCTGGTCTGACGCAAACTATTCCGCCCCCATAAAAATACTCATACCCATAAACTAACACTCCTGTGTGATAAATTGCTTCAATTGTCCTTCCTAAAAGCATTGGAGATAACTGGGAAGCCATTCCATTACTTAAGTCGTAAATATGAAGTTCCACTTTTTCCCCTATCTCACTCATCTTCAATTCTTCACTGAAACTCAATATATTATCCTAAACCAATAAATAAATATTCCAGTAAAAACTAACAACTAAACTATAATCAACTTTTAATCCTTATGTTTTTATCAACAAGTAAATTTCAATCTCCCTCTATCTGACTCTTATTTTATTTATAATTTACCTTCCCCACACTTATTTAGCGCCATTTCATTTTGGTTGACTATTTTTACAGTCCCGAAATGCTTTTTCAGCCAAAGAAGGACAGGGCCATTACTTATTTCCAAGAATACTCATAATGAATTAGATTTATAGTTAATTTATTTTAAAACTATTTGATAGAAATGTATCTTGCTTTTTTACTGTTACAATTACTTATTTTTCAAATGGAGGTGAGTTTTGCATGCAAACAAATGCGCTAAGAAATCAAATAATTCCGTAATTTTTGAAAGGCTTCTCGTCAGTATGGAGATACGGAAGAAAGCTCGCTGAGGCAAATCCAAAGGTCCTGGCCTGCTCTTTCTGACTGGATTTGTGAGGAGCTCTATTGTTCGGGTCTTCGAATCCCCATTAATTTTGGAACTAAAACAATATGGGGGAAAGGTAAGCTACGTGAAAACAGAATCGCAAGGGAAAATAACCTTTAAATCTATCAAATTTAGGGAAATTGGAAGCATCTGACGATGAATACTACAGGTTACATATAGCTTCTGACGACTCTGAACCAGTGGACCCCTTTGAGAGTAAAGAGTTTCTATTGAATTCCGTGTCAAAAATGACAAGTAGTGCCATTAGATTTGGTGTTTACCATTATGTGAACAGGAAGGAGGCTAAAGAGATGATCTCTGAATCATCTAATAGATTGGATGAATCTGGCAAACATGAACACTCTCAAAAAAAATCCAGTAAAAATAAGTTGAGACCAGAAAAAGAGGCTGAAAGCCAAAAGGAGAAAAGTGAGAGTAAGATCAAGTATTGGTGGTCAAAATATATCCGAAGGCAAAAGAAAAAAAAGGAAGAGAAATCAAAAGAAAGTCAGACACCTGCATCTCAGAATCAAATTGATAATTATGAATATTTATTATTTGGCTCAAATCCTAATAACCAGCCCAATTCAACATCAGCGAATTTTCAAGCACCAAGAAAGCTGTTTATACAGGAAATGACATCGAACGAGGGTATTATGAACTCTAATTACGATGGGAACAAGATACGCCCTGAAACCTATGTACCACTTGAAATTAAGACTTCCATATTTGCTGCATACTTTGCAGCAGAGCCTGTTGTAATTCACTTCTCTAAAACGATTACTAGGAATAGACGGGTTAGATATGGGCAAGAAATTGCCGTAGCTGAAGCATTCCCCAGAACTATTAATAACTCATTGTCAAGTATCATTTTGGCAAGATGCGATGGTACTATATCCATTATAAATCAGACCAAGGGACTTCCGATCCAATCCACTCGTATGTTTCTTGTAATTACATGCAATGATACAACATAAGTCAAAATCTAGTGTGAATATTTTGTATAATTAGATATTTGGAAGAAATTAATCTTTTCTACCATTATCTGGATCATAAATTATTTATTTCTAAAGTGATTTCTATTCACTGGTTGGGCGACTTTTGAGAATTGATTGAGCTGATTAACTAGTTGAGCTTTTATCTTTCTCTCTTCCTTTGGATCTGCCCTTGGCTGAATATGGTAAACCTTTGGATTTCCATCTTTACTCTTTTTGTGTAGTTTTCCAGGTTTTGGAATCCCTGATCCAAGTCCCTTTGATGGCCTCATTTCTACATAACTATCTTGACTATTTGTAACTTTCATATCATTGTAATAGTCGGGATCTGTTAGCAAGTCGTCTCCAGGGCTCAAAACAAGTTTCTCCCTGATATGATTCCCAGAATCTGCGATAATGTTCCTTTTTACTCCGGAGATCTTAGCATTTAAAGCAAATCCACCCATAACTATGGATTCATCTCCTGTCATTTTTTTATAAGTATTTTGTAAAGAGTTAGATTGATTGTGCATATGAGTGTTTAGTCCATAAGAACCAACAACTGGCCCAAAAGATTTTCTAATTCTGGCAGATTCCTTATGTAAAGGTTTCAGACCTACCTCCTTACCCATTGGGTTCTTGGAGCTCTCTCCCAAGAAGACACGGCTACCTCTTCCTCTAGTGGCCTTAGACTTCCCAATTGGACTATATAATCCTTGGAATCCTGGTAGGGTTTTAAGGCTTTCCGGCGGGATAAAATCTCCATCTATAGATTCGTAATAGGCTTCGGCTGCTTTCCTACAATAGAAGTTAGCATTGTGTTTTCGCTCCTCTTTTGTTTTCCCAGAGATTCGGGTACCTGAAATTGCTCTGAATTTTGCATTAGAAATAACAGAGAAACAAGCTTCTGTCATTGCTCTTACATTTCCCATAGATTTTGGATATAAATCCTTCGGTCTTTCTATTGGAATCCCTGCTACCAAATTTGACCCCTCACTTGCGGGCAAAAGCTTTCCTAATTGAGAAATTACTGTCCATTCCCTATCGGCCAGTCTAGAACTTGCCAACTCCTCTTTAGTTATAGCATTTTTTTTTGAGCTTTTTTCAGGAGTACCTTCTGAAATTGAAGCATCTGAAGAAGGACCGCTTTTTTCTCTGCTAGGCCTTGTCTTTCTTTTTGACTGTTGTGGAATTCTGTCAGGATTGCTTCTGTTTCTAGGTTTTATGCCCTTTATAATGTTTTCCTCTTCATTTTCACCTTCAGTTCCTCCAGTGCCTTGAGAAATTAAATTATTAGAAACCAATTCTTTATATTCTCTCTCTATCTGATCAAATTTATCTTCTGTGTGATCCACTTTTTTGCTATTAACTACTTTCCCACCTCTGGTTCCAACCTTGATCCTTTTGACCTTGGCGGTCTCCCCATAATCTCCTAAAGGTAGAATTCGTCCACTTCCACCAATATTCTTAGTAGAATCGCCACCGTTCTGGTTGACAGGTTTGCTATTTTGACTTTCAGAATTTAGGTTTGGAATCTTCGGAATAATTGTAGTTTTGGCAACGTCTGCAATATTTCCTCCAAAAATAGACTTCATATGCTCCAAAGTTTTACCCGCCAAAATAGTGCCACTGTATGAGTCATGCATATTTTCTGACGGTATATTTTTATTTGCAATGTGGTGTTTCCAAGGGTATGGAGCGGTTGGCGCCCAAACAACATTATTTTTAATAGAGCCAGGTTTTCCGCTTTTAGGATTAAGAAGATTGATTTCAGCGGAGTTGAGACTATCCATGATATTTTTGCGCATACTATTCCTGAAATTATCGTCTTCAAAGTCTTTTTTATATATTTCCCATCTAGAAGTGATGTACTGGTCCATATTAAAACTGTTTAGTTCAGGGACCTCTTCGCCCTGCTCAGGGTAAAGCTCGTATAATGGGTCTCTTGGATCAGGTCCAATCCTAGGTCTTGTTGCAATCATGTCAAGAATCAGTGCATATTCTGTGGCTGATTTATCTTGATTAGAGTAGTTTACGTCACCTCTTGCCTCGTCGGTAAAATACTTGTAACAGACATCTCTACAAAACTGAAGTAGAGTTTTTCTAGAAATGAACTGAAATTTGTCTTTGTTAGATTTTTCATTTCCTTCCTTTCCAAGCATTATCGCAGAAAATAGTTCATAAGAAACTAAAATAAAGCTTGCAAGATGATTATTATCCTTCGAATCAAAGGCATTCTTTAGATCTTGTCCTGCAATCTCGGGATAGACGTTTTTAAGCCATGCTGAATCTATTCCAAGCACTCTATTCATCCTTAGGTATTTTTCTTCATCAATTCTCTTTTTAGCAAGATCTATGATACTATTCCAACGCTTTTTGTAGTCTAGACCAAGTGGATTTCTTAACCTGAATCTTCTGCTAACATTGTCCAGATCATTTAAAACAGCAACTTCGTCGATTGCATCTTCGTTCAAAGCGTGGTCCATCTTTTCTTGGAAAACGTATTCAGACGCAGTTCTACAATACTCCTTTATAATATCTTCAACATTTTCATTCTTTTGTAGATCAGGAAAGACAACTTTTTGATTCGATGGAATGTTAATGTCTGTTGCCAAAGTTTGAAGAGCAATCTCACACTGAGACAGGAATTCCTCCATATCATAACTTCCCTGGAATATAGTGTGGCGTACAAACCCTGGTATTTTATCAATCCTGGAAACAGGACCGATTTTACCTTCAATATCTCTTTGCTGAAGTTTGGAATACTTGGTTGCCAAATTTGCGATAACTCCCCATTGCCTATTTCTCTCGAATTCTAGAATTGCTCCAGGATAACTAAATCCACTACCTTTAAAAATGGAAAGCCCCTTTTTGTCAGAAATATGTAGAAATACATCCTTACAATATGAATCAAGTATCTCAGATTCGTCTTTGTCACCACTTCCAAAAACTCTAACTGCAGTAAGAATTTCCTTTAATGTTAGTTCTTTGCTTGAAGGTAATTCGGGGTTCGTTTGCCCTTGCAACATTGTTATCACTCTTTTACAATCCGGCACAAACTCTTCTGGGCTTCTTGAGCCCAGCCAAATGTCTGGAGGACTCAACGGAAGATTTGAAATTCTCTGTTGCCTTCCCAGCAATAAATCTATATGCATCTGATTGTATATTGCCTTCCACAAATTTTCTCTAGAATTTATATTATTAGAGAAATATTCATCTTCCCCAGCATCTAAAAAGCCTCCCATCTGTCTCACTCTCTCTCTAACTTCTTCGAAAAGCTGATTAAAGTTATCAGGCTCGTGAATTTGTGCCTGCTGAAAGTAGTCACTCAAATAACCCCAGTTATCCTCGTTTAAGGCCCAGGTTATAGCGTATTCAAGATTCAAGTTTTCATTCAAGTAAAAAAGAATCCACTTTCTTATGTTCATCTTGTTTTTGTGCATAAATTTTAAGAATTCAATCAGTAATTCTCTATTTTCTTGTCTTTCTCCATAAAGTGCAGAAATAGGATTCGAACTGTCATCCTTTTGTTCATACCCATTCATGAAAGCATCTGAACAAAATTCTCTTGCTATTACTCCTTGGTACTCTGGAGAGACTGTTCCCCACTCCAAAAGTCCTTTTTCACTCAATCCATGCAATATCTGTATGCATGCAGGTACAAAATGTCGCCTTTCCACTGACCCAGGAAAATATTCCTTAATTTCAGCATATTCTGGAAGCCAGATAACTCTTCTGATGTTACGTCTTCTATCCACTTCGACTTGTGAAAGGATCATTTTCCACTGTGAGGATGCATCTCCGAGTGAGAAAACAACGGTTTCTCCTTCTTTCACTTGGCTATTTTCCTGTTCCGTCTTGTTATTATGCTCTACCGCAGAGAGAGAAGTTTGAGGGTCCATTCTAGGCCCAAGGTCTACGATACCTTCTTTCTTCTTCTGCTCTTTAGAAAGCTTATATCCAGAGTTATAGGCTTCGTTTGCGACATGAGTACACCACCTTTCAAGCTGAACCTTTTGCTCCACCAAGTTTCCCTCTCCTGAAGAATATAACTTTCCAGAAATTCTTAGATCCGGCTCATTTCCTGATTTCCATAGAGTCCAGATGAATGCAAAGCAGTAGTCTCTAAATTGTACAATGTTTCCTGTCCCTTTATAATTTAATAAGGAGCTGATTGGTCTTCGCCTAGGCAAGCCTGTCACTGCTGGAATCCAGGTTGCATACTTGTTAATATTGTCCACATTTGAAAGTTTATACATCCAAATCCACTCAATTGCTCCAAAGAACGTGTCTGCAGCCTCCTCACAAACTTTCCTTATTGCCAATTCAACCAAAGCCATATCATTTGTATCAACTTCCATCTTCATTAATTCCTCTTCCCTTTTTGTAATGTAGAACTTCAATGACTCTATACACCTAGTTTCATAACCCACCTCTCCTTCCCTGGATCTCCAGAAGCTTTTCTTAATTTTCTCCTCTTCTTCCTCATCTTCTGGAGAAGGGTTCACATTGTATCTAAATGAACTTAAAACATAACTTTCAGGAGGAACTGGGTAAATCCAATATATTGTGGTGCTCTTTTTGCTCTCCTGAAGCCTCATTACAGCTTCTACCACTGAGTTCCACTGAGACTCTGTGTCTGTCTGAATCTGAAGAAGGTTCTCCATTGAATAATCCGTGTTTAGCCCATCAAAGTATCTTTTAGAAGATTCCAAACAGAATTCAGAGAGAATTTTCTCCATATTTTGTTCAGTGCTGATTGGCTTCAGAACACTGGACCTTACTGAAACACTCCCTTCTCTATATAGCTTACGTATTATTCTGAAGCAAGCTATCCTAAAAGTTGCTCGAGAGAACTGAGGCATATTCCATTCATTAGGAATTGCTTCAGGCAAGTGTGTTGGGGTTTCTACATTATTTTTAAGATCCTCTTTATTTTGATCCAGAATTGCTTTCCATTGCGAAAAACAGACTCTGGTGGGCTTCAAATTTGGAAACCTGGGGGTGTAACTCAAATTGTTATCTATGCTCCCTACAGAGAAGTAACCAGGGGTACTTTCCAAGTCTTGTGCACCTTCAAATAATAGGGATTGGTAACTTACTTCCTTATAGTTTGTTACTCTTGATTTATAGCTTGTAAAGTCAAAGTAACCCACATTCTTTAATCTTGAATCAAAATCTGAGATGTCCTTATTAAAGTACTTTCTGGCTGCCTCATGACAAAAACGCTCCAATTTAGACTTATCCATAGAGGTTCCCTTGTCTTTATAATAGCTTGTGGATATATGAGGGAATACTTTGCTCAAGAAAAGGTCGTAAATAACTGAGCAACAGTTAATCCTCATTTCATTGAATGTTTCAGCTGCAAAGTATCTGAAAGGGGCATATGGTCTGTATTTTGGTAAGCCATAAACAATTGTCGTATTTGAGGGCATTTTAAACGGTGAGTTGGAAGAAAATTCAAAAATGTAACTCCACTGTCTATTCCCAAAGTAATAGTCTGCGGAATAATTACAGAATTCATTTAGAACTTGCTCCTCATTTGGTTTCGCCATGGGCAAAAGCTCATATCTTGGAGGATTCTCTCTAATTCCTTCCTTTATTAGATCCACACACAAATTACGCAGCTCACTCATTTTCTTTGGTTTTGTGTCAGAACTAAACTTTGTGGGGAAATCTTTTGAGAAAATCTTAAACCTCTTCAAATTCATATTTAGATCTCTATCTTGTTGTGTAATGATAGCTCTCCACATCGTCCAGATCTCAGGATCGTCAACAACGACTTCATTAATATTTGTTGATAAGGCAGCGGCAAGACCACCCTCATAATCATTTTCTTCCTGGTTAGCCTTGCGGTTTCTGGATGGGCACTCTTCCAATTTAGTGGGGACAAGAGAGAAGCTTTGATTTGGCATTCGTTGAGGCATGAAGTTTGGCAAACGATCAAAGGAGGAAATTCCAGATGATCCAACACGGGATTCAGAGTTCGAAGCCAAACTTTCTCCTACAACTTGAAGGAGATCTACATTTGGGTCTCTTGCAACTAAAGAATCAGTAATTGCTCTTACCTCACGGTTCCAGTACAACTGAAGTTCGGGATCTCCCAAGGCGGTTTCTGTGTAACAGTATACTGCAGCAGATATGCAAAAGGTGGTTCTGAGAAACTCTGACTCGACTTCATCGTTTGAAGGGGAAGTGATAATTTGCCTGTTTTCCAAAGTTCTCAATGCTGAAATACAGTTTTGATACAGGCTCTTCGCATCTCCGCTCAAAGGAAAGAGAGAGGGACTAATCTCACTGAATTTTGGAATATAGTTAAACCTCATTTTGCCTCTTTCAACCTTCCAGGTGGTTTTGTCTCTTTCAACCTGGGAGGTAATACAATCCCACTCATCCTGACGCTTTTGAGGTCTTAAAGGTACTTTATCCATTGGAATAATGTGAGATAAACCCTCTATTCCGGGTTCAGTACCTGGGATAGGAGGGCCGAGAGGCAGTGGTTGCATCTCAATATCATCTTCTTCGGCCTTTTTAGAGAGAGAGGCATTCTGATTCTGGCTTTGATTCTGTTTTTGATCTTGTTCTTCAGAGGCTTTTTCGTCCAGCTTTACATGATTTTCTCTAAATTTCTCCCTGGTTATTGCGAGGTTCTTCATTCTATAATTGTTTAGATTTTGGTACTTTGAACGGGCAAATTCAAATTCATACTTTTGATCATTTTTTCTAAATGGAGCTGGAATGACGTCTGAGACTAGCTTAATTTTTACCAGGTCGTTAATGAAGCTATCTTGTTTCTTTTTATCTATAGGTTCGAACAAAGGATCAAGTCTTTGATGTTTTTGAGCACCTATTGAGAATTGTTCAGGGAGAGGAGGTGGTGGAGGTGGTGGAGGTGGCGAAGGAGATCGTACAGGTTGTGAATTTATTGAAAATGTTGGTGAAAGGGGTGTTGGAGGAATTGATGAAAGAGACCCTGGGGTTGGCGTTTGAGCTTGTTTTGAAACAGAATCGTGAGAATTTTGAAGTAACTGTGGTGGCTGGTAAATGTTTTCTGATACTATATTGGATTTATAATCCGAAAGACCTTTTAATTCTTGTTTTTTACTCGCATATTCCATATCCAGTTGAGAGAATAATAGATCTGGGTTGTTTGAATTAGAAGAGAAAGGCGCAACTGAAAGGGAATTGTCTTCACTTTGGGCATCAAAAGGAACTGAATTGACATGAGATAAAAATCTATCAAGTATTAGAGAATTGTATTCGCGATTATCACCTCCTGGATGTTTATTTTTTTGAAATTGTCTAAGATCTAGTTTTTTTTGTGTTGGATAATAGCTAGATACTACTTTCATAGAATCTAGAGATTTGGGGAGAAGTGAAGAACCGTAAGAATTTTCGGTTGATTGATCATTTGCAGTAGGGGGGTTGAACTGAATACCTGGAATTGTTCCATGGTCTTGAAAAGTAAGGGAATTAGCTAAAATTGACTGGTCAGTTTTAAACGCACTATCTGTAGAATCTCTTTCGATTTTGGGGTATTTTCTTTGAGTGAAATGCACTATTTCATTTGCATTAGGTTTTCCGTTTCCGTTAATAGATGATAGAGCTTTCCCAGAACTGAGGATAATCCAAAAAAGAAAAGCAGGAAAAAGTTGGATAAGCAACCTAAAGTTAGCATTCCTCTTCCAGCTCTTTTTATTCGTTGCCATTTGGTTGTTTAATCTTTTGTACGAATAACAAAGATCTATTTAAATAACCAAACAGAAGAAAAAATGCGCCTGACTTTCTGACTTTCAGTAAATCAGCCAAGCACACTAACAGTTGTCCTGATCATTAGAAAATTGATTTATTTTTTGTATTTCTTAACTTTTCGGAGTTTTTCAATTTTCCTAGTTCTCGCTCACCAAAAATTTAGATCCTATTATTTTTGGCGCCAACTACAATCCCACTATAAAAATGAGCACTTTATGTTAATGACTAATTTTGAAGATTTTTTAAGAGAAGGTAAAAATATTAAGAATTAGGTAATATAGAAGTAATAATTAACTAAATCTTGTTGTCAATAAGCTGCCCTTGAAGCCTAAGACAAATTTTTCGTTCAACCTTTTTTATGTGTTAGTTTTGTGTCAAAATTTGAAGGCGCCAATTAATTATGTGAGTATTTTCACACAAAACAATAAAGAACTTTGTCTGAAGAAATTAATAGAATTGGTTAAAAGAAGCAAAATGGCAGACCAGGATTCTGGTGAAGCTGTAGAAGCATGTTTAAGCAAAGAGGAAGAACGTATTTCCGAAATAATAGATGCGTTTAAGGATGCATCAATTTTGGAAAAATCACACTCGGAGTCTGAAAGTATATCTTTTGCATCTGCATTGGAAGAATCTGACATGGAACTAGTTGAAGAGCTTGATTCAGTTTCCACCAGGAATCTTCCGGACAGAAAGATGAACAGTTTACCTCAACCTCTAGAAAGTTTTGGGAATTCTGAAATAATAAAGAGTCCTTCCATAGCTATCCCCAGCGGCTCTTCTAAGCTAAATCAGGGGAATGGGGGAGTAGAAGTATATTCCGCTTTAAACCCCTTTTCCATTACCTTGAGTTGCTTGTTACATGAACCAACTGAAAGCGATATAATTGAAGATGATATTAGATATATCTACTTAAACCAAATTCTCTCTGATGACGAGCAGCTTTATCTAGCAAAACTGAGAAAATGCGCTAAAAATCATGGCCATAAATTTCCTCACTCTGTTTGGGTTCAGGGATTGAGGTTTTTGGCTTCTTCTCGTTTTCACGTCCAAACGGCTTTGGAGATTATGGCAAATAACCATGAATTTAGAATCAAGGAACTTCCAATAACTGAAAAAGACGTGATAGACGACCTTAAAATTGGAGCTATTTACTGGCATGGAAGGGATATAAAGTACAGACCGATCCTTATTGTCAAACTTGCAAAACTTGATCTGTTTGTTGGCGAGATTGAACGAATTCAAAAACTTTTATGCTTTTGTTTGGAGTTTTTTCTTAGATACCTTCAGATTGCAGGTAGAGTTGAGAACTGGAATGTAATCATTGACCTCGCTGGCAAAGGAATAACTGATCTCCCTATTCAAGTCCTTAAGTCAGTCCTTTCTCTTGTTAATACACGCTATAGAATGAGGCTTTACAGGATGTTCATTGTTAACTGTCCAAAGTTTATCAACGTTGTCAGCAATGCTTTGGTTGCTGCAATTCCAGGATCTTCTATTAGAAAGATTAGATTTATTGACGAATCTTACTCTGACGAGATGGTCAATATGGTCTCTCATGAACAACTTGAAGAATCTTATGGAGGAACATGTCCTAATCTTACCGATAACTTCTACCCTTTCAGATTCTACCCTATGAATGAATTGGATAAGGAATTTCCTAATATCCATGCTATCATACCCCCTGAGTATATTTCAGGAATGTCCATTGAGATTCCACCTAGATTTGATCTTAAAAAACTCCCCTGGCTTAATCAAATACCTAATATGAACTTCACTAAGAGAACAGCAGATCAGCTTTCTCAGATCCTTGATACCGATATTAAACCTAAGATTTCTAAAGAAGATATAATCAAACCTTAGTCTAGTTGTATACTATTAGACTCTTCCTCGTGCTAAAATTATAATCCGAGTTTTTTGATATGACTGATTATTTAAATATAATTAAATATTCCATTTTTCTGTTCCATGAAGTGAGAAGTGCCAAGATGATTCTGGGAGTTATTCGTTATGGCTGGATTTTCAATACACATCCGTTTGTTTTCTTGCTTGTAGAATCACATTTCAGAGATTTCTCCTGCTTATTTTTGTTTTGATCTCTCTGATAATCTAGTTCTATTTTGCAATACTTCCTGCTGGTCTCCCGCCTGACCTTGTTGTTAATTTGCTTTCCTGGCCTAATACCTGACCTGCTAAAAAAATTTAATTTTATCATCTCTAAACATAAACTCATGTTTTGTTAAACTCAAAACACGATTCTAATTACTGAATTTGCTAGAGATACGCCAATACTACCAGGGATTAACCAAATCTAAAATATTTTCTAATAGTAGATATTAACTCACCCTAATCATCTTTTTTCTCTGCTTTCCTTTTATTTAATTGACCCCCCCTTACATGTGGAGACATAGACGGGGCATGCATCCACCTAAATAAAAGTTAATTAGATTAGAAAGGTGGGAATAAAGAATAAATAATCAATAAAATGAAAAAAATATGGAGAATTAACATAGTGTGTTTGATATTAGTAGCCTTTTTGCAATTTGTGAGAAATGATAATCAGGCTGGCTATAAAGACCCATACAGAGGTACGTTGGGAGTAGAGGATCTTAATAATATGGATAGGAAACGTTCAAAGAGTGATTTCTATGTATTTTCTGACAACATGTTACAGCTTTCTGCACAATTTCCAGTTATTTCTTTATTTGAGTCGCTTTCACTTGTTTGGTTGTCAATCTATGATAGGATTCAAATACGGCATAAAAATGAGGGTGCACTGATTATATTGTTTCTCTTAAGTCCCATATATAGAGTGATAAACGATGAAAACTTTGATGGTGATGAACTATTTAATGAAATGGAGCAATTCGACGATCATTTATCTCAGGTTATTTATTGTTTAATCCAAACAAATCCTGGAATTAACTGCGAATTGGCAATTGAAGATTTTGTCACATTTCTAAACGATCAAGTACTCTATGAGATTCAAAAACATAAAAACTCTGATTATGACATTAATATGACTACCAGAGTTGGCCATATTACGGATATTTTGAGTACTATCAAGAACAAACAGCTTTATAATATAGATAAACAGAGTAAATTAAAAATGTACAACACATTAAATCCAGAGGCATTCTTATTCCATATATTTAATATTAATAACTTATTTGAATATTATATGGAATTCAATTCTGGAATTTCTTATATGGGTATTTTGGGCCCATTGAGAACTTTTCTTGATTTAATGAATAAGAATTGGGGAATTAAAGAAAACGAAGATGCTAATCAATGGTTTAGAAACAAAACATCTCCCCTGAAAGGTATTTGTGATGATATTATTGTTGGGGTTGAGAAAATTAGGGAAGAGATTGAGCATTATTTTGAGTCAAAAAATTATGAGAAGCTCATTATATTAACAGAAACAAAACTTTATACTGATTCTCTAAACCAATTCTGTATGGACTATAATGAGTTTTTAAATTTGTCAGATGAAGATGCTAGTAAGATTGTGGAAATCCCTGAGAATTTAAAAGCAGTCAACTCAATCTTTGTAAATAGAAAGAATATTATACTTGGTATGAAAACTTCCAAACTATATGAATATTCCCGTAAAGCTGCTGATACTAATTCTCAACTTTGCACAGTGAATAGTGACAAGAAGGTGCTTTCTAGTGAAGGACTATCTGAATATGAGGTGGACCAAGAAATATCAACCACACTTTTAGATTTAATTGGTAAATTCTTTTTAAACAATAAACTAGATACAAAGCTTAATGCTCAATTTCTTAATACATGCCCAACAACAAAGAATTTAATATTTAATAATAAGTTAGCAAGCAATGAAAAAAACTTTGGTCTTATTGGGAATCAAATTAAGGACCTTAGTTCAATTTTAAGTGTTAAGAGGACTAGTTTAGCTTCAAAGATGTGTTCAAAGCTCAGTTCACTACTAGATGATGCAAATTACACCAATAAAAGGTTTATAACGATCCACAGATTATTAATTCCACTTGTAGTTAACTCTTCCCTTGCAAGCATTCTCCCTGGTAACAGTGAACTATATAAAAACAGTGGAATGACAGGAAACAAGATAAATGCAGAACAATTATTTGTAGATACAGACAGATCATGCCTAATTAACCATTTTGATACCATAAACTATTACATTAGAGAAACTACCAATATATGTGATAAGATCAAAGATTATTCAACAATATTTGGATCAGCATTTAATAAGATTGCAAACCAAAAGGCAATAACTCAAATGAATCAAAGCTTACAAAAAGTATCTCAATCTCAGCTATTACATGAATTTAGAGAACTTGGAAGAGATTTGAAAGGTAGTAAATATGGCCATTTTGTATCAGAAGTGGGTAATAATTGTTTCTCTTCTTTGAGACACTGGTATCACTTTAGTAAAAAGAGAAGAAAGCTTAAAGGAGCAAGAAGATTATTAAGGAAGGCATTTTATTCATACACATCAACATTAGATAATGTTAATGTAGAGCTCAGACCAGAATTAAGAAATATTCAAACAGCAGCAGCAAAATTAGAAATAAATGAATTGAAAATCTTAACAAATGGAGATTTTGTTTTCCTAAATTCGAAGGCAATTAGTAGTTATATGAAGAAAAGGTACACAAAACATACAGCCAAGATAATGAATGAGCACTATAAGGCCCCAGCTCAGATGTTGAAGGAGGACTTTCCAATAACAATAGAGAACTTGAAAGAGCTCAATTCTTTAATCAAGGCAGATTTGGAAAAACATAAAAACGAATTAGAGAGTGAAGCATCAATGTTAAAGGAAACAAATGAAAGAATTGACAAAATGAATGAAAGTAAATTAGATAAAAAAGATACGCTTCCATTCTTTAAGTCAGGAAAAACGAACTTTGTATTGATAGGACGTGACTTCTCAAGTTTTGCGTTATGTCAATGTAAGATTCGAGGGTCGAGACAATTTGAGATGCTCAAGTTGTTTTCTGACTTAATATTTCAAATTCAGCATGTAGATGTCAGAATTACTGGATATGAGATGTTATCACATTCCCTAAAGAAGGCAATTAGACAAATGTTAATAATTATTTCACTAAATGAATTTGCTATCAATTTGCTTCCAAAGGTAAGAAAAGGAGGGTATCAAAGATTCTATAGGATGAAGCATACAACACATAAAGCTCTGAGAAAAAGAATCAAGAAATATCTCTTGGATATAAAGCAAGATACTTATAAGCTATCAGTAGTACTAAATACATTACACAATTTGTTATTAACAGCTTTTAATCACTTTAGATATGACCCAGAGCTTGATGTCCTTAGAAAATCATTTTCTGGAATAGACACAGAGAAGTCTGATTGGGGAACATACTCTCACAATAACTCTTTGCTTAGAGCAAGTGAGGCAGTAAGGAGAAGAACGATAGAGAAGTTAGTGGGGAATTTTTACTTTGGTAGAATAAGGAGAAATTTTAGTTCTCTCAAGGAAACAATTTTGCAAATGATGAATCCTCAACAGATTTTGAGTCTATCACAAATATTCAAAACTGATTTGGGAGTCAAGGATATAGATGGAATCGCAGCCAAATTACATCATTATTTGAAGAGTATTTATCCTTCTCAAAATTGTATTGGTGTAGACCATGGCCAAAAATTAGAATCATTCTTTGCCTTGTGTTAAATTAGAAAGAAAATAGCTTAGTGAAATTTAATATAATTTACTTTTTTTTTTAGTATTCTATAGAAAATTAGAACAAAAAACCTGCATGAAAACGTATACCGACAGTATATATATGAAGTACTATATGTTGCAATGCAATGAATCATTCTTTGCATGCAAACAATTTTATAATGTGGATTAATCAAAAAACGTCTATTAAATGATATTTTTTTTTCTGAGAATATTTACAATATCTTGGTTATTTCTAGTTATGGAGGAACTGGTAGATCTTTGAGGAAAAAGGGGAGTATTTGGTTTTTGGGTTTGCCTATTTGCAACATTTTCAGAAGATTTTCTTTCTTTAAATGTAAGAAATTTATGATTGTTAGAGCTTCCAATGTTACGGCTGAATAATCCAGAGCTAGGGGTTGTAGTTCCAGCCTTAAGGTTTTCGAGTGTCGATTTCGATAAGTTTGAGGAAATCTTGTCTATGTGAGTTAAAGCGTTGTAAGGCTGAGGTATACATGGTGATTTAATAATTGGGTTAGAGAAATTAGAGTGATTTGATTTTCCAGAAATTTGCGAAAATGAGTGGCTTTGAGGAAGTTTGTTTGAATTCAAGGAAATATTTGGACTTGAGTTATTATTAGAGAGTGGTGAAGGTTTCCTTGGAGTCTGAAAAATTGGAGAACTATTAATTTGCTTCCAGGAGGATGCTGTTGTATGGTTTGATACAGGAGAAGATAAATTACTGATTAAAGGAAGATATGAACGTTTTGGAGTACATATTGGTATTTTTGAACTATTTACCATTGGAATGGAGCAATTTTCTATAATATTTTGTGAGATACTTAGTTTATTCATTCCAGGAACTATGGAGTTTGGAAAGAATTCACTAATCAAGTTTTCGCCATGTATTCTGCTATTATTGCATGAATTAAAGTTGATTTCTTCAGAAATATTTGGATTTAGAACAGAGGCAGAAACTTTGGCAGAGTTATAAAAGGAAGTGATCAAATTATCAGGGAACTTGTCAAAGTTTGAGTGATCTAATTTATGTTTGACTTTTGGTATAATGGGGGGTTTTTGAAGGCGGATTGTGGAAAAGTCAATTTCTTTAAAGAATGGGTGTTTCATGGCTTCCCTAGCGCTTTTAATTCTCTGTGAAGGCTCACAAACTAAAGAGCATATGAAATCCATAGCATCTTCAGAGTATTTATGGTGTTCTGAAGGTAAATAAAAGTGTTTATCCCAGTTCATTACCTTATTTCTTGTGATTAACGAATTCTGTCCTGGATCTGATAATGGAGGTCCTCCAAAAAGCATTTCAAATAATATGATCCCAACACTCCATAGATCTACGCTAATAGAGTAGGGATCTCCTCTATGAATTTCAGGAGCCATGTAATCTGGGGTACCAGCATGGAAGTTTTGGTCATGAATAAGCACTTTATGTGGGTCAATACTGGTACTGTCATCGCTTTGAAAAGATGAATTAATTGAAGCATTTGAAACAAAAGGCTTTTGCTTGCTTTGAAAGATTTTTTTGGAAAGCCCAAAGTCTATCAGTTTGATGTGACCATCTACATCCAGTAGTATATTATCTGGCTTGATATCCCTATGTATATGGCCTTGGACGCTATTTAAATAATCTAAGGCCAGCAATAGTTCAGCAATATAGAATTTTGCTGTCTCCTCATCAAAAGTATGAAGATCAATTAAATGTCTCATTAAATCTCCTCCTGGCATATATTCCATTAACATATAGTAAAAATGGTTATCTTCCCAATAATAATAAAGCTTATTAATCCATGGACTATCTGAACTATACATTAATGAAATTTCAGTGTTAAGCATTAATCCAGTATTTAAAGTTTGTTTTCCCTCCACCTGCTTTTGAGAAGAATTGATATCTATTTCGATTAAGTTTTCGAGGTTATCATACTGGGATTGGTTACTCATTAATTGGTTTTTCTTTGCTTGTTTTAACGCATAGACATGTCCTGTATGAATATCAAAAACTAGTCTTACTATGGAATAACCCCCTTGACCAATTATAGAAACAGTATGGAAGTCATCCAATGCCACATTTCGACGCAATGAAAAAATTTTTCGGTGATATTCTACAGAGTCTTCATCTATCTCTTTACTCGAAATCTTCTTCTTACAAGAGCAACAATATCTTTCTTCAGACTCTAGGTTTTTCCCAATATTTGATGAAGAGGGGAGTTCTTTAAGTTTTTCCTTAGAATTTTGTTTCAGATTAGTCTCTGGGGAGATTCTTGGTGTTTCTTTACTAGAAGTACTTTTTTTTAAAAAAGGATGTCTATTTTTGTTTTCTATTCGAATTGCCTGTCCAAGGCTGGAAGAGACATTAGAGCGAGTAGGAATCTCTTTTTTATTTAAAGAACTGTTGGGTTCTCTGGCATTTGATAAATTATTAGTTTTTGAATGGATCTTTCTGGAGTCATTGCTGCTCCTAGAGGTAGAGCATAAAGACCAATCAAGAACCATAAGAGTTTTATCTGCAGGATGAAGCCCTGTTAGCTAAAATTATCCTGGAAAAAGATCAGTACTCAAGATCAAATCTCAAAATAATCTTGAGTAAAAGAATATTTGTTCTGTTTAATGTGTGTATATGTAACTTCAAATTCAACTTAATTCAGGGTTTGATCCTAATTCAAAGATTAAAAATATAAAATTGAAAATATCAGTAATTCCAATTCGAGCAATTACAATTTAATAATAATTCGAGCAATGATTTTTTGGAAATGGCTTAAAATTAAATAGAAGTCTCTTCTGAATATGTTACATAATATTTAAAATGTATTAATTTAAAAGGTTGAGAATATAGAAACAAACCATCTACAATCTTTAGTTATGAATTTTACTATTTTTCCATTCAACTCTTGTTTTGAAAAATAATCATTTTACCTCCAAGTTTACAAAGAAAATTTTTTTATCTATTTACTACTCACACACACACTCACCCTGGTATCGATGAGCCCGCCTTATGCATTTATATTTGTCTAAATTACATGTAATATTTATTGGCAAAAGGAAGAAAAGAAAAAAAAGAAAGAAGAATTCAAAAATAACAACATTTTTGATAAGTTTAATCAATTTCGTAATGATCTTGACTAACAAAAGAACTTGAACCATTAAAAATGAATAAAAGTAGGAAAAATAAATTAAATGAGAGTTCTTCACACCAAAAAAGCAGGAATGAGAGCAAAGTGGAGTATTTACCTGATCCTCATCGAATGTTAGCTAAATGTAAGTTTAAAGAGTTTCATTCATCTCTGGGTAGTTTTGGGAAGTTTGGTGAAGTTGATCATTATCAAAGAAGTACTTTATCGTTTGCTTTATATCTTATGGAAGGACTTTTGCAGTCGATATTATGCACAGGAATAATCTTGGAGAGCTTAAATGAGTTAGATTATGATATATATTCATATCAAGAGGAGAAAAGACAAGGAACATTAAATTTAAGTTTTAAGGTTATAAGCACCGAAAAAAAGGGGTTTACATTACTTCCTTTAGATTATAAAGGTTTCAATAAATCGAATTTTAAAAATTCTGAATCAAAGAATAGTGACGAAGAGAATTTTTTGGAAAATGATCCATTAATACCTCCAAAAGAATATTTGGATATTATAGGGTACAAAGAACCAATCACAAAAGCTGCCGTATTTCAGTTTCCATGTAATTCTTCTCCTGAGGATTTAATCACGGAAAAGTGTATAATAGACGTGATTAGACGTAGAATAGAAGATGAAGAGTGGCTTTCTCAGCTAGAGATAGTGTGTGGGTGGCTCGGAGAACTAGCCAGGGCCATCAGGCACCTTGTTAAGCACTTTCCAATAACATATAAACGTTTTCTAGAAGAGACAGATGGAAAAATTTATTCTGCAATAAAATATCCATTATTATATATGGCATTGATGAAACTTCTGTTTGATGAATATCCAAGGATTATTGAGACCGATGAAGAGCTTAACCCAAAAGATCCAGGAGATGCGAGAAGATTAGTCAATAGGGTACGAAGAAATAAGCTACCAGGAATGAGACTTGTTGAAATAATGTCCAGAATGACTAATTCTTTAGGAAATACTCTAGATTCTATGGGAGGAAGTCCAGCATGGAAGTGTAGCCCGGTTTTTGCTCAATATTATCTTCATATGGCTTTTGTTTTCGATGATTCATTATTATTCACACAAATTGCTGCGAAAAGTCATATGTTTGACTATGAGATTTTTGAATGGAATTACACATTAAACTCCTTAGCTCAACATATACCATTGTTGAATTCATTTTTAAAACCTCTTGCTACATCAATTATGGCAAACAGAGTTCACACCAGGTTAGAATGTTATTTAAAAGACTCTACCAAAAAGGTACATGCAGAAGATGGCGCCAACTCTGAAAAAAATGCACAATTGCCAAAACCTGTGGTAGGTAATTCATTGGAAGCAAGATTTCTAACAAATGAAGTAATTAAGCGTGCAAAAGCATTTTTTGGTAATTTTGAAGGAGATAGATTGATGTCAAGTGTAAAGGCAGAATTTGAGAATTGGCAGTACAAACCAATAAGACCAACACAAGAACTTAAGAAATTAGCATCTAGAAAAATTGATTTAGATAAAACACTAAAGGAATATAATCGTACAGTTCTAGTGCCAGAGAGAAATAGTAGACATACAAAAGCCGTTATAAATAATGTATTACCCCCTCTAACTCACCTTTCCGAGAAGAAAAAGAAATTAATAGTTAAGATGGCGCCAGGTCAAAAGTATGCACAATCTTTTTATAATAATAAAGTGAGTATACCTGCTGACATGATTGTAAGCCCATAATAATAATAATAATAATAATAATAATAATAATAATTAAATAACAATTGTATTGGATTCACTTCAAAGCAGAAAATTTAATATTTAAATTATCCTTGATTGTATTTCCTAATTTGTGTATATCTGGCACAATGACCAATATAAATGAGCGAGCTCGTAACAGCAGTTAAAGTTGTTACATCCAATCCTGTAAAAAATTGAGTTGCACACTCAATATCATTAATATCAATAGTTTGCCTCCCAGAGAAATAGTTTACCCATTGGGAAAGTAAAAGGTCTAATCTATTTCTTCCTTGTAAATTATTGGGAATTGGAAGAGATGGAGAAGAGTAATTGTAATTTGCTTCATTGGCTCCTTCATATTGATTCCAGGAAATACCATTAACACGCCTAGAATGATTTTTAAAGATGTGTTTACTTTTCTTCACTGTAGGAATTTCTTTCTGAATATCTGGGAGAGATTCAGAGCTATTACTCGATGAATCTGAGTAGTATTCATCATAATCAGAAAAATGGGGTGATAAGGGAAATATATAAGTCGTCTTAAATTGAGGAGTTCTGGGAGCATCTTGTTGATTAATTATATTTTTCCAGTTCGAATAAAATTCTATTTTTGATAAAGAAGATTTAGCTTCAGGAGAAAAAACTCTCTCTTCCCCAGACCATTCAATGCACTCTAAAGACCCTTTTCGTGAGAGAGTTTTATTGCACGTTTTGCCAGCTCCTAAAATGCTTTCAAAAGATTCCTCAATGCAGTCATCCAGTTCACTCAAAACTCTAAATGAAGATGAGTGTTGACTCTTCTCAAAACAAAACCCTTCACTTTCTATTTCGTTTGATTTTCTTTGCCCAATTTGAGTTGGATAATATGTATTCAAATTTGAGCATGAAATATCTTTTACTCCTTCAGTCTGTTGAGCAGTCTTTTTAACTTTTACCGCATTCATATATTCATCATTTCCACCAGTTATATTGTCTTTCTCGATAAGTGAAACTTCACCCTTCATTACAAAATAACTTACAAATTGTTCTTTTTACATAATATCTAATTATTAAAGCATGGTCAAAAATTACCACTAATAGGCGCCAACTATAAAATTTGCCATTCTTGTATTAATCTGAATTGGTAAAATCTTGTTAAAAATAATCACAAGAATTCTACCTGTAGCTCAGTGAACAAAGATATAAATCAACCCCTGACTACTATTTATTCACTCTGATCAGCTATTCACTATCTGTATTTTTTTTATTTACTAAAGATATCATTTCTATATCTGGCGCCAATATTATAAATTATAGTAAATACAATGTACTATTTTTAGAAGAAAGTAGATTAGAAAAAAATGAGTAATCAAAGTAGTAGTTTTACTCTAATATATAACTTTAAAATAGTCAATAGTGAGTCTTTATTGTATCGAAGACGGTGAATTCATTTTTTTTTAGTTTCTTTTGCTTTAACTTTCATTTACCGGTATTTGCATGCAACATTAACAGAAAATTTATTACTTATAACAATTTGCATGACAATTTCTGCATGAAATTTAGAGTAATTCTATATCCACATAAAAAGAACTATAAAAGAGAAAGAATACACGCGATAACTTTTTTTATAAAAAAAAATAATTTTGGGACAAAATTCTGTGTATTTCCCTCACAGTCTCCCCATCTCTTTTTGTAGCCGGGGAACATGTAATATTTAAAAGTTTAAATACCGAAATATATATATTATTAATTAATCAGATTCCACATAGTGGATGCTGATAGAAGATGATAAGGATAAATAGCAAAGGAGAAACAGGGACAGATGACACAGGAAAGAATGCAGGAAAGCAAACGGAAATCGCATTAATTAGAAGCCCGATAATGTCAATGCTATCAGTAGAGTCTGGTAAACCAGTAATGTTCCAATCTTTCAGATCTCCAATGTCGGGCCATGTTCCAGGAGTAAGCTTAGAGAGTAGGAAAATGACTCTTGGAGTGAGAATACCAAAAGAATCAACATACTGTAACAGTATAAAACAACCAGGATTTAAAGTTCCTCCAAAGACAGATGATGGCTCTCCAAAAGGAGAAATTGAACCTCAGATTAATGTAAATCCTTTATTACTTTGGAGTTCCACAGATGATGGCCAAAAAAGAATTATAGAGGTTGATTCAATGCTAACTAAATGGTTAAGGGAGCATCAAAGACAGGGAGTATTGTTCATTTTTGAATGTTTAATGGGTTTAAGAGATTTTGATGGAAATGGGTGTATTTTGGCAGACGATATGGGGCTAGGAAAGACACTACAATCAATAACAATCCTTTGGACTCTATTAAATCAGGGGTTTGATGGGAAGCCATCTGTCAGAAAGGCCGTTGTGGTTTGTCCAGCATCGTTGGTCAAGAACTGGGCTTCTGAAATAGAAAAGTGGCTTCAAGGCAAGTGCAAATGCACTCCTGTTGCAGAGAGGGACCGAGAAAAGGTGGTTTCAGCTTTCGCAGGATTCAAATACGACACAATGTCAAGAATTTTGATTGCATCCTATGAAACCTTCAGGATGCATGTGGAACAGCTTGACGGTGTTCCAATAGACTTAGTAATATGTGATGAAGCCCATAGACTTAAAAACGACAAAACCAAGACAGCAATGGCCATCAACAATCTCCCAGCAAAAAAGAGACTTTTATTGAGCGGTACTCCAATTCAAAATGATTTGGTGGAATTTTACTCATTGGTTTCGTTGGCCAACCCTCAAGTCTTAGGAGATGTTTCTCAATTTAAGAAAATTTATGCTAATCCGATATTAGAAGGGAGAGAACCAGATGCATCCGAGTATCAACAAGAGTTGGCTACTCAAAGGTTGCAGGAACTTTCAAATATCACAAATCATTTTATTTTAAGGCGTGCAAATACATTATTAGCAAAAGTATTACCACCAAAGATTATTTTGAATATCTTTTGTAACTTGACTCCAATACAAAATTACCTTTATAGAAGATTCTTACGTTCTTCAGCATGCAGGAAGCTATTAGACTCAGAATCTACAGGAAATCCTACAGGTTTGACAGGGCAGGTTCTTTCTTCAATCCAATCATTAATGAAGCTTTGTAACCATCCCAGTTTGATTAGGCCGAAAACTTCTGGAGGATATGGAAAAGGTTTTGAGGGATCTGAAAAGTACCTAGAAATGATTCATGGTAGAAGCTATTCAGGGGAGTCTGGGGGTGATTATAAGAAAAGGATTGCAGCTGGTAGTTCTATGAGGAACAGTAGTAGGACAGGATTTAGCTCAAAACCAAATTTGAGTGGAAAGCTATACCTTCTTTCCAGGTTACTTTTCCATATTAGAAGCAATACAAAAGACAGGGTTGTTTTGGTGAGTAATTATACCCAGACATTGGATGTATTTGAATGTCTCTGCAGAGATCTCCAAGTGCCTTGTGTAAGATTGGATGGATCAACTAGCATTACAAGAAGACATAACTTAGTTAAGACATTCAACGATCCCAATTCCAATAGCTTTGCATTTTTACTTTCCTCTAAGGCAGGGGGATGCGGAATCAATCTAATTGGAGCAAATAGGCTTGTCATGTTTGACCCAGACTGGAATCCTGCTAATGATAAACAAGCATTGGCAAGAGTTTGGAGAGATGGCCAGAAGAAAAACTGTTATATTTATAGATTATTTTCGACGGGAACAATTGAGGAGAAGATATATCAAAGACAGCTTTGTAAAGATGGTCTAAGTGCTATGCTCGTAACTTCTGGAGGTAACAATGAACTTAAAGACTCCATTTCAGCTGATCTCGTTCGAGATTTATTTACTCTAAAAGAAGATACCATTTCAGATACTCATGACATGATACAATGTAATCGTTGCTACGATTCAAATGGCCAGCTTATGAATATGGTTCCTCAAACCACCGGATTAGAAGATGATCTTAATACATGGGGTCACTACCACTCATTTTCAGAAATACCTGATGAAATTTTATCAATAACTCTAAATGAGTGCTCAAATGAAGCAAATAAGATGGCAATAGATACGGAAAACGAGCAGCCCCACCCTTTAGAGTTACCTACTGATTTCCGACCTGTTTCATTTGTAATGGCTTGCAGAATCGAACTTCAAGATCAGAAAGATGAACAGAACAAGGAGTCCAACGTAACAAAATTCATGGAAATTAACAAAGAAAACTCAAACCAAAATAATGTAGTTTGCAACAGAGATACTACTGATACAGAGAATTCTATGAATTCTCTAAATCCTGTGATAAATATCTTTGGTGGCCGCATTTCTCCTGATACGAAAAGAATGAAAGATTCAAACAGTTCCGAAGATGAATGTGTTAGCGAGTTTGATATGGATGAAGAAATGGAGTGTTATTCATCTTCCGATAGTGGAATGGAATAATTTCATCCTTTTTTTTTTGCATGTAATTTTAAATATTTGGCGCCAAGTTAATCATTATAATTTCCCCATATAAATTAAGGAATTTGGTGAGAGAAAAATAATAAATATTTAGGGGGAGCAAGTTAATATATATATTTATATTTATATGCAAATAATTAACATACTTTGATATTCAAGATTATGTCTGGAGATTGGTGTACAATAGAAAGTGACCCTGGTGTTTTTACGGAGTTGGTGGAAAGGTACGGTGTAAAGGGAGTACAATTTGCAGAGATATATGACTATAGCGAAAGTGGGATGGACTTAATAATTAGTGAGTATGGTAATGTTTATGGGATCATTTTCCTTTTTAAATTTACAGAAAAGTTTAAAGGAAATCATTTTTCTCAGCCAACTGAAGCCCCTCCGGAGATGTTTTATGCAAATCAGGTCATAAATAATGCATGCGCAACTCAAGCAATACTTTCAATCATATTAAATAGGTTGGACATTGACATTGGATCTCATCTTCAAGAGTTTAAGAAGTTCTCAAGTAGTTTTGATCCGATGACAAAAGGACTTGTAATTGGTAATAGTGAAGTATTGAGGACTGCTCACAATTCTTTTAGACCGATTTCTTCTTTGGAGGTTTCTGACCCAGAACCTAATGATTCAAAAGGAGATGCATTTCATTATATTTGTTATATTCCATTTGGAAGAAATGTATATGAGCTTGATGGACTTGCTACAGGTGTTGTGAATTTGGGAAGCCCCAAAAATGTTGACTCCGAAAATCTGTCATTAGACAATGAAATATCAGCTTTATATGATAAACCAAATCTTTGGATATCCAGGGTAATGGAAGAGGTAAAAAGAAGGATAGAGCTACAAAATGAGGATTCTTCTAAGGATGAAATAAGATTTAGTTTGTTGGCAGTTGTTCCGGATAAAATTTCTGTTATTGAAAAGAAAATTAAATCTCTTAAGATATCTAGGCAAGCACATGTTGCGAAGCTTCTAAGTTTAGGAGGAGATTTAAATGATGATTTACAGAATTTTTCTGAAGAAGAAATTGAGCCTGATGAATTTGAATCTTTGTTATCTTCTATTCCAAATAATATTGTCTTAATACAAGCAGAAATTACTCGAATTAACCAAGAAATATCTGAAGGTCTCTTAATTATTCAGAACGAGAATTATACTCGTGAAATTTGGAAGAAAGAAAATGAGAGAAGAAGACATGATTTTCTTCCTTTCGTTCTTACTCTATTGAAACATGCATCAAAAAAAGGTTTATTAATGAAGAAACTGTCTCAATTGCAGTGATAGAGTAGAGAATAGGATAGTGGAAAAATACTTAATATAAAATCATCTAATGCCCTGTTTTGCTATTTATACTGGATTATCCCGGTTTAAATTATTTTATTACCCATATTTATGCTCGAAGTTTATATATTTTTCAGCTTTAAATTCAAATTCTATTTAAATATTGAGTATTTAGTTTACAATCTTCCACGTAATTATTTTTGCTTCTCCATTGTTATTTTCTAGTACACATTTTTTGATTATATCCTTTTTAATTATTACACTTTTACCACGTAAATCTAGCTTAATTTGATCCACTAGTCCGTCCAATTTACTTAAATAATTGGGCAAATTTTGGCAATAGAGCCAACTCAAGTCCAACTCTTGGTCATATTTTAGTGGTATTCTAACATAAATAGCATCTTGAATTATCAGAGATAAGTTCTTATTGTATTTTATAAGATCTCTAATTATGATTATAAGCTTCATTCTGTATTTTTCAGTAAATAGAAACATTTTCACATCGTGGCAAATTATAGATGATAAATCGAGAAAAGGGTCACTAAATTGTACTAATTCTTGGTAACCCCTTCCTAGCATAACACCTTGGTTAAGATCTGAAATCCTATTCAAATTTCCCATCCATAATGTATTTAAACTAAATAATAAATTATTATTTTTCAAATTACATTGTTCAATTACTGGACTGACCATGGTGTTAATTAAACCATATTCCACAGAAATCGAATTTTCATTAATTAAGAAATTAGCCATTGTTATACATTGCTGAGAATTAATTTCTACACAATATTTATTATCAATTATTCCTTTAGGTAAAACCATTTGGGTTTTAAAAGACTTTTTTTCATTAATTATGTATGCTACAACCCAAAGATATTCACAAAAATATATAGAGGATTCGTAGCAGCTCACCAAATCTTCTGAGTTTTTGCTTGTATGGAAATTCTTACATATTTCAATCAAAAACTGTCTACCTATTTTCGCCAATTCGTCATTTTTCCCCTTTAATATTTTAATTTGAAATAAAAAAATCAGCAAGAAACTCAAAAAAATAATGTTCATTGAATTCTCTCATTACTATTGTTTATCTTCAAAGTTTCTAATTTTATTTAATTTATTTTGTTATTTTGGTTCACTATTCATCTTTTATGTATATGCATGCATACATGCATTCTTGTGGAAATTGGCATGGAAAAAATTTGTGAATAATATATTACGTAAGTGAAGGCATTATAAAGATAGTTAAGATATTGCATGCATTTGCATAAAACTTATTTATGTTAAAAAATTAATATTAAAGAAGAAAAGAACAAGTACGGGGTAAGGGATAGAAAGATTAAAATGGGGAATGGTCCAGACATCCGGAATAAGATATCATTATATTTTGAATTTTTCACAAAACTCAAAATTAGTCGATTATCACATCTCTGTCCTTATTAACACTTTCTTTTCAAGTTGAGAGTGTTGAAAAAGTGGAGATTATTGTTAATAATCAAATATTAAAAAAATAGATTAATAAAAATGTGTAATAATAATTTCTTTTGCCTTGACAGTTATCCAACATACAACAAAAGATGCTCCTGCAGTTGTTTTGATATAAAAAGAGGATGCTCTCAGCAATTCACATGTACAAACAGAAGGCCCACTGTTCAGAGGTATATATGTAGAATTTGTATTCCAAGAGTAAACAGAACACCAGCATTACAAAATAGAATTGCATGCACTGATTGCTATATATGTGGGCAAAGGGCAGGGCCAGCCTCAATACAAGCTCAGAAGCCAGAAGCTATAGATAAATGTGATTATTCTAATTCTTGTACCTGCACGCAAAGCCCGATCCAAAGAAGCCAAACGGGAGGATGTAGGTGCGGTGGGTGTTGCATAGTGTTATGCAGCCGTTAATAAAAGATAAGGGTTCCGGTGGAAACTAAAGATGATCTAACTAAATAAAAATGGGATTAGAATTAAAGATTTAGAAGCTAAAATAACAAACGACGCCATAATTAAATAGAGAATTGAATTGAGTAGAGTTAAAAATATAAAGGAGTTAATGGAATAAAGAAAGGGGCAGTTTTCAAACGACAAGAACATCCAGTTCCCTCTCTGCTTTCCTCCCTTACCTCCCCTCTCAACTTCCTCTTTTCTATGCAACATAAGCTAAATTTTCAAAGTTCTAATTATACCGATTTTTTCCTTCCCTGACTTCACTCAAGGCTAGGAATTTAATTACCTTCAAGGATCTTTTTGATTTGAGCGTTTTCTGAGACTTGAATGGGAGTCAGACCGTCATCATTTGTTAATGTTAAATCAGCTCCATGCTCAATAAGAATTCTTATACAGCTCTCCTGCTCAGAAATCACAGCAACATGGAGAGGTGAGTCGCCAAAGCCATCCTTAGCATTCAAATTTGCTCCATATTCTAGAAGAAGCAAAGCAATTTCAGCATACCCCTTGTCACATGCTAAGTGGAGAGCATAAAATCCTTGTGAGTTTCGGGAATTAGAGAGAAATGGATATCTTTCAAGAACTTTCTTCAGAAACTCCGTTTCATTCTTATTTACCTGCGAACAAAATGCATCAAAAACAGAAAGTGAGCAATTCTTTTCAGAAAAGTTTGGATCAAGCAAAGCCTGATCCAATACATTTTTCAATTCCACTTCTAGCTTTTCATCCGAGTTGGATTCCATCAAAGGTTGAGAAGTTGAACTGAAAAGTGAAATACAAGAATTCTTACCAATATTTTCTTCCCATTTGGGATCTTTCTTGTTTATAAGTTCTATATACTTATTAGCTGCGTCTTCTGAACTCATTCCTTTTCTCGAAGCCCAGGATTTAGATTTTGCCTGATCTTTCATGCTGAATACTGAAAATAATGAGCCAGATTTCTCTGGTGCATCACCTACAGTTGCTTGCTTATAGCACCCATATAACTCCAAAAGTTCCTCATTACTAAATGATGACACATTATTTGCACAGTAATCAGCTGCTAGGGCAAACTTCTTGTTCGTGGATAAGATATTTGTCATTTCTAATTATTTGATTATCCAATGGGTATAATAAATATACTTCCTAAAAAGAAGAAAAAACGGAAAACCGAGGTAAATTTTGTCCAAGGAAGCGAGGAAACTGTATAAAGGTGGGGGTAAGATCTCTTCAATTTCTTGTTCCCACCCCCCCCATAATTCCTTGTAATTTAAATAAACAATTAAACATATCCCGCCAACATTTCTAATGTACTAAATAAAATAGAGAAGTACCCGCCAAAATTATAATAGTTTGGGCCAGAGTTTTTTGGAAGAAAAAAAATGTTGACAGTAAATGCATGCAACAGAATTTTACAATTATTTTGCATGTATTCACCGCCAAAATAGTTAATAAAAATATAATTAGGAGCGAAATTAGTATTTGGAGTGACTAACTGCGATTTTGAGTCCATTTTGGAGAGTATCTGTAAATTCTTTCATTGCATTGGCTATGCTGTCATCAGCTTCTTGTCTGAGTTTTGATGTGGAATTGATAGCATTTTGAATACTTTTGAACTCTTGTAGAACAAAATTGCTGAATTGATTATTAGGGTTAAAAACATTAAGTTTTGAGTTATTTTCAAAATTTTCGTGGAATTTCTGAATTTGTTCTCGGGTTTGGATGTGCGAATTATTGCACGATAATCTGGAAATTTTATCGTTGATTGTTTTAATCATCTGATTATTGAAATGATTAGTTTCTGAGAAAATCCCTGTGATTCTTTTTATTATAATAAAATAACTTTTGAGTTCATGTTTGATAGATTCGAACTTGTCTGTAAGCTCTGAAAGTTGTTGATTTTTTGAATTTGTATTTCTCTTGTAACTAATAAATTTAGCTTCAACCTTCTCACATCTACACAATATACTTTCCAAAGTGTTCATTATTAGTTCAATTCGATGCAAAACCTTCATAGTTACTTCCTGTATCATTTGGTTTCCAAGCTCCTCAGTTTCACTCTGTAGTTGAGCCATTTTGCTTTTTCGGTTCTGTACACACTCCAAAATTTCATCCCTAAGTTGTTCCTGTAACTTTATAATTTCTTTCATTTTCCCTGCTGAGTTGCAGGTTAGCTGATTTTCTACCATTTATTTCTTCAGTCTTTTTCTGTTTTATTTATCCCTTCCTAGCTTCCCCTCAATTATTAACAAATATATAGTGGTTTATCGGAGTGCTTCCTTGTAATTAAAAAATGATAGGAGCATAAGTAATGTACGAAGAATTAATACTAAGAGATAATTGCAGTCAAATGTCAGAGATTTAGTTTTTCTTTTTTTCGCAGTTTTAACTTATGATCCAAAAATAATACAAATAATTCCGCACAACTAAGCGCCAAATTCCCGTTCAAATTTACTTGGAACTTTATAGGTTATATTAAACCGCATGTGAAAGATAAACCTAAAAATAACAGTAAAACATAGAAAAGAATATGTAAAAAAAAGAAAAAAAGCACTAGAACAACTAACAATATGAAACTAACTATAATATCCCCAAGTCTATTAGAGACTTTTCCACATTTTTTTTTGACCCAAAATCTTTAGTTTGTTCGTCCTTTTGTTGCCTCTTCGAATTTATGATCACTCCACTTTTATTTGAGTGATTCTTGATCGATAAGTTCTTAAATAGATTGTTTTTTTTGTCAGAATTCTCCTGGGTCTGATGTGATAACGTTAATAATGAATCTGTCAAATCAATCATTGAATTGAAATCTTCATCGGACTTAAAGACTTTATTTTCTGTACTAAAATCTATTAAATTGTTTGTTAACTCAACTTCTGGCGGGCAGTGTGGGGCGTGCATACATGCATCGGCACCAAGGGTTTCAATAATTTGTTTGACTTTCCTCCTACAATGAATGTTAGTGGCTGAAATTTGATTAAGAAGGTGTGTAAAGTCGTCATTAACATATTCAATAACGTGTTTTTTGGTGTTTTGGTTTGTTTCAAGCATAGAAAGGATGAGACACAGAATTTTATAAATTATTTTGAAGTTACCCTCTGATTTTAAGTTTAATAAATGATTTGAAGTACAAGGAGAGTTGTGTTGTTCATTAATATCAGTATAATGATTATCAGTTTGGTAATCAATGCCACTGTTCTGAGTTTCATTATCCTTCTTTAAACAATTGGAACCAGTATTACTTAGATCAATTAGTTTGTTATGTAGCATCTTAATAACAATGGGGATATCTAATTTTTGGATTTCTTTAATGCTATTTTGAAGAAGCTCATTGGAGGGATTCAGAATTAGTCCTTTTGTTGAGCAGTAATTCTCAACAAAATGGATCTCTAATGTATTACTATTTGAAACGTTTTGACTTTCCACTATTACTGTAGGTTTTGAATGAGTTTTATGTTCTTCTATTTTGGATTCAGTAAAGTTTCCTTGTTTACAGGTTGAAGTTTGATAGCTTTGAGAGTTGGTTACTCCTCTTGAGATTTCATCATTAAAGAAACCATCTCTAAAATCCCGACGAAATGCAGGTTTATTCTGATAATTATTATTCACAGGTCTGATTGTATCTTTATAGTTTCCTCCATAATAGTTTGAAATGCCATTAATTAACTTATTAGGCAGTACTTTCAGTACCAACTCAGAAAGATCGTCAACAACTTGATTATAGTGACCTATTTTTGCATTGTATACAATAGAACTTCCAATCTGAGAAATGTCCATTGAGTCACTATCTTGCTCTATTTTATCAATAAAGTTTGGGTTTCCAAATCCATGGATTCTATCTTTATAACTACTATTGGAAAGCTCATTAGCTCTTTGTCCAAGTCCCTTAGTTTGATTACCAACTTTAATACTTCCATCAATTCTGTTATTACTACTAAATATGGATTTTAAACATTGAACTGCCTCTTCCCTAACTAATTCTGATAGAGTATCCCCATATACAGGATCAAATGGACCCTTATAACTTTGGCATAATCTTATTTGATTTGCATGGCGTTGTGCCAGTATTTTAAAAGTTGGATTTCCATTCTCACAGAGATGCTTTATCAACCTTAATGACTTAAACTTTACTTTAGGATCATTTCTTTTCAATTTCTTAATTAAATAGTCCTCCAAATAACTACAAATACCTTCTTGCATATAACTCAAATTTGTTACCTCATTCAACTGGTAGCCTGAAGGTGCTGAGGCTGAATCCGAACCAAATATTGATTGAAGAAGTCCTTTATCCAACATCACCTTACTTCTTTGTTGTTATTCTTTTGCTTTTTGAAAATAATTTATTAAAATGCGCGCCAAATTTGTGTTCCCCACACTCAACTTTATTGAAAAGTATATTCCTTCGGAAAATGCAAATTCCTTCAATATAATTTAAAAATAGTAATTTTGATACTTTGCTCTCATTATTTATTATTAAGAAGGCTATGTGAATTATTTCTTTTATATACAAATTAATTGACTGTATATCTCGTATATTTACCAAATGGCCAAAACAATTGGTTTATGTATTATTTTTGTTATCAATTAATCAATATTTTTAAAACATAAAGCTATTCTTTTTGTGTGCATATTAATAAAACTTACGTTTTAGTGGCTGCATGCACTAGGCGGGCAATCTATTTGAATTAATAATTTCAGTACCGGTGTTTAGCCACATGCAAGAAAAATATTTAACAGTAGGGAAAGCTGATCAAAAGAAAAAATCGTAATTTTCAAAGTAATTGATATAGTTAATATAAATTACCTAATAAACATATTAGTTTAGGAAATCATCTATAAAGGTATAAATTCCGGTAGAAATAAAGATTTTTGAGATATTGTGGCCTCCATTGAAGAAAAGAAAATATGCGATTAAACTGTCGAAATAGACAGTTTTCGGAATTATTCATTCTTTTTCCTGTTTGAACCCAAATTTTCATGGAAACTTTTTAAAGTTAGAAATAAATACAAAACAACAAGTATGAAGAAGATAAAAATCCAAATGTATATAATAAAGTTTGAGGGCAAAAAAGATTCGACGCGAAGATTCCCACTAAATCTCCAGCAAAGCAGTGATTCCGTAAAAATTACAACCACAATGAGCCAGGACTGAAAACTAATTTTACCGAAGTGAATTGAGCAATCTCTTGCGATTGTTTCATATAGTTCTCCAACTGCTGAAGCGCCACATATAGCCAAAACAACTGTTCTCACACCAAAAATCCAGTGGGAAACTGGCATATAGAACTCGGCCTTGAAGAAGAAGTAATTCAAGTCAATCAGTTGAACAATTGCTGTCAAAACCAGAAAAGATAAAAAACCGCGTAAGGTCGATAAAGTTTCTGGCCATTTAAATGATAAAGGAATAAAATTCTTTACTTTGAATAAGCCTGAAACCGATGTGACTTCTTGGGCTTTATCTTCAAAACTAGAAATTGCTTCTTTTGAAGCTTTTTTGTGTCTCTTAGCACTTGAAGATGATACTGATTTCTCGTTATGTTCTTTGTTCTCAAGTCCGTTATGGCATGTATGCCAATTAAAACGAGCCAAGCCAAATCTTCTAATTATATAATTCCCACAGAATATGCCTATCATGTTACACCCAAAAATATCCAATAATATATGGTCCCACCAACATTCATAAAAGTTTGGTAAAATATGCCTAAGAGTAATTTCAAGCCATTCAAAGAATATAGAGTTAAACCAGACGAGGAAATCATTTCTCAGAATTAAAGTCTTGGCCATCCAGCCAAGAAAGTGAGCGATTACGAATAGGTCAATCTTTGGGAGAATATTTGTCAACAAACCATCTGATTCGCCAATGATTGAGCAAGAATTCCCTGCATAATTTATTTCAGGAACCCCTTCTTTTAGCTTTGGGTCGATATAAATTAAAGCGCTTCTGATATATTCAGTGTCCTGAAACATTAAAAATGTCAGAAGCACAAGATATAGTATATTCATACCCATCATAATTTTCCAGAAAGCATAACAGGGCCATTTAAAAGTTCCATTTGGGAGAAAATGCACAGACATAACCATCACAATGCCAATTGCTGCTACCAATCCCCAGGTTGCTCTCATCATTGGGGATATTGCCAAATTCTGACCGAAGAAACCCCTTAAAAAGAGCTCGGAAATCACCCAAATAGCAATTACTGATATAGACAAAAGAAAAGATGTCCAAAAGCTCATATATCCAGTTGATCTTGAGGGGTGGCATTCTCCCATTTCAGGAATCCACTTCTTTCTTGAAACGTGCATGATTAATACCAAAGACTATTCGAATACAAGAATCGTAGGAAATTGCAATATTCTAGTCTCGTGGCTATTTTAGCCAATTTGTTCTCTATCGCACAGTTTAGAGTCTAACAAATCCAATTAAAGACCCTTTGATAGACTTTCAATGCTTTAATCCTCCAAGATCTGTCTGGATCTTTACTAGGAAAAAGCTCTTTAGTTTTTGTTACAATTATTCAGTTATATTATTTATTTGATTTTATTACTAATATTATATTATATACAACATGATCAGGCGGGCTTCCCACACTTTTAATATGAAAACAATCTAATGGTCAATAAAGATTAAAAAATAGTTTTAAATATGGAATTAAGACTTCAATTAAAATATACGTAGTGGGAAAGAATGGCTTTGCAGGCGATTCTAGTTATGTCTTGTTGATACAATTTTTTTTTCATCCTGACTTTCTTCAGATAGGCCTTGAGATATATATATATATATATATATATATACGTGTATTTACATGTCCATACTTTTTTTTTTTATAGAATTCTTACCACATTAGCATTCCTACATTTTAGCCATATTATAATTAATTATGCTTTACTGAGTGCCTTCCCAATTTGGGAAAAATAAAGAGGATAAAGGTAAATGAATTCTTTGCCCTCGTTAAAATTCAGGATTTAACTCAATCCAAGTATTGTAGTCTTCTTTGTTAACTGGAAGCTTTACCATGAATGAGCTGTCAAGTTTAATGTTAATAGTTTTAGCTATTTTTATGTTTTGTGAAATATGATGTAGTTTAAAATTCTTTGTATCTGCCCCTGTAATAGAAATTGCCAGTTTATGTCCTTTAAAAAAAGTCCAGGTAATGGGTTCTAGAGTGATTTGCATTTGAGACTCATCCCCAATCCTCCTTAAAGGTTGGTAATAGCTTTTTGTTAGAGGCCTAATAACCTTTCTTGCTGATCCATGTGGAATGTTTTCAAGAGCACTTTTTGTCATATTAACATGTCTATGCCCAACTTGTGCTAATCCTTCTGTTATATACATAATTTTATTTTCTGGGGAAATGTCCTCCAAATATACATAGATAGGAGCATCATAGCCATCAAGAAGCTGAATTGAGAAATGCAGCCAAACACTTCCTACAAGTCGAATATCGGACTTAAATGCAGAAGTTGCAAATCTTATATGCTGCCTGCTCTTTCTCTTTTGATGGAGTCTTTCACCAGCATGCCATAACTGTTTTCCTTTTTCATTATAAGACACTGTCACTCTGAAAGGGTGCATTGCAATCATCCATCTGGATCTATATTCAGAGAAATAGTTATCCCCAACTTTGAGTTGAATGTAGCTCGAAGATCCATTACTATGTTGGTTTGTGTTTAAGTGCGTTCTCGTTTCTTTCTTTTTAGTTTGGAATACAAGAGGAACAAATCTAGTGCCTAGAATTGATGAAAATTCCTGGACCAAATTTTTGTCATTTTCTCCATGTTTCTCTAAGGAAAATTGAAGATATTCAGTATCTGGTGGAGGGAATTTATCCGTAGTATACCATTTTTCTTCTCCAACTTGGAAGAAATGAATGTTTTTGTCCTGATTTTCCCAGCATATTCCTTTTAAAGCACAGTCCATAAATCTTACCAAGTCATAATATAAGGCTGGCTCGAAACAAGAAGTAGTTTCTCCAAATGGAGAACAGCTTGCCCTACCAGAGTGGGTCCAGGGTCCAAGTACCAACTTATATATAGGTTTTTCCTTAGATGCCATGTTTCCAGCCTCTAATAGATATTGCTCGTACGCCTTAGAGGCTGACTCTACTAAAGCATCATAGAATTGAATCATTCCTCTGGAATTAGCAGAATCACAGTATCCTGATGTTAAATAGACATTGACTCCTTTATTTCCAAGAATTGTTGCGATATCTTCTGTATTTCCAAGCTTCTCAGCAAATATCAAAGTTCCATCATCCAGTTCTACTTGTTCATCCAAATATTTATACTTTTTGATTGTCTTTGACATATCCCAATTCTTCTGGTGCATTTCCAATGCCTGCTTCTTAATACTTGAATACCCCTGGACAGGAGAAACATTTCCAATTACTAACAAAAAGGCCACAACTAATTTAAAAGGATAATATGTGGCTGTTTTCAGGAAGTGAAGTAGCGGGGATCCATATTGTTCAAATGAATAAGTTATGCTATAATAATCCTCTACTAGAGGCTTACAGATCAGGCCTCCCGGTTCAATAAGTTCTTTAATTACATTCATTGGAGATGAAAGAGCAAAAACTGCGTCCACCAAATTGTTATCACTTCTAAATCCTTCTGAATTGTTCTCTAATGTATCGTTTGTAGTTGATGCAGCAGTTTTTATCGCTGCCATCCCATCATAACTGATTCCTCCCACTCCTACCTTGCCATTACTCCAAGGTTGGTTCTTTATCCAACCAATTATCTGCCTAAAGTCATCAACTTCGTTCTCTGAAAAGTCCACAATTCTGTGCCCTGTGCTAGCACCCGTTCCTCTGGTATCAACAACAACAACAGCATAAAAATTTGGAATGAACGTTTGTGTAATCTGCCAAGACCAAATATTCATAGAAACAGATTTTGGTTCACCCCAAAGAGAGAATAAGGTGAATGGCCAATGAACATCCATTCTTCTATTATACCTTGTAATATCTACCACGGTTGGTAGAGTTTTATACCCAAATCTAATTCTGGGCAAATAGATATCTACGGCAATTTTAACACCATCATCCATTGTAATGTACTCACTGTAAAACAATGGTGGGTAGTTAGTGCTTGTTGGACCTCTAAAATCCCCTGTTCGGATTTTTCCTGATTCATCCCTAAAGAAAGTTATCTCATGAGTGTCGAATTTATACCAGTGGTGATCGTTTGCATTACATGAATTCTTTGGCCCCAAAAGGCCTTCTTGCATTAGAGGTAAGCCAATCCCTACAACCATACATAAGTAAATACTAAGAATGATTCCATCCAATAAATGAACATAGGTAAAAACCATCCTCAATGCAGTAATAAAGCCAAAGAAGTCGACAGATAATCCAGTCCAGTATAATATTATATGTGCCAATAAGCTTGTAAATCCTTTATAATCGTCATATTTGTATTTGTCCTTAGCAAGAGAAAACCAGATATCGGGAACTAACAATCCTTTAGTGTTTAAACTTTCATGAGCAACGTATTGTGTCAGTGCAACCAAAATAATTAACAAACAAGAAATACCAAATACTCTTCCGGCTACTCCAGATACCATCATTTTTTTCCTGTGACTCTTCCTGATTTTCTTACTCTGAGATTTCTTGGCCATATTTCTTCTAATGTCCTTCAAATTGACCTTCAGAGCTCTTGAAGCCATGTATGCTAGTATAAAGATTATACAACCTAGAAAGCATGAATCCATTATACTAGTTGGAAGGCTTTTTGGAATGATATGTTGGGCATAATAATATTCGAAAATTTCGTCAGTATTCATTTCCTTATTCACTGTATATATGGATGGGTACAGGTTCAAAACTGTGATGTGGTATATTATATAAACTGTGATGGCTCTACTAAAAAGCTGTATATTCTTCAACAACTTTTCCAACCTTATGACTATTTCTTCTTCCCGTAATTTCCATTCATTAAACTCTTTAACGTTCTGATCTAATCCTTCATTTTCAGATGAACTGATTGGGGAGAGCCCTCTTTCAGAATTTCCTAAACATTCTTCAGGGGTTTCGGGACCACTCTCACAATATGTATCCATTACATCCGACTCACTTTCCCTACCCACCTTAAACATTGCAGACTGAGGTGTTTGCAATGATTGATCTTCCCAGCTCTTCTGTGCATATCCCAATACATCTTTTCTTGCTCCTTTCACAACCCCCCTACCGTTAATGAGTTCTGATATATTTTCCTCTTGTTGCTCCACTTTCTCTAATTCTGACGCCTTTGACATCGGATTCCTTATCCCCACACTTACACACAGACCCCTATTTATCTGCGCCACTTTAAACTTAATTGTTCTTAATTTACTCCTTCTCTTATATGGAGAGCCTTATTTACTTTTCCTCTAACCTCTCATTAAAATCCCTTTTTGTTTTCTTTCAAAAAAAAATTAATTTTTTTAAGTTTCTTTTGTTTTTTCCGATTTGTTTACTAGTTCACTTTAATAATTCCCAGGTGTACCCCATTTCTAATAATAATAATATAATTAATGTATTATTTGCATGCATTGCATGTAATTTTTTGTATTATACAAAATTGCATGCAGTCAAAGCAATGAGCGGGAAATCCCGGACTAATAATGGGCGTTTCTTTATGCAAATATAACAAAATAAAGGCTAGTAGCTCAGGCTTCTGCTTCACCTTAACAACTTCTCTTTTTTATTTAAAGACTTCATACCGATTTTTTTCCTATTATTCAACCTAAGCTTTGATTTAAAATAAACATTTATTTTTCTTTTTTTATCCTTAATTTGTTATGAAGATTTATTTAATTTGAGTTTTTACCACAATTTACACGTAATATATTTGTGTTGAATTAATACTAATAAAATATAATAAATACAATATAAAAAATTATTCAAGTTAAACTAAAATTTTACAAAAATTAAGGTTAAAAAAACTCAATTTCCATTATATATCTGTTTCATTCTGAAAATTGGAGTTTGAACTACTATACATAATTACTGTGGCGTTTTCAGAAGTTTCTTGAGTTACTGTGCTACTACTAGCGGTAAATTTACCATAGCTCTTAACATTTTTATATATAATTGAACCAATATTACTCAAGAAGTTCTGAATTTTTGTGTTGTTTATAGCAAAAGAACCTCCTTGCTTACTCTTTTTTCCAAAGGCCGAATTAGTAGTTAGAGTATTATTATCTTCAAAATGAATAGGAGAATTTTGTTCGATTTCGTTTTCTTTTTGGCTGGTCTCAAAATTTATGCTTTCTTCTAATATTATTGGTGACTTTGTAATGCAAATTACTGCGGTCTGAATGAATTCATTCCATTCAGAAACAGAAACTCTCTGTAATAGTATGCTAACCTCTTCTATAGAAATTAACAATGAATTCAATAATTTCTCTGTTTCCTTAATAAACTCATTTTTTTGAATTGTTATGGTCTCTTTATTGCAAATTTTACAGTTATTTATCTGACTCTCTCCACATAAACAAACCCCTGTCAACAATGAAAATATATATACAAAAAGTATTTCTTCTTTATTAAAAACTTTTCCACCAACTTCTAAAGCCAAAAAATCAGTTCCAAAACCTCTGTTGCCGTGGCCCAAAACAGCCTCTGTGAATGAATTCCATAAAGTCACCATATTCAAAAAAGAGTTTTCAACCGAACAATTCTCTCCTCTAACATCCTGATTATTGGATAAAGCCTTGTTACTCAATTGAATACCTCTAAAAATTTGATTTTTTATTAACTTATCTTCAATGCATTCTATCTCATCTTGTTGAACCCAATGCAACTCCATTGCTTTCTCATTATTTAGAAACTGACTTATCATGTCTGAACAAACTCCTGGATTCACCAAATACAAAATACAGCATATTTTTGGAAGAGCTAGCAATGCAGCGACATCAAACTCCTCTAATTTCTCAACAAATATATTTTCCCAGAGATATATTTCCTCAAAATTCTTTATTGAACCTAATTCCATCATCACCTCTCCAATTTCCAATCCTTTAATTCTCCTCCTAATCTGAAATTGAATGGAAAATACTTTTTGAAGCAATTTTACAAGCTGTACAAGAGATAATCTGTCAACGTCCTCTTTCTCCATTGACACCAATTTACTAAACTGTTTCCTTGCTATACCCCATGTCTCTTCCACCCTCAAAATCTGTTGTTGCAAACTTGAATTATTACAGATATGCGGGTCTATCTTTTCTGGAATTTTGCATGCATCTACTACCTGCTCCAAAAATATGGTCATTTCGGACATGCATTGCATACTTAAGGCGCCAACCACCGAAAAGCTGGAGTGTGGGGATGATGCTGCCAGTTTGTTAATTTGCATGATTTGCTCCCATGTTGACAAATTAATGTTTTCTGTAGTACATTGTTTATTATTCAGATTTAAAACTCGATACAAATTTTTAATTAGCTCGAAGAAAATTGGATCCAAACCATTACATTGAATCCCACTTGTTAGCTGATCATCTTCATTACCATTATTCTCAGATTTTTCCTTCTTTTGCATTTCATTCACAAAAATAACATCACTATTATTTCCATTTGATTTGGCGCCAACACATGTCAAAATTTCATTATCAATCATGTGTTTATTTAAATTTAAAATGAATCTTCTGGCAACGTTTTCAATTGAAATTAGTTCTGTGATATATTCCTTCTCGAATTCTACCCACGATTGATCAAATCTTTTCAAAACATTAATGATATTTGCTTTCCATAATTCATTTTCAAAATCGAATATATTAACATCTTTATTCTTTTTAATCCTTTCTTCTATTAAATCTTTAATCTGGAAAATAAGTGTGACCAGACAAATCCAACTTTCATGAAGCTCTTTCCCAGCTTGAATTACATTTGCATTAAATTCAAATCTTTCACCATTTACCCAAATTGATGTATAGCCTTCTATAGAAGCTTCTAAAACATCCACACGGTAAAATCTCTTCTTAGGGTATGGAAATAGTGCTTTATAGTTGTTTGTAAATGAGTCTCTATAAATTCTCTCTGAGGCCTCAATTTCAAGAATCTCATTTACTACTTCAATGTTTGATAAAAAAAGTTTGCATCCTCTGAATCCCTGAGAAGTCTTTAGGCATGGTTTTCCTGTTTCGATGTCATCAAACTCTACAAATTTTAAACCTGAAATTAATCTGATACAAATGTATTTCATATCATCATTAGTCATTTCTCCAAATTACCGAATAACAATTATTGTTATACTAACACCAATTTTAAATTCATTTGAAAATCAATACATATTAGAAATATAATTAGATTTCAAGTGTTTAAAATCTCACTAATTACCTAATAGTTTCCCATTACTCATCTATTTTATAATTATTTTTATCATGAATAGAAAATTTTAGTTTGTCACTTTTTACTTTGTGGGTGATAGACATATTTTTAGATATACGTATTATACGCCATATATCTCAGACTTAAAATTGCCTCTTAAAAATGATTTATATTGCAATAATAATTCAGTTTAAAATGTTATTTAATGTCTTTAGCTATTTTCTACATCTTTTTATTCAATAGGGAATCAATAACTCGATTAATATGATGATTTACTAAGGATCTTATCTCACTATTCTCTGTGAGTGAGTGAGAGCCATCTTCAATTAACACAATTTCATGAGGGATCTGTGGAGGAATGAATTTTGCAATTTCACTTGAATCCTAAAAATATTGATTTAATCAATTTATTGTTATTTTAATATTTTTATTAGTTCAACCTTCAAGTAAAACCTACCTGTACTGGGACAATGTCATCTTTCGTCCCATGTATTAATAAGAAATATTTTGTGTTTTTTACAGCTTTTAGCATATTATAATCTACTAAATTTCTTTTGTTTACGCATTCAAAAGTAATTTTTCTTGGAATATTATCTCTTGGAATAATTTCAACAAATTCCAGTTCTTTGTTTTTCAGTTGGTCATATTGTTCATCTGTGATAAATTTTGTTATAATAGAATTAGCCAAATCAAATCTTGCTGAAATACTTATAATAATATCGACATCATCATACATCCAAGAATACATTAAAGTTTCAACTCCTCCTCTAGAGTGTCCAATAATAGCCTTTATTTCAAGTCCTTTATTTCTAAGAAATTCCACAACCTTCCTTAGATCATTGTTAACTTCTCCATGATAATCTCCAAAACACCAGGAATCTGCCCCCTGAGATTCCCCATTACCATGAAAATCAAAACGTACAACATTAATAGTAAGGTGTTTTGCAATAGTCTGACAAAGACGATTTTCTTTACTGGAAAATAGTCCATGGCAAACTATTGCAGTTTGGGGACTCTCGTAATTATGTACAGTAGATACTGCAGAAAGCAAATGCCCATTTCCACTTTCAACAACAAATTTGCCTCTAAAAATGAACATTAAACCGAAACTCAAGGAATAAAAGTTAAAACTTCAACAACTTACCCATTGTCCTTACAAAAGTCCCAGTAATTTTCCTGTTGCATTTTTTTAATAGATTTTGTTTCAATTCTTTAAATACCTTTATCTATTAATCCTCACGTTTATTTCCAAATTCAATTTACATGTTAAGAAGTTCCCGCCAAAAGTCCACATAATTACGTGATAATAATTCGGAAGAATATTTTTAAAAAAAGAAGATATTAAAGTTTTAGGAGTAAAGAAAAGCCAAAAGGAGAGCGACTACTGGAAAGTGGGAGTTATTACATGGGAAGATAATGGAATTGTAGAGGTTATTTAGACATGTTAAGAGATGAATACAGAAAAAGGGGATCTGTCGTCATTTTTAAGTCAACCAAAAAAACGTTTTAGAAAAGCGGCAGGCCAGGTTTGGGTGGACAATACTTTGGATGAGTGGCCAGAGAATGATTTCAGATTATTTTGTGGAGATTTGGGGAATGATGTCACTGAAGAGGTGTTAGCAAACGCGTTCAAAAAGTATCCTTCTTTTGAGAAGTGTAAAGTTATTCGAAATAAACATACTGGGAAAACTAGAGGTTATGGATTTATTTCATTCACAAACCCAAACGACATGTTACATGCAATGAAGGAGATGAATAGGAAGTACGTTGGAAGTAGGCCCATAACTCTAAAGAGATCTAAATGGAAAGATAGGGAAGTAGATTCTGACAAGAATAAAAAGTTTGACGAAATGACTAAAAGAAATGAATCAACAAATTCTTTATTTCAGGATTACCATAAGGAATACAAAAAGAGAAAATATCTAGATAGGCATTAGTGATAGATTCAATATATAATTTAATCTTAAAGTTATAATAAATGATTTACGTCTAATTCAATTATAATCCTAGGTGCCACTTCAACCTGCCATATTTTTATATAAAGTTATTGTTCTTTGAATTTCATTATTGAGCTCTTCAATGAGTTTCGGGTTCAATTTCTTTCTCTTTTTCAAAGTCTTTTCTTTGACAATTTTAACAGCCTGCTTCTTAATCTGAACCTTTACTCTGTTTTTTTCTTCTCTCTTTGGTCTGAAAGACTCTAGCCACTTCTCCTGCTGAGCGAGTTTTGTAATTTCCTTATTTACTCTTTCTCTCTTCTCACGTTCCTCTTTAGATAGTTTATTCATTGAATCCTCATTAATTACTATATTTGCCCGGTTTTCAATGTTTACATTTACATTCATTATTCCTCTATTTAAATGCAAGGGCGGGAAAAGTAGTTACACAATATTATTAACTACTATTCATTAAAAAATCTTAAATTATTGAGAGAGGAGGTCTTTGAAAATCAGGAAAGGTTTAAAATAAATAAATTAATTGTTCTCTAAATTAAATTTTACTTTGTAGAGTTTCTAATGTTATATTCTCGAAACTTTATAATCACAAAGAGAGTATTTCAAGACTAAAACTTTATTTTGTATCTAAATAACATACTTATAGAACTTACATTTTTGGTATAGATTATTTGTTATAATACTAACTTTCTAAACCTCTCATTTTTTTTAAATTCGGCGAAACTACACATTTTCCCAAATTTTCTTCAATTCATTCTTTCTACATGCTCTTAATCTGGTAATAGTTTCCCGCTGAAGTTATTAAATATATGATTATTATTAATTGCCTATTTGGGAATGGCGCCAAATGTTTTTAATGGCATCTTGAATTGTAAGTTCAAATAAAATCGTGTTCACAAAGATATTTAGGGCGCAAAACAGACACGAACCAAAGGAGATGAATGGGTTGGACCACTCTTCAGGGAGGCAGTCCCATAAAGGGAATTCTATGGGCAATTCTCTTGAAGACAAGATCAAGAATATATTAATAAAAAATACGGAGTCTTATGAGGGTGTTGGGGAGAGAATGATCCAAATTGTCAAAGAGTTACTTAACTTATTTCAAGATTTGGCTCAGGCTGAGACAGACTCAGTATACGATACAATTTCCTGGGTTCTTGTAGAGTTTATTGCAACACAACCTTTTAAAACAGGCATCTTTGCAGGAGTCACGGCTCTTTTCTCAACATCTTTAACTAATAACTCTCCTTTATCAAGCCATTCGAACTTAACTATTAGGATCGTTGAGCTTTCAATTAAGAGGTTTATCTCTGATCTGAGAAAGTCTAAATATTACTCTTGCCAATTAATTTTAAATTTCTTCACGGAAATGGCTAATTTCTATGTAATTGACCTGAACCAGCTTGTCTCTATATATAGGTCTATTCTAAATACATCCTTATCTTTAAAGAAGTCAGGATCTAATTCATCTTTTAAGTACCTTGCTTCTGATCATAACTCGTTCATACTATTTACATTGATTGCTTATGCTCTACCTTTAATTAGAGAAGAATTAAGAAACCAAGAATCAGAGAACCAGAATCAAGTTCTTTACCATGAGATGCTCAAAGATATTGCATTATTCTATGATACTTATCTTGTGGACTATTGTGATGAGACACAAAAGGTATTGTTAAATCTTATAGGGAAAGATTTACTGGACATACATCCAGTTGAAAATCCCTTCGCTAAATACTGGAGCAGTTTCATTCTCTGGAGAAACCAACAATGCCCGAGAATTATGACTATATTAAGATTTTACAGATCATTGTCTATTTCTGACTACTTAGCTGAAATCTTGTCTCCTCCCAAGGATTTTAATTTTGTTGAAGCTTTAAGCAATCTAGAACTTGGGGAAATTAACGAGTATTTGCCCAAACAACTGGTCAGATTTCCCTCAATTAATACAATGGAAATTGGAGAGTTTATACTTTTGAGAACTATGGATAGCATCAACGAGATCTTTGTACAATCGCCTTATGAAACGGCAAGACAATTATTAAAATTGCCTGTAACTTCTCCCTCTTATGATTTATGCTTATCTATCACAATTTGGAACTATTTGTTGAATCCTTATTATGTATCTCATCTCAGCTTTGTTAACAGCCTTGTACTTAACATAGTCAGACTTCAGAGCTCGTTTTTTGTCAATATTTGGACCCCAATATTCATCCTTAATATGCAACCTTGCAAAGACATAATCAACGAGAATTCCACTAGATCTCAGGAAATGATAGATTCTGAGATTGAGCCAGGAAATTCATCTCAAAAGCAGAACTGTACAACTGAGGATTCCAACAATCCTATGATCGGAGAAATTGTCAACCACTTAGTATTCCCTCACATCAAGACTCTCTCTATAGGGATGCTTTTCAGGCTTAGGAAACACATGATGTGCGTTCTCTCTAGTAGTGAAATTTTTCAGAACTCCTCTTTTAGAGATTCTTTCTGGAACAGTAACAAAACAAACTTTTTGTTTCGTACTGAAATTCATGACCTTTTTTTAAATGGGTTTTTGGACTCGATATTGACAGGAATGTCTAGGCTAATGCTCCCTCAAACACTTCTCTCCATTCCAAACGAAAGTTTGAATCTCAGAATAAATAAGATCCCATTTATAGGCAAAGACTCACCCAAAGCTACCTTACCTGCTCTTTTTTTCAGACTAAAAGAGTTTAACCACCTAAAAGAGATATTAGTCTTTAAATTTACAACTAAGGACGAGATCACAGAAAAAAACAATAAGATTACATTGTTTCTTAAGTCTAAGCTCGGGAAAGTAAATGATCAGGATGAAAGCAAAGATGATCTAGATGAAGATCTCCAGGTATCTAGACGCTATGAGGAACGGCAATATCACAAAGAAGAGTCCAAAGACGAAGATTTGGATCATAATAAGGAGGATCACGGTGGAAACTCTTCTAAAGAAACTTTCAAAAGCTCAAAGAAAAGACGGCTTAACAGTATTCAACCTCAAGACCAGTTTACTTGGACCAAAGACAGCTTGTTTGACTTGTTACTCATCTCCATTATAGATCAGGGAAGTAAAAGTCCAAGCCATACTAAACGTCTTTTTGCTAATTATAAGACATCCCTTATGGGGTGGTATCGTAGTGAAGAAAATGGCACTCCAGAAACAGTTGATGACTCTAATAATGAAATTATGAGCAATGGCGAGCATCATTTTTCAGAACAAGTTAGCCAGATTTCAAACGGGATACTAAATTGTGACTTGTTTAAGACATTGACTAAGTTTATATCAAGTAATGATAACTCTTCAGAAATGAACTCTAACTTAGTTGATCATCCTAGTCTAAAGACAGGAATCAGACTTTTGTCTCTTATTTTAACCGTCTGGGGAGGACTCCTGAGCGGAGACTCCAGCATTTGCCTAGGATTTAGCTTTCAAAAGCTTAAGAATTTGTTATTAATTGCTATAGAAGAAGGAGTACTGAATCCTGGTTTGGCCTCTGTAAGCTTGGCATGCATCCTAACTTGTATCAAATCCCCAAAATGTCTGGATATTTCTTTAAACAATAACAGATACCAGATATTTGTCGATTTATTTGAGCTCATTCTTGAGATCCTAGATGGAATGAAGGTCCGGGAACCAATCCCTGAAAGTTTAGGACCAGAATGTTCTAAGGAATCCAAGATGGACGATGAAAAACACTCTTCAAATGTATTAAGTATAAATAACATAGAGATATGTATCTTGGCTTTAATTTATATATTTAAGGCTGGCTCAAAAACACTTAGTGATAGACAAGTAGACGAGAAGATTATAAAACTTATGGAGGACTCAGCAACCGAGATTTTTCTGAAATTCGGATCAGCTCTTTTTGGGACTGAAGGACATCCCGGACTAAATTTTGAGTCAATTCAAGAATTTGCCCAAGGAGAGTTCATAGTTCAAATAATGAAAGATTTTAAAAACTCGTCTTTGGAATTTGTACTTAATCTAAATGATCCTTCTTTAAAGCTTGAGCTTATGTGGGTCTCCTCATCTGTAATTAATAGAAGCCAGTAGTTTTTTAAAAAAATATTATCTTCTGGAGAACTTTCTATTTTTGTAAGTTAAAGATTTTCTGAATTTAGGACTCTTCAAAAATTCGAAAAGATTTGACTTCAAGGTTTGTAATTTATGGGAAACTTTAGATAGGTGGCTTTCAAAACTATCGTTTACTAATTTGTGGACATACATATAATAGATATACCCAGACCCAGAAAACATTGGAAGGATGAGCCATAATAGTACCATAATTTTTAAATCATAATAGAATGGTATCTTAGTAAATATTTGAGCAATGCTTTCAATCATAAAAATAACACCGCATATTATCCAATAAAATAGCAAATTGGTTAGCTCAGAAACCGGGATATCTTCTTTATTAAAGCCAAGCACTACATTTACAGTCCCTAGTAATGGATAGAGATACTGGAGCACAAAAGTTATAACTTTTGGAAAGGGAATAATTGAAAAAGCCATCTTCTTTTATTATTAAATTGACTTTCCAGTTTTATATAATTAAAAGAAAAAAAGTCGTTTTATTATTTGTATTCTTGAATAATTTACACTATTTTAAGAAAATATCCACCATGTAAATTAATTAAAGTATCCCGCCCATTAGAATAATGGTATTAAATATTATGGTTTTTAATTTATACTATATTATTGTTATAATACAACCTTCCCCACCAAGATAAATTAGCTATTACCACATAGTGTATTGTATTGTTTTGCATAATAACCTTTTGTTTACACGTTGATTCTCTTTTTCTCTACCAAAAATTCCGATTTGGATTTAGCTTTTAAATGATGATGTATTCGGTCAAAATGGCCATGTTGGAAAGCATGGTTCTTTTATTTATCTTATTCCCACATCATTTTGGGTTTTTTAGTTTTTTGCCAGCCTGAGGCAACTTAGCTTTTTCATATTGTTGAAAAATATGAAGTATAAAAACCGACTTGGTTTTTTTTGAACTACTAGCTAAAAACGGACTGGAGAAGCGAAGAAATAAAAAAGCTGCATTATCACACTTTATTTTTTAATATTAATATATAGGTGGATAAATAGAAAAAGAATGAAAGATTGGAAAGGCATAGTGTAGTTTAACCAGTTTCTAAAAATTGTTCACCTTTAACAGTTACTTGGCCACTATTATCTATTAGACCAGAAATTCACCATCCAAAACCCATTGCCTTCAAATAAAAGTAAAATGTGGGGAAATTGCATGCAACTGCATGTGCATGCATCTGTTGGGAATTCATTTATACAAAAAAAGTAATAAAGGAAATAATAAAAACTGAAACTAATAAAATTCTTATAAAAAGTTATTTCTAAGAATAATGGTATTTAAAAAAAAAGAATAAGAAGTATTTTCTGTTGAGATATTTTTATAAGCCTTCTGGGGATTAAAATGGGAAGTACAAATTGTGATTTCTGGAATCATTGAGATAAAAGCCAATTTAATGAATATAGTAAAAACGCAATAATCTATTATTTCAACTGAAGCGTGGCAAAAATGCCCCAAAAAGTCATAGTGATGGTATCGAAAATAATTAATTAATCATATATAGACATGAGTGGGCGCATGATGTGTTATGTCTAAAAGGTGTGAAAATAGAGTAAGAAAAATGATTTAAAAAATGGTGAATTAAAAGACTATTCAAAAATAATGAGTTAAAGGTTTGTTTTGTTGTTTTTCTTTTAAAAATTAGCTTAAATTTGATAAAAAAAAATGAGATTTGAACTGTTATTGTTAAAGAGCTCAATTCTTTAATTAATTGAAAGAAGGCGCCAATTTTCATGCAAATTAGCTGTGTATATAATAGAAAGATTTAAGTAAATAATAAAAGAAAAGAAGGTAATAGCCAAAATTAAATACTCTCCAAAATGGAAAGTAATAATATAAATGTTGAAATGGGTCAAGAACCCATCCCCAGTTTTAAACCTGAAATTAATGAGAGAAGCAGGCAAATAGCAGAAAATTTGAGAAAAAATTCGATTTTAGAATTGTATGATTTAGTTTCAAATGGGTCTGATGTGTGTGATTTAATGAGTTTTCAGCCAACATCTGTACAAACTCAAAAAAAAATGACAAGGCATCAAGTATTGGCAATTCAATATTTTATTCCATATGTAATGAAGCATTCTTATAAGTTAGATGTAGATGAGATTCCAGATAGCATTGAAAAAACAAAAGAACTAATTAAAAGAAGTTATTATAGTACTCCAGTAATGGTGGATTTTGATGAGAGAATGCACTTGTTCGTGACAAAAGATTCGTTTTTAGGAACAATGAAAATTTACTTAATGTCGCCAAATGGCAAGAAGTTCCCAATACCAATAAAATTTGATAAAAGAGGAATCCCAGGGAATCTTAATGAGACTAAGAATGATAATTTGAGTAAAAAAAATAAGGAAAGAAATTTATCTTCAAAGTTAACTAAAAGCCACGTAGGACCTCAAATGGAAAAGGCCATCAGTAACTATCTTAAGAAAAAGCAACTAATTAACGATAAGAATAACAATAAAGGGAATAATGGAGTTTGTATATCAGAATTGGACCCAGAATGTACTTTTCAGCCACATCTGCGTAAAACACTTTATGAAAAGTATAGAAATGAGTTAGGAGTAAACTCCATTACAAAGAATGATGAATGCATGCAAATGATAAAGAAATACTTATTATTAGATAATAATGACAAGGACGAAAAGGTGGAGTCATACTTTAAATCACTCCAAGAGTGTACATTTCAGCCAAATATTGAGAAATTCATTAAAAGAGGAGTACCTAAAGAATATTATTTAAAAATACAAAAAGAAAAAGAAGAGGAAATTAAAGAGATTGAGAGCCATAATAAGTTAGAAATGGTCTTTTTTGGTAAGGAAGAGAATGAAAATAATATGGATAATGAAAGAATCCAAAGGGAAAGAGAAAAAGCAATAAATCGAATTTTTAGAGAAGAGTGGAATAATTCAATGAAAACAGTTTTCAATTGTGAACAGAATAAAATATATTCAAATATGATTCCAATTACGGATGAATTTGATAGTTCTGAACTAATGAGTGAAGAAATGGAAGAGAAAGATTCCATTAAAAACTCTAGATCATTTAAAAATAAGTCGAAAGGCCGAATTAAATATGAATGGGAGACACGTGAACAAGGGCCAATATATGATAGGGAATTTAGACAAAGACTTAAAGAAAAGAAGGAGCCAAATTCCTATAAAAACACTGAAAAGATCCAAAAAAAACCAAAAAAAAAATACATCCCACCATATAAATGGGAGGAAGATCTTAGGAATGAAAGTAACATGTATGATGCTAAGACAAATTCTGAGTTAAATAATAACAAACAAAATGAAAATGATTCCCAAATTTTTGATAAAAATAAGTGGGAAAGATATATCAGATTAAAAAACAGACATGTTAAGAGCATTCCAGTATCTAATACTAATCTAGTAACTAATCCTGAAGAAGGAGTGGATGAAGGTTTAACAGACATTGCCAAATGTTACAGTCGTATTTGTGAGATTGCAACTCCTATCACTGTAGTTGGAATTAGAGAAAACATTATAAATTATTTAGAGAAAGAACTTGAGAGGCCTTTGCCGAATCTAATAGAAATGTTTGATAATGATAATTAGAGACGGTTTTTAATGTATTATTAATATTTATATTAAATGATAAGTTTATTATAAAAATTGGATTTAATGTAAATAATAATCATCCGTTCAAATTTAAAACTCTACTCTGTTTTTTTCTTTTTCAAAAAATGAAGTATATTTCCGTTTGATATGTCATTATTTACCATAAGCTTTGAGGATTTATGAGGTAGCGCCCTTTTTGATGATGTTGGTTTTGTAATTACTGGAGGGTTTCTTTTAATACCTTTTTTGACTCCAATATATTGATTCTTTGGATGTTTGCTCAAAGTAATACTATTTTTTTCAGTGTTTCCCAACTCATTTTTTGTTTTAAACTCTCCAAATCTTCTCTTTAATCTCTCTCTAACGTTTGATAGGACTTTAGGTATGCATGCAAATAATAAATCACATGCAATTTCTTGAGCGGGAACTTGTGAGAGTGAGGCCTGTGGAGAAATTATTTCAGAGTCATTATAATATTCTTTAAAAACAAGATCTCTTTCAGATGCGATTTTTGCAGCCTTAATTATTCTTCCAGAAAGATAATCTAGAAGTTTTTCGTCGTTTAAGGTGAGTTTAGTAGAGTAATTTTTTCCATTAGGTGGTTCATTTCCTTCTAAATAGGCAAAAATAAATAATTTGAATATAATTACGGTTTTTCTTTTGATTTATGTATGACTTACCTTGTAAAATATCACAAACCTTTTTAATTTTTTCAATTAATTTTGTGTCTGAAAGAAATTCCTGAAACAGCTCTCTAATATTTGCCTCAGCTTGGTCAAATAAGTCAAGATCACTCTGTTCTAGTTCTAGTTTAAGATTACTGATATAATATGATACTATTTGAGAAAGCTCTTTATTAATATACTGCTTATTTCTAGCAAAGGCTAAAGCTGACAGCAAAAAGAAGAAAGTATCAATATTCATTGCCCCACAAAATTCTAACTTCGAAATACAGTCATTTCCAAAAAATGCAGATGGTGTGATCCCATTAGACCTTTCTGCCATTTCCTGAATTTCATATACTTCATTGTGATTTGAATCAAATAAATACTCGCAGAGTACGTTAACATAAGGATTAGGCAAAATAACTATCTTTAATTTCCTCTCCAAATCTGTATTTGTATTTGGAAATACTATAAACTTTTTGTTTTTGTATTCCATTATTACTTTCTTGTTACCGACATTATTATATTTTCTTTTGGCCAGTTACAATTTACACAATTGGCGCCAACTCAAAAATACCAATCATTTTACTATAAGAAATAATCACGAATATTAATATAAAAAGAAAGTGGCATTATCAGAACTTTAGAATAATTCGGATAATTATGTAATAAACTGAACTAGGTCAAAACAAGATATTCCTTAATTCTTTTTTTGAAACACAGAGGATTAACAGGTAAGGAGTTTTAAACAGGTATATTCTAATTAAATTTTTCTCGCACTAAATATCAACTGCATGCATGCATTAAATTTAATATAAATATTAAAAATAGGAAACATTAATTAATAGAGCAAATGAATTAAAAAAAAACAATGGTCATAATAAATGTATTTAGTCTATTCAGGTCGATTATATTATAAGTTATGGGTATCTTTGACCCTAGGACCAAAACAATTACATAAGTTAAAAAATGTGCAAAGAGAAGATCTTGCAGTTTTATTAGTGTAATTTTTATTTTCCCCAGGACCATTGAGTACAGCATTATTAATTACTCTGGTCCTTTTAAAATTATCTTCACTTAAACATGGCGGATTTAAATCAATACTTTTCATAGTTAAAATGCTTAATGGATTTCTATCATTTGAACTTATTAATTGATTATTATTCCAGCCTATATTATTGTTATTGTTTACTAACCCTTTAATTGTTTGCTGAATGCCTCTTTGAGCCTGCAAAGTAGTTACTGTATAAGATAGACTTGGGGATCTACCCCTCCTAGTACGTTCAACAATAGATCTAGCAGAGGGAATCGTAGAAACTTCAGATGTAGTAGTATCCAAGGTACGGTTAACTGGAGATAGCGATCTCTCAAAAGTGGTTTGTTCTGCACTTGAATTTAAATCACGAAAGCTACCACTACTACAGCTATATTCTGAAGCTGCTCTCCCATGTATGTATGAATTTACTACATAGCCAGATTGTCTTGCTGTGGACTGAAGCATAAATTCATCATGATTAAAATTTGACAGTGAGGATCTATAATTTACCAAATCATTTCTATCCTCTGGACTTGTATAGAACCTAAAAGTCGAATCATCCAGATCGTTCATTCTTTCTGAATTTTTGGGGACAACGATTATCTTTTAGATAATCTATTGTCTCTTTCCATACATATAAATATATATGATTGAATTTTTTTTTTTAAATTGCTTATATATTATTTAATTTGGGCTCTCTTTTAATCTTTATATTACAAATTTTCCTTATACCTAGATGGCCACACTGACGATTTCATACGTAATGCTATTATCAGTGTGCTTTACCGCTAATATTTAGTTATTTATATATAATGCAAAAATTCAATGAAACAACGCCGAGCTGAATTTATTTTCTATATTAATTACTAAATTCTAAGCATTTATTTCTTCACCTAAACCAAAGTCATGCAAATTTCTTTTTCTACACAAACTAATTCATGTGAAATTTTTTCCAGAATTAACACGTGGGCAAACGCATGCATTTATGTGGATAGAAATTGCATGCAATTTTCCTAATAAATTTTTTAAAACAAATAATTTTGACTATTAATTCATTGTTTTATTATTGAAATAGAATATATTTTCTTGCTCTGTTGATTATTCATATATTTAGATTATAGATATAATCCAATTAAGAGGATTTGCAAATAAAGATGGGATTTAATGAAGTTAAACAGAGATTTTTAAATAGGCTACTTTTCTAAAGAAATTTAAATTTTAAACTCTACATTAGGTAATTTTAATGCAAGAAATTTTCGATTCTCGATTTTATTTTGCTTATAATTTTAAATACTAAACACCAATAATTTCATGGCCAAGTGGAACTGCGCGCCAAACAGCTGAATCCATAAATATATATTTAAAAATCTTAATTCGATTAGAAAAAAAGGGTACATTAAGCAAGCAAAACGCTTAGATCATGGATAGAAAATATATTGATGCCCTAAAAAGCAGACAGAAATGCTAGAATATGATCAGGAGAAAAACCTGTTTGACGAAGAAAGCATTTCTCAAGTTCGAACATGTAAAAATCAAGTAGAAATTTCCCAGGAGGAAGAAGAGGAGGAACTCGACAACGCAATCGAGATCTTGGTCAATGAGAAGAAAGTATGGGAGGAGGCATTCAATGCTGCAAAGCTTGAGATAGAGGAAAAAAATTCAGAAATAGAGAGTTTGAAGAAGCTATTAAATGAAAAGAATCAGCTGGAAATGCAAAGAGAACATAATAAAAATTGTAATTTACTCAAAGGACCGTTTGAATCAAGCATCGATAGTAATAAAGCTGTTGTGAATAGTAACTCCACGTCGAAGATATCAAAATCCATGGAGGATTACATGTTTGAAGAATTCATCAACATTGCAATAGAAGAAACTCAGATATTAGACGATAGTGACGCACTTATTTCCAAACTTGAATCTTCTGGAGACATTGAAGATGCATATAGATTGATTTTTCGATCTTTTGTGGAGTTAAGTTTAAACAACCAATCACAAGAGCAAAGAATAGAGTTGTTAAATGAAGAGTTAAGCGCTACACAAGAGGCTGTTCAGAATCTTCATAAGACGATACAAGACTCACAAAATAGCTCTAAGCTTATTTCGGTTGCATACACATCTCAAATAAAATCTTTACAGGAAGACTTGTTAAATGCTTGTAAGGATATTGATTTCTGGAAGGAACAGTGTGAGCAATTAAGTAAAGGTAATTGTCTTTCCATTCAGAACGAGAAGTCGTCTTCAGAAGAGAATTTTCAAGGATTTGACCCAACTGAGTGGTGCAATCTTGGGTCTGGAGCAAGTACAATTGTCCAAGTGGAAACTTCACCAGATTCATATTGGTGGTTCATATCATATTAAACAAATATTATTAATTAAACAAGTATACTATAATGCTATTATCTATATTCTTTTTTTATTTATTTAATCCCAGTTTAATAGCTATTAACCATTTTTTTTCTTACTTTCCTTCTTTTAAATAATCATTTTTTATCTATATACCGGAGTGTATTGAATGCATGCAACTCTAATAATTACATGCAAATCGTCATTGCATGTGGATATGCATAACAGTGTCCCTGTGGTAAAAAAAAAAAAAAATTAATAATCTATAAAAATTGGAAAAAGTAATTCGAAAAAAATAAAAATGAGAAAATTTAATATTAAATTAGGACTATTAGGATTATCATTGGTATTATTGTTGATTTTTGGGTTAAGTGGTACGGATGCAAGGCTACAAGGAGGATTAGTAAAAGATGGTAATAAGAGTTTGTTTTTGGGACTTTCAGAGATTTACCAGACGAGCAGTTCAGGGTCTTTAGTAATGGCAGGCCAGTTATTTGCAGCCTTGTGCTTTATATACTGTATTAGGGGATTATCATCTGAGAAAACTGCATATAGAAGCAATGTAGTTGGATTTGTAGGCATGATGGTGGCAATAATTGTTTCGTTATCAGAAGAAGGTTTTGGGAGTCATTACTTTGTCTTCTTTTTGACAACAATTGTATCAGGAGCTGTTGGAGTTTATATAGCAGACACAACTCAATTAATTAAAATGCCACAATTAGTTGCAGCATTTCACAGTTTCGTGGGCTTGGCAGCATTATTTGTATCTTATTCCTATTTTTACTCTACCATTGAACTGAAGGAAGGTATTTCCAGTTTAAGAAGAGTAGAACTGTTTGTAGGAGGGGCCATGGGCATGATAACTTTTGTTGGCTCAGTAATTGCAGCACTAAAGTTGGATGATATTCTTCCAAGTAAAAGTCCAAAAATACCTTTAAAGAATATCTCATTATCAATAATACTATTTTCCATTTGTATGACAGGATTATCATTTTGTGTATCCAGTAACGAATTAATAATAACAACAAACTTACATTGTGGAATGATTCTATCAGCTTTATTTGGACTATTTATGATTATCAGTATTGGAGGAGCAGATATGCCGGTAATAATAAGTATGTTAAACAGCTATAGTGGCTGGTCTACAGCAATTACAGGCTTTCTTTTGGATAACAGCCTGTTAATTATAAGTGGTGCTTTAATTGGCTCAAGTGGAGCAATACTTTCTTATATAATGTGTAAAGGTATGAATAGAGACTTTATTTCAGTTCTTCTTGGAGGATTTGACCAAGAAGAAACTGAAAAAATGGTTGGAGATACTAAATGTTATATCACAAGTTCAAAAGAAACTGCTGAAATATTAGCGGAGTCATCAAAAGTACTTATAGTGCCAGGATATGGTATGGCAGTGAGTAAGTGTCAAGACGTTATTTCTGAGATAATTAAAGAATTGGAATCCAGAAGTACAGCAGTTGATATTGGAATACATCCAGTGGCTGGAAGAATGCCTGGCCATATGAATGTTTTACTTGCTGAAGCAGACGTACCAACTAGAAATGTCAAAGAGATGGAAACAGTTAATGGATGTATGCAAGAATATGATTTGGTATTGGTAGTAGGAGCCAATGATATAGTTAACCCTGCAGCTTTAGACCCTCAAAGCAAGATTTCAGGAATGCCAGTAATAAATGTTTGGAAAGCAAAACAAGTCGTGGTCTCAAAGAGATCTTTAGCATACGGATATGCGTGTATTAGTAACGAACTCTTTACAAAGGAAACGACCAAAATGTTGCTTGGGGATTCCAGAGAAATGCTTCATCAAGTATATAAAACTTTAAAAGGATGCGCAGGATTTGTTCCAAGAAGACAGTATATGGATTCAAGGGTAACTGAGGAGACAGAAGATACTGAAGATAGCGAAGAAGTAACTACAGCTTTACTTTCTTCTGATTCTATTTCAAAACAAAGAAAATCATTGAAGACTTTAAGTGGTATTTTGAAAAACAAAGGGTTGGGAGAAGGAGAGACAGAATCTACTGGTATGAAAAAGAATTCAAAAAAAATAGCACTTTTGCCAATAGTTTCAGAACAAGATAAAACTATATTATTCCCAATATCTCCTTCTAAGGTGTATAAGTTTAGAGAGAAGGGGTATGAGATAGCAATCTCCAGAGATGTTTTGACTTCATCGTCTCAATCCAAATGTTTCTCAGAGGAGCTATATATGAGAAGTGGAGCTTCAGTATTTAAAAATATTGAGGAATTAATCAAGGAAAGTGATGTAGTGATCAAGATGTCTAGGCCAACTGAGAAGGAGGCAAGATGTATGAAACAAGGGCAGATATTAATATGTAATATGTATATAAGTCAGTATCAAGATAAGGAAAATAATCAGGATCAATTACTGGCAAGTTTAGCAAAGAATGGTGTAACAGTAATAGCTTTGGACGAGATTCCAAGAACTTCTCGTGCTCAAACAATGGATATAAGAACCACAACAAGTACTATTTCTGGATACAGAGCAGTGGTTGAAGCTTTAAATAGTCTTCCAAGAATCAGTAAATCAATTTCCAGTGCAGCAGGTAATGTGGAGGAGTCCACAATATTAGTAATAGGAGTGGGGGTTGCCGGGCTACAAGCAATAGCTACTGCAAAGAGCATGGGAGCCAAGGTTTTTGCAATGGATTCACGTTCAGCATCAAAAGAAGAGGCAGAGAGTTGTGGAGCTAGGTTTATTCAGGTTCCAAGTGAAGTAGATACTTTTGGAAAAGAGTCAGGCCATGAAAATAAGGAAGTTTTAATAAGACAGAGAGATTTGATTGAAAAGTATCTTTGCATTTCCGATGTAGTAATTACTTCAGCATGTAAACCAGGGGAAGAATGCCCAATTTTGATTACAAAAGAAGCTGTAAGGAAAATGAAGAGTGGATCAGTAATTGTGGATCTCTGCTCAGAATTTGGAGGTAACTGTGAATTGACTCAGAAAGATAAGATTTACTCAGATATCCAGTCAGGAGTAACAATTATGGGAAGAAGCAACTATGAATTTTCTATGCCCTTGCAAAGCAGTGAATTGTTTTCCGGTAACTTATTGGCTTTAATCTGTGAATTAGGGCCAACATCTGAAAGATTTAAATGTGATTTAAATAATGAAATCATCTCAAGAATGTGCGTGGCTCATGAAAACAAAATGCTTTGGAAACCTTTTTCGGAGCAGAATCAGGAAAAATATGAAAATCAAGAAATGCAGAAAAAGAAGGGCTTACTTCAAACCATAACAAAACACTCAACTCTGATCTCTATAAAAGATGATAATCAAACTACACAAAAGACTGTTACTTTTGCTTCAGAAACTGAGATTGATGGGTATTTCCAAAAAGCTATGAAAGAGTTGAGAAATTATGATAAATATTTGAATGGAGAAGTATTCTTTTATGCTGGAGTAATGTTTACTACTCTATTCTTCACAGTATTGGGTCTGACAATGACTACAATCCAAATTCAAAACATTTTCTCTTTCATTATCTCAACTATGTTGGGTTACTATTGTGTATGGGGAGTTGATTCTAAATTACACACACCTCTAATGTCAGTAACAAATGCTCTTTCTGGAGTAATTATCATTGGGAGTATGATGCAATACGGAAATCATACTGTGACATACACCACCCTAATGTCTATGGTATCCACATTCTTGGCTTCCATCAACACTTTCGGTGGATTCTACATTACAAACAAAATGCTTGCTCTCTTCACCTCTTAGACAATTTCCTCATTTGATTTTAGAAGAGTATTAGAGTTTCTTAAACCGCTCAGCTTATGTAAAATACCCTAGCACTATAAATAGGAGCTGGAACTCTATTTTGATAATATTGGCGGGGGTTATAAGTAACCAAGCAAACAAGTACGATCCACTTATCCCGCCAAAGCTACATGCATTCTTTGCATGCACTTTAATAAATTCCATTCCAACTAAATAGATAATTGGGTTCTGATAGAAAGCAGAAAAAGAACTTTATTGCTAAATAAACTGTCCTACTCCAATTTTGAATGGTCCTCATTTTCTTCAGCTCATTGTTCTTTACATTAAACACACCTTTACATTAAATATGGTCAGAGAAAAGTTGCCAAAAATACTTGAGGAAGGAATTTTCCAAGGCTAGTTTCAGAAAATTCCACTTTTTTTTCTTTTTATCACAAAATACGTAAATATTTTGACTAATAAGAATTAATTAATGATTAAGTAAATGGTCAGAGTTGAGAGTTCCCGCCTAAATTATGGTGGAAATTTTGACAGAGTAATTAAATATATATTTGAATATATTATGTATAAAAATAAATTAATAAATAAATATATATTATATATATATTATATATATATAATATAATATATATACACTTAAAATGCTATTTATTTTTATACAATTTAATCAAATATATTTATTCGATTAAAATTATATACTTGAATAGAAACATTGTAATATAGTCAATTATTATTAAAAATCAAAGTATTTTGGGCCAATACAATTATCTATATACTAATAAAAGAAGAGAAGAAGAAAAGCTGGAATAGCTGAAAATATAAAAGTAGAATCTGAACAACAGGAAATAAGGTAACAAGGTAAACTAGCTTAAAGGATTGAGTGTTTAGGAATGCCACCAAAAAAGAGTACAAAGAGTGGGGGAGGAGACGAAAATGAAAGCCGTCTAAGAATAGCCATAGTGGAGGCGGATAGGTGCAAACCTAAGAACTGCAGACAAGAATGCAAGGCATTCTGTCCTGTAGTAAGAACGGGGAAGCTTTGCGTGGAGGTAGATTCTTCTAGCAAAATTGCTTCCATTTCAGAACCTTTATGTATTGGATGCGGTATTTGTGTCAAGAAATGTCCCTATTCTGCAATTACTATCATTAACTTACCTAAAAATATGAGTAAAGACACAACACATAGATATGGCAAGAATAGCTTTAAATTACATAGATTACCGGTACCTCGTCCGGGGCAAGTCTTAGGTTTGGTTGGAACAAATGGAATAGGAAAGAGCACAGCTTTACAAATTCTAAGTGGGAAGCTTCGTCCAAATCTTGGAGATTACACAAAGGAATTAGAGTGGAAAGAAGTAATTGCTTATTTCAGAGGAAGTGAACTACAGACATATTTCAACAAGATGCAAAATGGGGAACTCAAAACTGTAATTAAACCTCAATATGTTGACCACATTCCAAAGAGAGTTAAAGGTAGAGTTGGTGACATTATTTATGCTAAGGATGAAAAGTCGATCGCAGAAACCTTAATAGATGAGCTGGAATTGAGGCATTTACTAGATAGACAGGTTGGGGAATTAAGTGGTGGAGAGCTACAAAGATTTGCCTTATGTGTAAGTACTTCAGTTGCCAGTATGGTGTATATGTATGATGAGCCCAGTAGTTATTTGGATATTAAACAGAGAATTAATGCCGCCAAAGTTATTAGAAATGTACTCAATCATGAGAACTACGTCATTGTAGTGGAGCATGACCTTTCAGTCTTGGATTATCTCTCAGATCTGGTTTGCTGTTTGTGGGGAAGCCCTGGAGTATATGGAGTTGTTACTACACCTTTTAGTGTAAGAGAAGGTATTAATATTTTTCTGGATGGTTTTGTACCAACTGAAAATATGAGATTTAGAGAAGAAGGACTCAATTTTAAGATTGTAGACCAGGATGAAATTGCAATGCAAAGATCCAATTTTGTAAAATACCCAGGATTCACAAAAACTATGGGATCCTTCAAACTTTCGGCTGAAGCTGGAGACTTTGGAAACTCTGAAATTATTGTTATGCTTGGACAGAATGGATGTGGAAAAACAACGTTCATCAAGATCTTAGCAGGAGTGACCAAACCTGATGATTCTGATATAATTGACAAAGATCATTACCAGATGCCAGAATTTAATGTCTCCTACAAACCACAAACTATATCACCCAAATTTGAAGGTACTGTTAGAGACTTGTTCCTAATGAAAATCAGAGAATCTTTCATGGATGTCCAATTCACCTCAGAAGTTGTAAAACCATTCAACATTGAGAGAATTGCTGACCAACAAGTCAAACTTCTTTCTGGTGGAGAGCTCCAAAGAGTAGCTTTAATCTTGGCTTTGGGTAAGAAAGCTGATATCTACCTTATTGATGAACCATCAGCTTACTTGGATTCAGAACAAAGAATTACTGCATCCAAAATAATTAAAAGATTTATTCTACACTCGCAAAAAACTGCCTTTGTTGTTGAACACGACTTTATTATGGCTACTTATCTTGCTGACCGTGTTATATTATTTACTGGTACCCCAGGTATCGACTGTTGTGCCAATAGACCCGAAAATCTGGTTACTGGCATGAACAAATTCCTCAAAATCCTTGAAATCTCTTTCAGAAGAGACCCTATGAACTTTAGACCCAGAATTAACAAACTTGATTCTGTCAAAGATAAAGAGCAGAAGATGTCCGGAAACTATTTCCTTCTCGAGGACTAACCAAAAATTATACAATCAGCAACTCCATCTTTAATATAATTATATAATTTTAAATGTCATTTTTTCAAAAAAAAAACCCGCTCAAACTCTTTATATCAACTTCCTCATTTTTCAAAAATAAAGTATGGGAAATGTACATATAAGCAAACAGAATAATGAAATAAATATTACAAAACCTCAGACGAATCTAGAATTAATCTAAACAGATGTACTCTATACCCTCCTTCATCTTTTATCTATGTTTTTCGTCATTTTTCTTTAAACATACCTCTCACTTCCTCCTTCCTTTTCTAATAATACTTTCAGTTTTTTATTAACTTTGTTACTTTTCAATTTAATTTCTAATTTTCCTCTAAATAACTACAGAAACCTCGTTAATGCAATACTCACTTACCGTCCCTTTCAAATTTCCCGCCTAGTCATTTAAATGCATGCATTTGCATGTAGAAATTATTAATCGTCATATTTCTTATACTGGGATCACAAAATTTTAAATAAATTCCAAACCTTAATATTGTAGTACTATTGCCCACAGAGGAAACATTGAAAAGAACTTATTACATAGTTTACTCATTTTTGCTTTATTAAATAAAAGTGTATTATATTAGAAGAAAAGAAATAGCGAGATTTATTTATATGGATTTGGTAATATACTGGAAAACTGTAAAATCCTTGTATTATTATTATTATTACTATTATTATTAATCTCAATAGTATAATTTAAATAATATGTTCTATTTCTTCAGATACTTAGTAATTCATAATGTTCTAATCATTGATATTTATTTTTACATGGTATAATGTAAAAATAAATATCAACTCCCACCTTTTGTTCTCCATTTCCTTTAATATCATCTTAAAATTTTTGAATAGAGAAAAAAAATAGTTTGTGACTTCTCAATGATATTTTCTTTATTGAAACCTAAATAGAGCATATCACCATATCAGAGTGACTCTTCAATAATGTTGAATTTCTCCAATCACTCAATATATCCTTCATATTCAAACAAGGAGTTGTAATCATCCAACTAGGCATCTGTTTGTCTTCATTTGTTTCAAAAAATCCGAGTATTTCCGGTACTCCAGTACTTGAACGAATATTTTCGTCGTTATATACTCCATATGATGTTATTGAATTTGAAATTGCATCCTCACAATTTAATAAAGGATTTCCGACGTTGATACTTGTATTAGTGCTTGAACCACCGCAACTGTGGCCATAAATCAAACATGACATCTGGGTATGATTTTGGCTTTGAATATAATTATTTTGCTGGCCATATTGATTATTATTACTGTTACTAGTATTCATACCAGTACAGATGTTATTGCCAGTACTATTATTACTGTTAATATTATTATTATTATTATTATTATTATTATTAGTGTTATTATTAATACTAATAATACCTCCATCAATATTATTTATGGAGTAATTATCCAAATTATCAGCTATAAATTGTTTCTGAAGTTCAAAATGAATATGCTGATTTTTATTTGACTTACCTTGCTGCATCAGTACCACACCATCCGTTGGAATTGATGGATTAAACAAACCGCATGCAAATCCACGAGGATTATTCTCATCATATATCTTACTCAATATGCCTCCTGGTGGAATTATTCTCAAACCCATTGATGATACTATTCCTGTTCTCCCTCCCTGCTGTAAACAACTTGAACAATTACAGCTAACTCCATGAACAACTGCCTTGACTCCTCCAATACTGTTTATGCTAAATTTGCTGTTCCTCATTGTATTATTGTTGTTGTGGTTATTTATATTACTTTCAATACTGCTGATACTGCTATTACTACTATTACTACTAATACTACTATTACTACTACTATTACAATTACTGTTATTATTATTATGGCTATTACCTATATGAACATTTATATTACTTATATTTGTATTATGGCCAGTGATATTATTACTGCCACCATTGTTAGAGATTGTTGGCCTAAAGCTGCCCCCATACATGCAAGGATTAAATTTTTTGGCGGTTACCGTCGGGTGCATGCAATTGACTAATGGTAATGCTTCTCCAATAGGCGCCAACACCACATCAGGCAAAAATTCACCACATGATGACTCCGAAGAATTTGGTAAATTAGGAAATACTAGATTATTTTGATCTGCAAAATTCTGAAGGGAAATATACTGTTTATTATTATTTTCTCCTCCATAGTAGACTGAACTGGGTTTATATGGGTCAAGAATGCCTGAAAAGCTTGTACATACATTTTGGAATTCATTAGAGTCATACATATTTTGAGAAATGCCAGTATTATTATTTTTATTATTTTGGAGAATACACCCACTACTTCTTATCTGCATCTGTTTTTGCAAATAACATGAAAAGAATCCCCTTAGTATTTTTTCCTTTGAGACTCCATTGCATTCAAAAGCCTGAGCAATTAAGTCATTTGAAATTATCTGAGAATTGATATTATTATTTGATTCATGCTTTCCAACGTTAATAACAGAATTTTGTATATTATTATTATTATTAGTAACTCCAAGAGAATTATTGGTACAACTTCCCACATTCATTCCTTGTGAATCTAATGTTGTCTTGCTCCCCTCATCAACAATATTAACTTCAGGTTTTGGTTTAAATAAGACAATAAAAGGCTTAACCTTATTCCAGTCTAATTCGATTTGACAAAAAGGACAATGAGCTTTTACGTTGTATCTTTGTTGAATCATTAATGCAAGTCTGACACAATCATAGCATGCAATATGCTGACATACCTGAAATCTAGCTCTGGTTGATCTTGGTTTATATTGGCAACAAACATGACAGTAAATTACTCGTGATCTCTTTTTTTTAGAATCATTATTGTTATTAGACGATATTCCGCTATTACAATGATTAATATTTAATCCAGATAATTGTGTCTTTTCCTTAAAATCATTGGAAATATTTGAGTTATTGTTCAAACTATTCCCCAAAGTCAAATTAACCGCACCAGAAGCTGCTTCATTTTGTTTTATGAGATGCATATTATGAGAACGATTTAAATTCGCGTTTGATATTTGTTGAAATAACCCCAATGATGACTTATTATTTTCGTCTTCTTCCATGTGATATTTTATCTTTGTTGGGATGGAGGGAGAAAATCCCATCGACTTTGAAATACTACTTAAAGGCTTAAAACAATTATCATCCTGATTCATTACCTCACTAACTACAGTATAGTTGTTATTTATAACTGTTTTGTTGGGCATGATACCTTCTGTTGCTGCATTAATTGTTGATGTCGATGTTGATCTTACTGTTGTATTTCTTTTCCCATTTAAATAATGATAGTTATTTATCTTGTTTTGAGATAAACCACGTTTTTGTCCTTGTAAATTCATTCTTCAACAATTTTATGTTCTTTTTAAGTTTATTCTGTTGTTTTCCTTTATTTGCGAGAATTAAAAAATACTATTCAATTCTTATTCTTTATACTAATCAACAAGGCGTGTTTTCTCGCATCAATCACATAAACTATTTCTGTTTTTATTTTCAATTTTGCATTCACATCCAGTATTTATTTGTCAGTTCGATATGGTTCTGAGTTTGATGTTTACTTTTAAATATCTTGTATCTTCCTCTTTGTTTTACAATGATTGCTTTGTCCTCTAATTACTGTATAACGAACATCACAACAAGATAATGCATTATGCTCAATTAAGGGCATCTTAACTCAATAACTGAAGACAAAGCGTGTGTGTGTGAGACAAATACATAATTCTTGCAAAAAACATGCCATTGTGCAACCTCTGAAAAAAGTATATTAACTATTCCATAAATTTTTTTTTAAAATCATGATTAGTAATATTTTTATCCCAGAATTTTAATTTTGTAAAATGTATTTGATTATTTATATTTTTTTTGAACATTTATTTATAGAAAAAACTGTCTGCGAAATGCATGCAGTGTGCATTTATCCACATTGAAATAAAATTGCATGCAATCTGGCAATTGCTCATTTTTATATTAATAACCTGTTAAGATTAATTCCCAAAGTTCTATAGATTTTTTGATTTTATAATGGACTTAACAAGTATTATGAAAATTTCTGTTCAAATAAAATTTAATTATGATCTGCTATAGTACATTTATTTCCATTGCTTTTAGTCTTATTTGCCCCCCCATCACTTTCTTTGAAATATTACGTGTAAAACCAGCAACAGCCATCTTAATCAGTAATACTTAAATTATAAAAAGAATTATTAGGCAGACTTTTTATTATCATTGCAAAAGTTTCTTTGGAATCAACCGAGATTTTATGTCAGTAATGACAATATCGTTAAAAAAATAAAATCGAAATTTGTGGTTTTAGGTTTATTAAAATCAAAAATATTACTATCATTCGTTTATTACACGTGTTTACTAATATTATTTTTTTAGAAATTTGTGTGCATGCAAAATCCTATACCAGCATTGCAAGTGAGTAAAAAAATTCCCATGCCATGCAAGTAGTACATACAGTGCACAATAATCTTTATCTCACTGATATGAAAAACTTTTCATCTTTTCTAGTTAAAAATTTTTTCTATTTCAATATTTAAAGCAATTAATTCCAATAATAAAGCTCTACTAATTCGGTCAAAATAAAATAAAGTAGGCAAAACAGCCAGCAAGTTCATCAAAGTAGTACAAAATTATAATTGAAATGAAAAGTTTGAATAATTCTATTCTGCTTATAAAATGCAGTTAAATTAATAAACTTAATTACTTGTAAATCTTTAAAATACCATTTAGCTGGTAAAGTATTTTACAAGATTATTTGGATACAATGTGGGGAAACCACTAAGATTATTGTGAACAGTTCAGATTTTTGGCGCCGAAGTGGAACACATGAAGTAAATAAAAATCAGTTATCTATCTAAAGATAAGTTAAAAAAAAAAGAAAAACATGAAATTTGGCGGTGTATAGGATATCTGTGTGGTAGATCTCAATAACTGGTATATTAAACAGGTTTTCTATTGTTTTAATAAAAACAAGGATATTATCAGTAATAATTATATAATTGTTATCTATTGATATTTCAGTAATTCAACGGCAATTTGAATTAATCCTATTCGGAACAAACTTAGGAATTCAAATAAATCAATAAGGTATTACTTGAAGAATAAATTATATCCAAATTGTCAAAGATTCGAATATCGGATTTAAGAAGTTGAAAGGAAATATAACAAAGTTTGGTTTGTTGAATTTAGAATGTTCAGGTAAAATTTTCTAATTGGAAAGTATATGTTGAATGAAGAATTATTTTAAGGTTATGAAGAAATTTTATTAAAGAATTAATCATTATTTTGAAAGGTATATATTTATTTCATATTTTGGCAGGTTTACTTACTACTTAATGAAAGAATTATTTTGAATAGAAAGAATATCCAACTTAACAGAGAAAGGTAAAGATAGTTATATAAGCTCAAATATACGTTTTAACTTAAAGGTAAGACCAGGTAAAGTAAGGAGCAATTGCATGTATGCGTGTTATATGCATGAATATTGTCATTGGTATATTAAGGCATTCAGGTTAAATTAAAGGTCAAATGAATTATTATGTTCCAGAAACACCAAGCTATCCGTCGTACCCGAGAAACGGATTGTCCTCGACATTAAATAACTCAAAGGGTACAAAGTTTTTGCAAAGTTTAAGCACAAGTAATCATTCTAATCATTATAATTCAGAGATTTTGAGAAGCAGTAAATATGTGGACTTTGACCGTTCATTCAATTATAAAGTTCCAGAGAACAATGCGAGTATTTTTAATATTCAAAATGATTTAGATAGGTTTGAGGTGGATGAGTTTCATATCAATAATATTAGTGGCACGAATACTACAATTACTTATTCGTTAGTACCAGAATGGATTAATAACTGCTGTTATGGTACAATCCAAAACAAAAAGACTGAATATGGGAAGAATCAATTTGAATTTTCAGGTAAATCTTCAGGGGTTGCAGAGGTTCAATATAATGGAAATTTTGGTAGTAATTTTCAAGAAGAGTGTTATTCAGTTAAAAATCCGTTTACTAATACCGATGAAAGTACTAAAGGAAATTGTAGTAATAATAATAATAATAATAATAATAATAATAATAATAATAACAGTAGTAATACTAGTATTCATAGTAAAAGACCAAGACATTTTTTCTGCTTTTCTTGTAACCAGTTTAAGCCGAGAAGCACAAAGGCCAGATTTAAAGTTTGTAAACACGTAAGCTGTTATCATTGTTTAAGGAAGGCTTTGCATGTGGAATATTGGGCAGCAAAAAATGATATTTGGGACAAATGCAGAGCTGAATGTCCATTCTGCCATATTTCTTTAGACTGGACAAAGATGAAACCTTATATAGTTTTATCTCTGGAAGCAAAACAATTTCCACTTATGTCTCTTTGTGATGCTGAAGAGAGGCAAGGAGAAGCCTTTCAAGTGATTCAATCTTTTTTCCCCAAGGGAGTACCTTCTCACATTATATATGGTAATAAGATCGACTTTTCCGTCAAACCAAAAGTAACTCAAATTCTATTTGGCTATTATTTAGAACTTATAAATAGTCTGGATTCTTATGATCAATTCTTCCAGCCAGAGGGAGATTTGTTGGGCTTGAGCTCGAGTAACAACACTATCATCGAAAGCCAGCTCGATATTAATGCCGGCTCCTTCAGCAACAACGGAAGTAATTTCATAAGAAAGTTTGAGCCTCATTCTCAAACTAGTACAGACCCAAATCATTATTCCAGTGCTACGAGCTGCAAAAGTGCTTCTACAACCACAAGAGCCTCTACTGCTACCAACACTTCCACTACTGCTACCATTAATACCACCACAGTTTCCTCCCACAATATCAGCACTTGTGCCAACATTGCTACTTCTGTCTCCTCAAGCACTTTAGAAAGTGAAGAAGAGGTTACTACAGAATATGAAGTGGAAACAGAAATAGAAGAAAAGGATAGAAACCATAATGGAGATGTCATTTGGGCCAAGACCTATGACATTTATCCAGACATTTTTGTCTCTTGGAGGAGAAGTATTCTTTATCCTTCACTATGAGATCCTAGTGTGAATTATTCAATTGGAGAAAAGGTGGAAGTTCTGCATATTATCACTATTTCCAAGAATATTCCTTTCTGTTACTACTTAATAACTAAGTTGTTTATAACTACCGGAATTTATATCTCCCTTGCTGTTTTCCCTATTTCTCTTATAAAAATTTAAGAAATTTTAAATGTAAACTTAAATCACTAATATTCACTGTTTAGTACCGAGTGCATGCATGCAGGCGGGTAAATTTGATGTTAAAATAAGTTGTTTTTATTAAAAACTATTTTCTTCTTTATTTCCATATCCTTTGCATACAATAAATACAACGGTGGCAGCAAGTATAGAAGTGCCCACAAGAATAGATGCACCAACAATGGCTTTTGCCGTTGCATTCCATCTGCTTGTAGGCTCTTTATTAATTTTTTTAAAGTCTTCATGGCTATCATGATGGTGCTGAGACTCATGATCACCATTTTCACCAGTACCTCTAAGAGATGGAAAGTTTAATTCAACTTCTTCTGGTTGAGCCTTATTTTCCAAACTCTCTATTTTATTTATTGATGAAAGTCTTTGATTTCCTCTTGTGTTTTCGTCACCCTCTTCATCATAAATTACATTTTCATCAGAGAATGTTTGTTCTTGCTGAATATTATCGCTTTTTGAAATTTCCTGATCTTGGAATCTAGGCTTTATACTGTAATCATCTTCCAAACTTTGAGTTAATTGACTAGGGTTGCTGGAATCTTCAGCAATAGATGATTCAAATGATTGGCTTTGTATTTCCTGGATATCATCATTACCTCTATCTTTATATCTGTCCTGTTTTGCATACTCAATATCTTTTGTAATTTCAGAGTCAGTAATCTTACTTGCAGCATTCTCTTCCCTTTCAATAAATTCTTTAAACTTCTTATTTTCAGCTTCCTTTTCAGCTAAAGTTACAGAGTCTTCAATTACCTCAACACCATCAACAAATCCTTCTCTTTCCGCCAAAGTAGTTACTCTGAAGAAATTCTTCATAGTATCAACTGTTTGCTGATCTCTATGGTGAATTGCAATGTCAATAGGTTTTTGTCCATTGGAATTAACGGACTCCAACATATCAGCAACCACATTTGATTTAAACATAATTCCAAGAACAAAATGCACCAGTTCATCATTTTCTGACATTGCTGCCAGATGAGCTAAATTGTTACCTTCTGTATCTAATAACCTATTTAGTTTTGCTCCAACCCAGAACTTTTGAGATAAAGTGTGAGAAAGAGCCTGCACTAAACCATGTTCAACCATTTTTTGAAGAATAGTTCTTCCTTTATTGTCCACGGAACAAGTTAATATACTTATATATGTCCCTGGTTCGAGTCCTGAAACATTAGACATTGTTCCTTGAAGACTATCCATTGCTGCAATTAACTCTTTTTCTGCATTTTCTTGTAGCTGGCTGTGAGGAAGCGCTAATTGGTAAATAATGTTCCTAACGCTCATTAATACATAATTGTTCGGGTATTTGGTTGCAAGCCATCCTAAAATTGTTGAACATTTTTGTCTAGACTCTGGTGGAATATGAAAAATATCTACTAATGCAAATACTGGAAGCTTTTCGGAGTTATCATTGGATTCTACCGATACCACTTCAATACTGAAAACCAGCAATGCAAACAGTATCAAAAAACTAAATGGTGGATTTTTAAATATTTTCAAAGATGCCATTTTTTTTTCTGGCAAACTCGATAATACTCCAAACTTTTTTTATCCTTTTTACCTGTTTTTCTGATAATATATGTAATAACTTTGACTTGGTTCTTGATTCCCCCTTCTTTTAAAGTGTGTAATTATTAAGCTAAAAATTTACCTTGAAAATTTTGCACCCATATAAAATTGAAAAAAACAGAACTACTTTGGGTGAACTTTTTAAGTGCAAAATCACATTTTGATTCAAGCACACACTAAGCTTATACCCAACATAATTGATTGTAATTTTATAATTTTGGATTTTAAATACTGAGAAACTTCAAAAACCATATATTTTTGAAACCATACTAAATACTTTTTTCTCTTCTTTCAATAATCTCCCATTAGCTTTTTTACTTTATTTTAACGATTAGGTCCTGGAATTTTCATTTATTTTCACCAAAAAATCATTGAAAAACAATTATTCTTTTCTCTCTTAATTCTAATAAATTGATTTTTATTTTTATATCTGCATGCACTTTTATCATCAACATAACTTTTCCACATAAAATATTGCATGCAATTTAACTATCAT